GCCCGAGTAAAGACCACGTGGTTTAAACACTAAAGTTTGAAATGGATCCTTTTAGGAAAAATCTCTCAAAGCTTTGCATGTTCTGCAGGCTCTGAAAGTTGCAACAATAAAATAGCTCATGAGACAATTGTAATTGGACATGGAAAAATATAACAAAGTTAAAATTACAGGCCTCTTGTGTTGTCTATATGTTTGTGTATGTTATATGTTTGTGTATGTTATATGTTTGTGTATGTTATATGTTTGTGCGTCATGTCCAATACACTACGTTGACCTTAACAAACTGGACCAATACTAACGTGGGGTGTTGTGAGTGTGTTGTGAGTGTGTTGGGGAGTGAACGAGGAGTGCTGAACGGAGAATGGAATAACAAAAGTTTTCTGTAATGTTTTAATGTGATCATGGAATAATTATTTTTTGTCAACAGCATACGGTGTAAGTACTAGAGATTCAAAGATGACAAGCTTTATTGAACAGGTGTAAAAGTGAGAGTACTCTGGGATGAGTACTCTGAGGAAAGTACTCTGAGAAAGTACTCTGAGATGAATACCTTGCTGAAGGTACTGGGAGCCCCTCCCTCTGCTGTTTGTCCGGACAGTGATTCGGTCCAACCGCAGTGAGCGGTCATTGGGCGGAGGACAACTTTGGTTTGTAATTCACATTTAGGGGAGTATAAAATTAGAAACATACATATTGTTAAGTCTGTATTTGGCTACAGCCTCTGCCCTGATGCCACACACCGTCTGTCAATGCAGTTATGTTTTGCCCAATTGGATTGATTGACAGGCCGCACCATGCGAAGAGAGGAAAGTGGGCGTTTCTTGTGTTCTAATGTTTGTTTTTCAGATGAAAGATAAACTGCACCTGCTTCAGGGATAACACAGTAGTATGGATCATAAGGAAAATGAGCCTCTACTTTGGCACCAAAGCCCACAATATGAATTGAGGACGATCCGGGAGGAACAACTGAAGATGATTGGAACAGTAATCTACACACACACAGATGCATGTTTTATACTTTGGACCACGACCAACAGAGGGAGTATAGTAATGTTATTGTCATAGGTGGTCATGGTCCTTAACCTTCTAAATCATTAGAAAGAAGTGTAAAACATATATTTACAAGAACAAATAAATAATAGAAAGGGCAGCCTAAAAAAGCAAAATGGGAAAATTATTAAGTAATTTTCGGAGTTGCCAAAATGAAATAAAATTCTATATTTGTCCCATAGGGGGTCATTCTAAATTTAGTGTTGTGCAAATTTAAAAGGAGAAATAATAGCGCTTATAACATCAAACAGATCTACTCTTTAAGATAATAGATCATACAATAATAGAATAGAATGAAATAGTCTGGAGCTATAATGTCATTGGATTCGAGGAGCTATAGGTTGAAAGGTCGCTAGGAAGAGGTGTCAGAATAAACAATAGTAATAATAGTTAGACTAGTGAATAATCAAAATAGTTCTATTGTGGAAATAAGTATCAATAAGGTCAAATTGTTCTAATAACTAAAGTAAAAAGGAATCAAATGGAGTCAGATTTTAGATGTTTCTGTTTTCCACATCTGTAGGAACTGGTGCAGAGGTGTTTATAGAGAGTAGTATTAAAATGCAGACATAGAACGACAGGCTTTAACACAATTTTAAATCTAAAAATAGCTCAAATATAACATTGCTCTTGATGCAGCCTCTGAGCTGCTCCATTGGAGAACAGGTTAAATGTTATTGTTTATTACAAACAGCTGATGTATTTACACATATTAAGTTTGGGACAACTCTTTAAACAGTTATAAGCAGCGGACAGAAGCCATGAATGTGCTTTTGTTTATTAAATAATTAATTTCATAGCCATATAATCGTAGAGAACGGTTTTAAAATAGTTCTCTTCCTCCCGCTCCCTTTCAGGCAAATTGAATAGATTCATGTTTTTAATATTGGAGAACGACTGTGTTGTTTTTGGAATTGTCTGAAATACAATACATAGAATAGTGATTTGCAGAACAAGAACCAGCCAATGAAAAATCGTCTATTGCCAATGCAATTGTTACAATCAGAACTCAAAAATTGGGAATATGCTTTGGCTCAAACTACAACCAAGATTTGGAGTCACAATAGAGTGTAAAATAGATAGATGCTTTCAAAAATAGAGATTATTTTTAGACAGGGCCAATATCAAACGGTAAAAAGACCATTTCCTTCATATTATGTCCAAAAGTAGTTACTTCAAAAGTAGATAATGTTCATGAGTGTAGCCTAGATTAATGTAGCTTAGATTAATGAGATAGATTAGAACCAACAGAGATTCAAAAACATTTAAAAGCATTTTGGTTAATTTGAATATAGCACAAAAGTAGATATTTAGGTATTTTTGAGAATTTTAAGAGCTGTCGATTTGTCAGCAACAGATTAGAGAATCAAAATACCGTTGTATAGGGACTGACCCCAGAGAAACCTGCTAAAATAGATTAGCTCCTGTAACGATAATACCAATTTGATTAATGATGAAGAATCAGAATGACACAGCGGTGGTCATCAAAGAGTTTTGTGAAGGAATGTTTCGAATGTGGTTGTGTGTTGTATTCTTTCTGTATTAACTCTTTACAGATATCAAGCCGGAACTAAGCACAAGTATTGATGATAAACGACGATGTGGATTGTGACCTAATTTTTTAATCAGGTCAAAAGAGGGAAACTGTTGTATATTTTAACTATGCAGATGTGAATATTGGCTGACCCTGATTTGAACTGTCTTTTCCTAAAGCAAAAAGACCTGGTTTCCCCATGTTCCTTTGTTAGTCCAAAGTGCATGGGTGAGTTAATGATAGGTAATCTGGGGGGGGGATTCTGCTAATCCTGAAGGAGGGGGACCCAGAGAGCCTTCTGCCTTATCTCAAAGAAGTAATAAATTTGGGGAGTGGTAGTGTGTGTGAATGATTCTGTTTAAGGTACGGCAGACAGAGGGGACATGATGGAAGAGGCCGGACCCAAGTCCTGCCTGATACGACACGCCCCCTGCTTCCTGAACATGGACTGATAATGCTCTGGCTTGAGAGGACACAGGAGAATGAGCCGAGGGCGAGCCAGGGACATGCATAGTTTTAGGAGCCCTCTTTGTTGGAATTTCTGTATCTGATTGTAAAGATAATTAAATACAGATGTTAAAACTTGGAGATCTGTTGTCATGCCTCTGCATCAACTCGAACACGTCAGTCAAGGGAATTATTGACTTCATCCCTCTCTGGTCTCTCTCTGGTCTCTCTCTGGTCCCTCTCTGGTCCCTCTCTGGTCCCTCTCTGGTCTCTCTCTGGTCCCTCTCTGGTCCCTCTCTGGTCCCTCTCTGGTCTCTCTCTGGTCCCTCTCTGGTCCCTCTCTGGTCTCTCTCTGGCCTCTCTCTGGTTTCTCTCTGGTCCCTCTCTGGTCTCTCTCTGGTTTCTCTCTGTGGTCTCTCTCTGGTCCCTCTCTGGTCCCTCTCTGGCCTCTCTCTGGTTTCTCTCTGGTCCCTCTCTGGTCTCTCTCTGGTTTCTCTCTGTGGTCTCTCTCTGGTCCCTCTCTGGTCCCTCTCTGGTCCCTCTCTGGTCCCTCTCTGGTCTCTCTCTGGCCTCTCTCTGGTTTCTCTCTGGTCCCTCTCTGGTCTCTCTCTGGTTTCTCTCTCTGGTCCCTCTCTGGTCCCTCTCTGGTCTCTCTCTGGCCTCTCTCTGGTTTCTCTCTGGTCCCTCTCTGGTCTCTCTCTGGTCTCTCTCTGGTCTCTCTCTGGTCTTTGGGAGCAGCTGGTGTTGTGAATGTGCCATACTAATAAAGCTGACATTGACATCGTTCAAACACTGTCTCTGTCAAAAGACTAATAAATAAATAAATAATTGAAATAATATGGAGCAGAGTGGGAGCTTCACAAACGCTCTCTTCCTCTGTGAGCTTCCAGATTTTAATAATTCATGTCATTAGATCATTACTTATTTTATTTAAACTTTTACAAACAAAAATCCACACAAAATGATCACATGACGAACCAGGAAGTGGAAACGGTTCAAATCAACAACAAATAAATACAAGAAAAATATATAAGAAAACTCTCCTCATGAAAGGTAGGGGCTGTTTGAGGGAAGCAGGTCGCGGTATAGAAAGTGCCCTGGTCGTGTTAGAAGTGCTGATGTAACACTCCCAGAGCAGTCAATTTGACGGCTTTTGGTTTTGGAAGTGATTTTAATCCCTTTGTGTTTATAGTTTTTATAATTTTTGACTTTTTCTGTTTCTGTTGTTTTTATCTTTGTCCTTATGTTTATGAACTGGACTGGGTCTGGACTGGAGCTGGACTGGTCCTGGACTGGACCTGGACTGGGTCTGGACTGGGTCTGGACTGGGTCTGGACTGGACCTGGACTGGACCTGGACTGGACATGGACTGGTCATGGACTGAACCTGGACTGGACCTGGACTGGACCTGGACTGGGTCTGGACCGGTTCCGAGCAATCTCAGCTTGGAGGAAGTACTTGTTTCCATAGTAACACTTGTACTTATTTAGAAGTGTTGTATTTCAGTTACATTCACCAGTTTTAGGATTTATTAAATATTTTAAAATCTAAACTATTTTTTGGGGATTATTCAGAATTTAAATGGGAGCAGTCAAAATGACTGCTCTAGTGGAGTCCTCTTTGTCCCATACACTGTAAAAAGTGACAAAACATAAATACAAAATAGCTCAAACGGGACAAAAGCAAAATGGTTTTAAAATGAAACAGAAATGTTTCCTTTGGAATGAGGACATAAAACTACAGAAATGTTTTGCAGTGTGCGCTTCATAATCTGTGCTTTACGATAAACTGAACAAACAGAAGCATCTCACCGACACAGGACTGTCATCAATAATACTCTGGATACATTAAAACTATCACACTCAAACTCTAGAGGGCGCTACGCAGCACATGCTGTGGACAAGAAGAGAGGACAGGGGGGTGACGGGCGACCCTCTGGTGTCCCTCTGGTGTCCCTCTGTCCTGGGCATCAGTGATGGTAAGATGGATTCCAGGTGCGGTACCAAGACCTGGAAACACACACAAGTTGTGTAGAAAAGTCAAACTTTCTACAGCGCTCTTTTGGACACTCAAAGACGCTTTACATGTCATTATTCTTTCACTGCCTGTAGCCACAGCTGCCCTGGGGCACACTGACAGAAGCGAGGCAACCAGTCTGTGCCATCATGTGTGTGGGTGTGTGTGTGTGTGTGTGTGTGTGTGTGTGTGGACATTGGTCTCTCTTTGGACCAATACATTTGTGTGTTTTTGTGTCTTAACTGTTGATTCTCTGATCTGTGATTTCAATGGTTTTGTTAAGTCTCTGAGATGATGCTGTTGTGTCTTTATGTGTGTGTGTGTGTGTCCGAGTGTGTGTGTCTGAGTGTGTGTGTGTGTGTGTGTGTGTGTGTGTGTCAGACTCACCCACTGGAGCTGTGGACCTGGGAGCTGACAGAGGAAGGGGGGGAACCTCCTCCTCCAGGACTCGAGGGAGACGAACTGGAAGACACTGAACACACTGTTACAGAGAGACGCACAACACACACACACGCTCACACACACACACACACACGCACACACTTACCTGCACTGGAGCCTAGGGGGCTGTAGGACCGTGGCGCTCCGCTCTGAAAACACACAAACATCAACATTCTGTTCTTGTCTCATGATGAATTGTGTGTAGACGACAGAGTGTGTGTGTGTGTGTGTGCACTTGTTTTCAACTCCTGGTGGGTTCCATAACCTGAGATTCCACTCACGTCATGGGGACTGGTTTTACGTGGTGGGGCCCGAACACCGGACCCCACTGGTCCAAGCTTAATAATCAATGGGTAATGCTTTTCTAACGGTCCTTATGCAGTCTCTGTAAAAATATGGAAAGGACCCCTGGAGGTTTACTTTCCTGAAAAAAGTGTGTTATGTGTCGGAAACCCTGGTGGTGGGTTGCGGGATATCAAGGAGGGGCACACTGGGGCAATTTCAGTCCAGCAGGCTGGAGCCAATCATGGAGCAGCACAACAGAGGAAATCAGGTGTCAGGCTAGAAAAAGGTGCAAGTGTGTGGTTCATTAGGCTGCAAGAAATCATGGAGGAGCACACTGAAGCGCACGCTTACAAACCACTGGTAAGTGCTGACTACAAGTCATGACTTCAAATTGTTATATAGAATGATTACAAATTATTTGTTGTTTGTGCAGCTTAGTCAAGAGTCCCTAATTGATGAAGTCGACTCAGATTCTGACGATTTAACTGTCAAGAAGAAACCTGTAAAAAAGTATGGAAAAAGAAAAATCAAAAACACCTTTCTTCAAGACTCGGAAAGTGACAAACCAAATGCAAATAAGATTGTTATCATGCAGCTGCAAAAGAAGAAAAATGGGGGGCGAGTTTATAGCAAGAGACACTTCTGCCTCTACTGTTCAATGTCCTGCCACAAAATGTCCCGTCATTTGACTAGAAAACATAGAAATGAAAGTGACGTAGCCAGAGCATTGGCTCTACCTGTGAAATCTAAAGCACGTAAACTTCAGTTTGATTTGATCAGGAATAGTGGAAACCGTGAGCACAATTTTGAGGTTTTAAAGGCCGGCATTGGAACTTTAGTCCCAGCTAAACAGCCAAATTGCCCAGTTAAATCCAGTGAGTTTTTGCACTGTATAGACTGTGGGGCATTGCTTAAGCGAAAGTCGCTGTGGAGGCATGTGGCCAGGTGCCGGCTTTCACAGAAAGATGCCCAGGCTAAACCAGGTAGAAGTAGGGTCCAGTCCCTCTGCTCCCTAGCCCAGCCTGTACCGGAGGGCATCAGCAAAAAGCTGTGGTCTTTAATTTCGGCAATGCATCAGGATGAGGTCACGGGTGTTGTCAAAGCAGAAAAGGGGATTCTGAGACTCGGAGAGCACCTGTACTTAAAACACGGGCATGATAAGACTAAGCATGATTACATTAGGCAGAAAATGAGAGAAGTCGGTAGGTTAATTAACGAAGCAAAAACTGCAGGGAAACTGAAAACAATTAAGGATTTCTTTATTCCTTCCAACTTTAACCATGTGATTGATGCAGTCAGGTCTGTGGCTGGATATGATGAGGAAACAAATCAATACAAGACTCCATCCTTGGCCCTCAAACTCGGCCATAGCCTCAGAAAGCAGATATTCTTGAATGTGACTCAAAAATGGAGCATTGTGTTGATGAACTATTTATTAAAAACCTCCAACGAAGCCGGCTGCTTTTTGAGAAGAGGTGGGACGTCTGTGTTTCTTCTGCTGCCCTACAGACCCTCCGGCAAGCCAAGTGGAACACTCCGGACCTGCTCCCTCTGACTGAGGACGTTAGAGCCATGCATGCACATATTGAGGTATGTCGACCTGAATATGTGCACACCCTAATAAGTGAGCCAACGTCTAAGCATTGGTCTAAACTGGCAGTTTTGACTCTTTGTGAGGTCATTATTTTCAATCGAAGAAGGGAAGGTGAGGTTTCAAAGATGCCACTGACAGCCTTTACCTTAAGAAGTAAGACTGGGATCCATTCTGACATTGCTCTGGGACTGTCCGAACTTGAGAAAAAGCTGTGCCAGCATTTTCAACGCATTGAAATTAAAGGGAAAAGAAGTCGGAAAGTGCCGGTTCTTTTGACTCCTGAAATGATTGCTTGGATGGAGGTGCTGGTGGAGAACAGAAGGGCCTGTTCCATCTCTGACCATAACCCATACTTCTTCTCCCGCCCGGGCGCAGACACCCACATCAGGGGATCAGACTCCCTACGGCAGGTAGCCAAAGAATGTGGTGCGGTGCATCCAGAGATGCTATCCTCAACCAAACTTAGAAAGCACATAGCTACTATGTCTACAGTTCTCAATATGAAAGAGAATGAGATGGACATACTTGCCAACTTCCTCGGCCATGACATTCGCATCCACAGACAATATTACAGACTACCAGAGGGGACACTGGAGCTGGCCAAAATCAGCAAAGTGTTGATGGCCATGGAGCAGGGAAGAGTGACGGAATTCGAAGGAAAGAGCCTCGACCAGATACAAATTGAGCCTGAAGGTAATTCTTGATATTATTAAAATATGTATGATTTTTTTCCCCTAAAGGCCACTTGTATTTTTATTTTCTGTGCGACAGGGAGAGCAGTAGAGATCCTCTCACAAACGGACGGGCTAAAAGAAACTTCAAGCGGAGAACCTTCAACCATTCATCCAGATGCACCCCATGGTAGTGGCAGTGCCCCTTCTGGTAAGTGTACCAGGTGGGGGATTACAGCCAGGCTGCTTGGTCCTAACCCTGGGAGTGTATATTGCTAATATATTTTTATTTCTCTCCCTAGAACGTGTAAGAAAGCCATGGTCTGCATCTGAGGTGAAGGCTGTGGAGAAGACCATGACACCTTTCATACAGACTGGAAAGGTCCCTGGGAAGTCTCACTGCCTGGCCTGGCCTGGCCTGGCCTGCATTAATGCCTCACCAGATGACCTTAGACATCGGACATGGAGTGGCATTAAATTCTATGTCAAAAATAGAATCACTGCAATTCAAAAAAAAAATCTAAAATAAAATTCCTTTAAAATAGTTGTTTGGTTTCTATTGACTGTTTTGTATTACTTAAAGTAGTCCCAGTAAAAAAAGATTATGTCTATGGGTCCCATTCTGAACGGCCCTGTCAAAGGGACCCACCAGGTAACAAAAACGTGTATGTGTGTGTGTGTGTGTGTGTCGTACATGCCTGTGAGTTGTTTGTTTCTGGTCGTCTGTGTGTCTGCCTGTTGTGTGTCTATGTGTGTGTCTGTGTGTGTTAAGTGTATGTTGTGTGTGCCTTTGTATGTTGTGAGTCCTTGTATGTGTGTTGTGTTTCTGGTTATGTGTGTGTGCGTTGTGTGTGTGTGTGTGTATGTGTATGTGTGCGTGTATCACCATCCTGGAGCCGTAGTGCTTGACTGGTAGCGAGGAGGTGTGTCTGTGTGTGCGTGTGTGTGTGTGTGTGTCTGTGTGCACGTGTGAATGTGTGTGTGTCTGTGTGTTGTGTGCGTCTGACCATCCTGGAGCCGTAGTGCTTGACTGGCAGAGAGGAGGTGGGGCTGTAGATCCTCTTCTCCTTCTGCCTCCTGTTGCAGAACCAGACCCTCACCACCTCCTTCTCCATCGACAGCTGCTCCGAGATCAGAGAGATCTCCTCAGAGTTAGGTTTGGGATTCTGACAGAAAGTTACGGACACTGGCTTTAATTAGGATTGTCTCAGGATCTACAGCCTCAGTCCTGGGTCTACAGTCCTAGATCTACAGCCTCAGTCCTGGATCTACAGCCTCAGACCTGGATCTACAGCCTCAGTCCTGGGTCTCCAACCTCAGTCCTAGATCTACAGTCCTAGGTCTACAGCATCAGTCCTGGATCTACAGCCTCAGTCCTGGGTCTACAGCCTCAGTCCTGGGTCTACAGCCTCAGTCCTGGGTCTACAGCCTCAGTCCTGGGTCTACAGCCTCAGTCCTGTATCTACAGCCTCAGTCCTAGATCTACAGCCTCAGTCCTGGGTCTACAGCCTCAGTCCTGTATCTACAGCCTCAGTCCTAGATCTACAGCCTCAGTCCTGGGTCTACAGCCTATAGCCTCAGGCCTGGGTCTACAGCCTCAGTCCTGGGTCTACAGCCTCAGTCCTGGATCTCGCTCGCGCTCACACTCACTTCTCGGAAGCGGTTGTCCAGGCTTTGTCTGACGTTGGTCTCGATGCTGGTGCGTTTCTTGCGTTTGCGTCCGTAGCCCTCCATCAGGGGGGGCAGGGGGGAGGGGGCGCTCAGGGACTCTGAGGGCAAGTTCTCTGGGACAGGACACACACAATCACCCTCTGAACTATTTACTCACTACAAAGTACAAAACTCTTCAGAATAAAAATCACAGCGTCTAAAGCAGACTTGGAGATTCTCCATTTGTCTCAGTGTCAGACTGTAACAGCTGCTCACAGGTCTCTGCAAACGAGTTTAGAACATCTGCAGTAAATTCAGAACGCTGCAGCTCGAGTCCTGACGAGAACCAGGAAGTGCATCACATTAGTCCTGACGAGAACCAGGAAGTGCATCACATTAGTCCTGACGAGAACCAGGAAGTGCATCACATTAGTCCTGACGAGAACCAGGAAGTGCATCACATTAGTCCTGACGAGAACCAGGAAGTGCATCACATTAGTCCTGACGAGAACCAGGAAGTGCATCACATTAGTCCTGACTAGAACCAGGAAGTGCATCACATTAGTCCTTGTCACTCCCGTATTCGTCCCGGATACCGGATTCGTCCGGAAGTTCAGTTTGCGCATGTCAAAAAGTGTAGTAAGTCCTTAAGTGGAGACTGGTTAAGTTTTAGGCGTCTGATTAAGATGGTTAAGTTTAGGGTTAAGGCTGGGTTGGGGTTATTTTATGGGAATGGCTGGTTAAGTTTAGGCATGAATAGGTAGTTTTTTATATTTACTTCCGCTTCCGTCCAGATTCCGTGACGTAATCTACTGCTGCGTATGCTCATTGGATCAAACTGAACTTACGGACGAATCTGGTTTCCGGGACGAATACGGGAGTGACAGTCCTGACTAGAACCAGGAAGTACCATCACATTAGTCCTGACTTGAACCAGGAAGTACCATCACATTAGTCCTGACTAGACCCAGGAAGTACCATCACATTTGTCCTGACTTGAACCAGGAAGTACCATCACATTAGTCCTGACTAGACCCAGGAAGTACCATCACATTTGTCCTGACTTGAACCAGGAAGTACCATCACATTAGTCCTGACTAGACCCAGGAAGTACCATCACATTAGTCCTGGTCTCAGGTCTCTGCACCTGTGGCTAACTTTAAAGCAGCTTTGTTTGTTACAAGTCTCTCCATGGCCTCAAAGTACATCTGTGACCTGTTAGAGACATAGGAACCAACTCTGAGGAGCACAGGGACTGGCCTAAACATGAGAAGGCATCGTTTCAGATCCATGCAGCTAAAAAAATTGATTCAATTTGAAAAATTGATTTGAAAAACATTATTTTTAAAAGACTGTGGTTATTTAAGCCTTTAATGCCTTGTGTGACTGTCTCTATATTGTTTAGTTAAAGGTACATAGGAGTATTTTCTAATGCCGGGCGTATCGTCAAAACAATTGGTCCTCCCAACTGTCAATCATTCTGGTGACACATGCTCAGCCAATAAGAACAGAGAGTTTTTTCAAAAAGTGGGCGGTTATTTCCTAAAACTTCCTGCAGTATATATCTTTAAGCACGTTGAGTTGCCTTGTGTTTGAACTGTGCCATGCCAATAAACTTGCCTTGCCTTAATGGGAAACCACATTCTACTCATTCACACAGGTTTGGAGTGGTTAGCCGTGCTTCTAAATACCTGCGTCGCTGAGCCACTTCTCCAGCAGAGGCTTGAGTTTGCACATGTTCTTAAAGCTCAGGTTCAGAGCCTCAAAGCGAGAGATCGTTGTTTGGCTGAAGTCGTTCCCATAAAGCTTCCCCATCGCCAGGCCCACGTCCCCCTAACACATGAGGAGACAAGATGGACACGTGAGGAGACAAGATGGACACATGAGGAGACAAGATGGACACGTGAGGAGACAAGATGGACACATGAGGAGACAAGATGGACACGTGAGGAGACAAGATGGACACGTGAGGAGACAAGATGGACACATGAGGAGACAAGAGGGACACATGAGGAGACAAGATGGACACGTGAGGAGACAAGATGGACACGTGAGGAGACAAGATGGACACATGAGGAGACAAGAGGGACACATGAGGAGACAAGATGGACACATGAGGAGACAAGATGGACACGTGAGGAGACAAGATGGACACATGAGGAGACAAGATGGACACGTGAGGAGACAAGATGGACACATGAGGAGACAAGAGGGACACATGAGGAGACAAGATGGACACGTGAGGAGACAAGATGGACACATGAGGAGACAAGAGGGACACATAAGGAGACAAGATGGACACATGAGGAGACAAGATGGACACATGAGGAGACAAGAGGGACACATGAGGAGACAAGATGGACACGTGAGGAGACAAGATGGACACGTGAGGAGACAAGATGGACACATGAGGAGACAAGAGGGACACATGAGGAGACAAGATGGACACGTGAGGAGACAAGATGGACACATGAGGAGACAAGATGGACACGTGAGGAGACAAGATGGACACATGAGGAGACAAGATGGACACATGAGGAGACAAGATGGACACGTGAGGAGACAAGATGGACACATGAGGAGACAAGATGGACACGTGAGGAGACAAGATGGACACATGAGGAGACAAGAGGGACACATGAGGAGACAAGATGGACACGTGAGGAGACAAGATGGACACATGAGGAGACAAGAGGGACACATAAGGAGACAAGATGGACACATGAGGAGACAAGATGGACACATGAGGAGACAAGAGGGACACATGAGGAGACAAGATGGACACGTGAGGAGACAAGATGGACACATGAGGAGACAAGAGGGACACATAAGGAGACAAGATGGACACATGAGGAGACAAGATGGACACATGAGGAGACAAGATGGACACATGAGGAGACAAGATGGACACATGAGGAGACAAGAGGGACACATGAGGAGACAAGATGGACACATGAGGAGACAAGAGGGACACATGAGGAGACAAGATGGACACGTGAGGAGACAAGATGGACACATGAGGAGACAAGATGGACACATGAGGAGACAAGATGGACACATGAGGAGACAAGATGGACACATGAGGAGACAAGATGGACACATGAGGAGACAAGATGGACACATGAGGAGACAAGATGGACACATGAGGAGACAAGAGGGACACATGAGGAGACAAGATGGACACATGAGGAGACAAGAGGGACACATGAGGAGACAAGATGGACACATGAGGAGACAAGATGGACACATGAGGAGACAAGATGGACACATGAGGAGACAAGATGGACACGTGAGGAGACAAGAGGGACACATGAGGAGACAAGAGGGACACATGAGGTCCAGTAGTGGTGTTGGAAAAAATCAGTTCAGTATCACAATACTTTTGTGCAGACAATTAAATCGATACAATGCAGAACAAAGTATTGCAATATTTAATTAGATAATTGTCTGTTTCACTTTTGTGTTTTCTCTGAGTTTCTTCTGGGTATTTCCATCTGAGGTTTACTGTATGTTCCTCTATGATGTCTGCTCGTTGTGACGCTACAATGTTTATTTTCTTAGTCTTATTTTCCTCTGTTTGTAAAGTCTTTGATTATTATGAAGGACATGAATCACGATATATCACAGAATCACATGTTTGTATCGCGATATTTTAACAATCGTAATAATATTGAATTATGGCCCAAATATCGCGACACTGTCAGACCCTCTCAGACCCTGTCAGACCATCTCAGACCCTCTCAGACCCTGTCAGACCCTCTCAGACCCTCCCAGACCCTCTCAGACCTGAGTGAAGCCCAGCTTGATGCGCCGCTGTTTGAAGGCCTTGGCGAACTGCTCCAGCTCCTCCAGGTCGCTGGGCTCGTCCTGCGGGGACAGAGTCAGGTGTTTGGGGATCTGCAGGTGGGACATCTCCATGTGTGCGTCCAGACTGGAGCGAGACATGGACTGGAACACAACACAGACACATTAAGATGGAGCTTCTTTGTTACACACTATATTTTTAACCTTTAACATGTTTCACACTTCTGTCTTTTGCACAATCTGAGTGATTCTATACATGCCAAATGTGACATGAAAATTTCTCCATCAGAGATCAATAAAGTCTATAATATCTTATCTCTTGTACCATGAAGGTATTTCATTTCCACAGACATAGAACACAACACGAGGCACGTGCAGTACAGGGACAACACTACAGGTCGTTAGGGGCTTAGGGACAAAGCTCTGCTGATTTTGCTGCTTCCACTTTAAAGGAGCAGTATGTAAAAATGTGTCCAAAACTGGTACTGCAGCCTCTCCCACTCTCCCTGACTCAGGTTGCCAGATATGCAGACTAATCCAGCTGGGACCATAACAGCTGAATAGACAAGAGTTTTGTCAACAACAAATCTAAAACCAACACCTTTTTCACAAAGATAGAAATCCTGGTTTTATTCCTTGTTTTGTTGTTAATGATTTGAGAATCATAACGAGACCTTTTTTAGTTCTGCGCCACATGGTACTTTACCAGTGAGATTAGCTCAGCGCGTGGAGTTCTGGCGCCCGGATCACAGACTTTCTGATTGGTGAAACGGTGGAGGGCGGGACAAGATTTAGGGGCTGTAAAAGTAATTTAGAAATTCAAATATCTCTGAACTACTGTTATCAGTTAAAGAAGTATTGTTTTATTAAGCATGTTTTATTAATGCCTTTTGACAGATTAGGGCCCTTTAATGATGACTGGACAAGAAACTCTAACATACTGCTACTTTAATGTAGTGTCCCGGGGGCAGCAGAGTGGGTGTGGAGAGGATGGTCTGAGTCTGTGTTTCTGCTCCGTCTCCTTCCATCACTTCCACAACAAAGGAAGCCCTGGAATGTACAGTGTTATTGTGGCAGAAGCTGGTGGTACCTGTGGGCCCGGCTGGTGCAGCAGGCTGGAGGAGGTGGGGTTGGGCAGAGACAGAAGGTTCTGTTGGAGAAGACCTGCACAGACCAAGTGAGAAAGTGTAGTGCAGACCTGGGCAGAGTGTGGCCCTGGAGCCACATCCCAATAAAACTAGCTTCTTTACATTTTTTGTCTCATCAAAAGAACCTCCTAAGCCTTAACATAAGAAAAAAACAAATTAACTTTTTTAACTCAATAAAGCTTGTAACTTAATAGTGCTACCATGGCAGGTTGTACAATTACTCTGCTCTAATTAATGAATTCAGAAATGTTCTTAGTAATAATTTGGCATAAAGTAGTTTTTTGCTTTAGTGTGTAGTGACCTGAGTGAGCGGCGCTCTGGGACAGCAGGAAGGAGGAGGGCGTGGCCAGGTGAGGGGGCGGGGCTAGGTGAGCAGGGGGCATCAGGACCAGCTGCTGGACGCTGTGCAGAGAGGGCAGGTCCTGGAGCACAGAGAGGGTCAGACACAAGACCTGTGTGTGTGTGTGTGTGTGTGTGTATATGAAGCTGATGCGCAAATTCAGACTGAAAGACCGGCCACGGCTCTCACCCAACCAGGGCCAGCCAATCACATAGCTCTGCCAGCCTCTTGCCAACCCACTGACAGCAGATCGGGCAGTTTAGAAGCAGCCACTTCCTGATAAACAGCACTTCCTGAGCTCTCAACACCCACCACCTCCCCAGCACCTCCTCAGCTCCTGGTTCCTACTCGGGTTTCCGCTCTGGCTCCTGCTCTGGCTCCTGCTCTGGCTCCTGCTCCGCCTACGCCCCATTCACACCATGCTTCTATAGCCACCACCAGTGCTTGACCCCGGGGGATCTGAGATCATCTACAGTAGAGGACGATCTCCCCTCTGCAGATTGAAACGTGTGTGTGTGTGTGTATGTTTGTATGTGTACGTGTATGTGTGTTTACATGTGTGTGTGCGTGTGTTTAAATGTGTGTACCGCGAGCTGAGGGCCCCCGGACATGGACCCCGGAGAGCTGTGACTGAGGGGACATATCTTCAGACTGGACTCACTGATGTCTTCTGTTTTTATCTGACAAAACAAAGCACAAATGATCCTGCGGCCCCTTGATCTGAGGACTCAAGGTCCCAAAGTTCTGAGGCTCCCAGACCCTGAGGTCCTGAGGCCCCGAGGTCCTGAGTCCCCGAGATCCTGAGGCTCCCAGACCCTGAGGTCCTGAGTCCCCTGAGGTCACTGAGGCTCCCACCTCTGTCCTGCAGTTTGAACTGTTGATGTTTAACACTCACCTGTCTGAAGGGCAGCCCACTCTGCTCTGCAACACAACACACACAACTGAGAACTCACTACACAACACAGTGTGTGTGTGTGGTTGGACACAGACTCAATGAAAACAACTTTGTTGTTGTCCTTCTGGATGTTGTTCATGTCCATCCCCACAGACCTGACTCGTACTCTCTCCTGTGTTTCCATGACGATGCTGTCACGATAACAACATCTCTAACTATTGGTTATATAGTGTAAGAACCTCCTCATTCTCTTTGATTCTCTTTTTCTGCGACAGGTTTTAGCTTTAGTTTAATATTGTTTTGAACTTTCTGTGTGTTTCAGGTCCTGAAGCACCACTGTCATGATCCAACACATCTCAGTAAACATCAGTATGACAGGGCTCAGTGCTAAAGGGAGTGCCAGGTCGGGTACAGGAGGGTGTGTACGGGGTGCCAGGTCGGGTACAGGAGGGTGTGTATTAGGTGCCAGGTTGGGAACAGGCTGGTGTGGAGGAGGTGCCAGGTTGGATACAGTCGGGTGTGGAGGGGGTGCCAGGTTGGGTACAGGCTGGTGTGTACGGGGTGCCAGGTTGGGTACTGGCTGGAGTGGGGGGGGTGCCACGTTGGGTATAGGCTGGTGTGGAGGGGGTGCCAGGTTGGGTACAGGCTGGTGTGGAGGGGGTGCCAGGTTGGGTACAGGCTGGTGTGGAGGGGGTGCCAGGTTAGGTACAGGCTGGTGTGGAGGCGGTGCCAGGTTGGGTACAGGAGGGTGTGGAGGGGGTGCCAGGTTGGGTGGTGAGTGGGGGCAGGTAGGACTTGCACGTCTCATTTGCATGATGCAAATGTCCTCTGAGGACTGTTTGGGAGTCGCTCTGAGATGGAGATACCAAATGCAAATGAGGAACAACCTCCAGAGCTGCTGTCCCCTTCTCCCTGCGCACACACGCACACACACACACGCACACACGCACACACACACACGCATACACACACACACGCACACATGCACACACACACACACACGCACACACACACACACACACACACACACACACACGCACACACACACACGCACACCTCCTGTTCAGAGGTGGACAGGCTTCTCTGCAGTATGGAAATGAGTACAATGCAAATGAGTGTCCAAACACAGGACTTAATGTGTGTGTGTGTGTGTTTATATGTATGAATAAGTGTATGTGTGTGTGTGTGTTTATGTATGTGTTTACGTACAGTACAGACTAAAAGTTTGGACACCCTCTCTCCTTCACCGAGTTCTTTTCATGACTATTGCTGTAGATCCACACTAGGCTGTGTCAGGGCTGTTTGGCCAATAAGGAGAGTGATGGTGCTGGGCCACATGACCTCCACAGTCACCGGACCTGAACCCAGTCCAGATGGTTTTGGTGGACCACAGAGTGAAGGGGTCAACAAGTGCTAAGCATCATGGGAACTCCTTCAAGACTGTTGAAGACCATTTCAGGTCCTCTTGAAGCTCATCCAGAGAATGCCAAGAGTGAAGCAGTATCAGAGCAAAAGAACCAGAATATAACACATAATTTCACTTGGTTCATACTTTTTTAGTACGTACATAATTCACATGAGTGTCAATCTACTATTTTGATAGTCATGAAGATAAAAAAACTCTTAAGATGGGTGGGTGTGTCCAAACTTTTGCTCTGTACTGTACATACTGTATGTGTGTGTGTGTGTGTGTGTATGTATATATGTATGTATGAGTGTATATGTGTGTGTGTGTTTATGTATGTGGTTATGTACGTGTACATGTGTGTGTGTGTGTGTACGTGTGTGTGTGTGAGTGTGTGTGTGTTTGAGACACACAACAGTTAAAGTTTGAAGGTTCTTTGTTGTTTTCCTTCCAGATGTTAATCATGTGTGTTTCCATCCCCACAGACCTGACTCGTCCTCTCTCCTGTGTTTCCATGGCGATGTTGTTCCTCAGCCTGTACTCTTCTACAGTCTGACAGTTCACTCCCATCTCTCTCTGATGCTGTTCTGCTGCCTGTTGTTAACTCTAGTTTAATATTTGTTCACAGTATGTCAGGCCCCGGGGCACCACAGAGATCCGCACACGGCCCGCACGCTTTTTCAACACACTTTTTTGGAATAAATAGACGGTTTTCAAGATTTTAAACAAAACTATTGTGGAAATAAAACTGAAATCTTAAAGCTGAGGTCTCTAACTTTTAGTCCATAATGACCTAACTCATAATCCTTAATTAATACATGGCCATAATGTTTGCAAACTTGTAACAAAGAACCATTTTTCACTTTTCTGTGTCGCCCAAAATTCTGTAAACAAGTGATGCCAGAACTGTTTGGTTAGAACAGGACACAAGATTTATGTCACGTTTACATCAATTCACCGGTGCATGTTATTTATATGTTGTTATTCATAAGTTTCAAAGTTCCACAAAACACAAAAAGAGAAACTTCCAAGTTCAACACGAGACTCAAACCAATAAACAACAAACATATATTTATACAATCTCTGTATTATTTCTGTTTTTGTCTCTTCCTGTCTGTGTGTTTTAAAATCTATGGACCTTTGTGTTTGTAATAAAGCCTAATAATAATAATAATAATAACTACATAAATACATATGTTTGTATATATGTATTTTTTATTTCAGATTTTCTGTTTCAGGAGAATTCTTTTAACTACAATTATCATTATCTTTGTTTCCCCAAATAATAGTAAACGGTGAGAAAACTAATCAAATGTGCAGCTGCTTTAAGTCTGTGTGTAACTGAGATACTTTGATAGTAACTACTAATCTAATACCAACGATATTACTGCAGGATTAAAAAGTAAATAGTTTCTCTCTGTAAAGCACAGGTGTGTGGGTTTAGGCCTCACAAGAAACTTCATGTTATTAGTTTGTCCTCTGTCTGTAGAAGTTTCCACACTTCTCTCTCGGTAGAAGTTGTGATATTTGGTGAGTGTGAGTCTTACCGGGCTCCGCTGTGCTCTCCGCCGCCTCCACCTCTGCACTCATCTCCACTCTGCTCTGAGAACACCAGCAGGACTCGTTATACAGTCTGACTACAGCAGGTGCCTGATGCAGAGGCCTGATGCTCACACTCACCACTGAGAGAAGGGTGCCAAGTCCTGGGTCGTGAGTCCTTGGCCCTGGATACTGGGTCCCAGGTGCTGGGTCTTGGGTGCTGGCTCCTGGGTCCCGGGTGCTGTGTCTTGGGTCCCAGGTGCTGAGTCCTGGGTGCTGGGTGTTGGGTTCTGGATCTCAGGTGCTGGGTCCTGGGCGTTGGGTTCTGGATCTCAGGTGCTGGGTCCTGGGTGTTGGGTTCTGGATCTCAGGTGCTGGGTCCTGGGTGTTGGGTTCTGGATCTCAGGTGCTGGGTCCTGGGTGTTGGGTTCTGGATCTCAGGTGCTGGGTCCTGGGTGTTGGGTTCTGGATCTCAGGTGCTGGGTCCCGGGTCCAGAGCAGAAGTGCCTTACCTGCAGCCGCTCGCAGACATGTTCCCCTCTCCTCATTTGCATCTCACTCACTCCAGACCCAGGCACAACTTTGCATGAAACAACAAAAAGCTGGCCCCGCCCCCTCCAAAGAACTGGCTCGGCTGCTTGCACCGGCCTCAGATGCCTATGGGCCAAACGTTCCACCAGACTCTGTTGCCACATGGTCCAGGAGCAAAGATTCAGGTAGGACCAGAAATACAACCATAAGTCAAAAAAGCACAGATTGTCAGTGACGCTGCAGATGGAGACAATTTACTGGAGAAGTTTGATAACAACACTTCTACTTCGTCATTATGACTTCAGCTGTAGTCTGTTCATTGCTAACCCACTGTTCTTGTTCTACAGCCTCAGTCCTGGGTCTAGCGGATCCCTCTCTCAATGTGGTGGTGATCCAAGACTTCTCAGAACATTTCTGGACAGTGGTCATCCCGCCTCCTCCTATGAACCAATGTCTCTGTGTTTGATGTAATAGTATTTCTTGTTTTCAAACGGTTTTATTCTCTGATCTGTTGTTGAGGAATCGACAGCTTTGTAAAGTCGACTGCTGTTGTGATTTAGGCCACACAAACACACACTGAATGGTGTTCATTAATAATTCTTTACACTTCAGCCTCTTAGGTCTGCATGCTTTGGTCGTGTGCACTGTGTTCTCTGCTCTTCTCTCTCTGTCATTTGATGTAAAAACCTACAGTGTACAGGTATTCCATGGTATTTGTACTGCATACACACGGATATTACTACATCACTCCAAACTGTATCAGAGAAACTGACTGCTCCAACACTTTCAGCACAAATCTTGACTTTCCAAAACATTCGCAAAGAGACCTACAGAAAGTCGTACATTTCTCTGACATTCTGACCTGATTTCAAAGTTAAACTGGATTCATTTGACAAAAGAACCATCTTTTCCATCAAGTGTTTTATTATAAAAGTCCAGGTGTGTGTCAGACGCACAGGTGTGTGTCAGATGTCGAGGTGTGTGTCAGATGCACAGGTGTGTGTCAGATGTAGAGGTTGCTCTGCACAGGTGTGTGTGAGAGGATCCTGTGGAGGACGTCGTGGTCGACCTGGAGCTGCAGCTGTGGAACACAACACACGGTTTACTCACAAACAAACTGCCAGGATGTAACGTGGTTATGGTCCTCCTGAGACTGTGTGGTTGTGTTGTGGTTGTGTTGTGGTTGTGTTGACCTTGAGGCGTTCTGCCAGACGGACCACAGCGGGTCTGAACGTGTTGATGGCGGTGGAGTCGACAGAGCGGAGGTCGCTGTAGCACTGGATCACGGCGGCGCTGATGTCCTTCATCTGACACAGACTCAGGACTGAAACACAACATCATCATCATCGTCACCATCGTCATCATCACCCTCATCCTCATCACCCTCATCAACCTCATCATCATCATCATCATAATAAGATCAGATATTCCTTTCTTCGTCCCTCAGTGGGGAAATGTCATCGTTGCACATCAGAGAAAAATGAAATAAGACATTAAAAATGGAGTCTATTATCTAAGATAATAACATTTAAGATAATAAAATTTAAATAATAAGTAAGTAATAAGATAATTTAAATAAAGCCATAGTTGCACTTGGTTCAGAGGTATTTGCAGATTTGTATACCGTAATAATAATTCTTACAAAGCACTAAAGAACACATTTTGCAGGTGGGACGCTCAGCTCAGCTCAGCTCAGTTTAGTTCAGTTCGACTTCATAGCCTCCGTCGGGACATCTGACCCATCCCTCACTGCCTCTGGGCTTCTGTCAGGAGCAGTGGTCACAGTGGTTGATGTTGATGCTCTTGGTCAGGACCAGAGCTGGTACATTTTTTTAGTGGTAGGGGAAACCGCAGCACCAGGAGGAAACCTATGCACACACGGGTATAACATATAAACTCCACTTAGAAAGGCCCTGCTAACCACTCAGCCACCGAGCCGTCTTTTTTCTTTTTCTGTTGCTGAGACACATTTGGTATTATTACAGCAATAGACAAAGTATGTTCTATTCAACTATTAGATATTAAGAGAAAAATTCATTTCCAGTCGATGTAGTTCTGTGTAAATACTGGAGAGTAAAGGGAAACAATAGTATTTGGAACCGTTGTCATTTTCCGTTGTAATGGACCGTGACACCTCAGACACAATCCTCTGTTGTTTCGCTGCCTCTGGAGAATGAAAGAGAAAGATTGCTCTAACTCAAGCTTGAGGAAGGAGTAAATGAAAAACTACTTTGGACAAACAGCCGTAAGGATATTTAAAGGAAAAGTCTGTCTCTCCCTGACTCAGGTTGCCAGATATGCAGACGAATCCAGCTGGGACCATAACAGCTGAATAGACAAGAGTTTTGTCAACAACAAATCTATAACCAACACCTTTTTCACAAAGATAGAAATCCTGGTTTGATTCCTTGTTTTGTCGTTAATGATTTGAGAATCATAACGAGACCTTTTTTTAGTTCTGCGCCACATGGTACTTTACCAGTGAGATTGGACTTTCTGATTGGTGAAACGGTGGAGGGCGGGACATCAAAATGAAAACAATAACAAGATTTAGGGGCTGGAGAAATAATTTAGAAATTCAAATATCTCTGAACTACTGTTATCAGTTAAAGAAGTATTGGAAAAGAGCAGTTTATTATTATGACAGATTAGGGCGCTTTAATGATGACAGATTAGGGCCCTTTAATGATGACAGATTAGGGCCCTTTGATGATGACAGATTAGGGCCCTTTAATGATGACAGATTAGGGCCCTTTAATGATGACAGATTAGGGCCCTTTGATTATGACAGATTAGGGCCCTTTAACGATGACAGATTAGGGCCCTTTAATGATGACAGATTAGGGCCCTTTAATGATGACAGATTAGGGCTCTTTAATGATGACAGATTAGGGCCCTTTGATGATGACAGATTAGGGCCCTTTAATGATGACAGATTAGGGCCCTTTAATGATGACAGATTAGGTCCCTTTAATGATGACAGATTAGGTCCCTTTAATGATGACAGATTAGGGGCCTTTAATGATGACTTGACATGAAAATAAACATATGGTTAATTTAAAGCAGAGAAACATCAAAAAGATGGCAGGGTCACTCCCAGAGCACCCTCTGCTGTATTTAGCTCCACCACAATATGTTAAGAATCGCGATAATATTGAATTAGGCAAGGCAAGGCAAGGCAAGTTTATTTGTATAGCACAATTCATACACAAGGCAATTCAAAGTGCTGAACAAAACAAGAAAGCATTAAAATCATAAATAATCACAGAACATTAAAAAGAAAGATAAAAATAAAAATATAAAATCCCTCAGTTGTATGCACAGCTAAACAGAACCGTTTTTAACCTGGTTTTAAACATTGTCAGAGAGGAGGCCTGTCTCACATCTTCAGGAAGATTGTTCCAGATTTTAGCAGCATGAATCTGAAAAGCAGCCTCCCCATGTTTAGTTCTGACTCTGGGCACTAACAGGAGTCCAGTCCCTGAGCTCCTCAGAGTCCGGGCTGGTTCATATGGGACTAACATGTCACTAATATATTTTGGTGCGAGGCCATGGAGAGACTTGTACACAAGCAGAGCTGTTTTAAAGTCTATTCTCTGAGCCACAGGAGGCCAGTGCAGAGACCTGAGGACCGGACTAATATGGTCGTACTTCCTGGTTCTAGTCAGGACTCGAGCTGCTGCATTTTGAATGTACTGCAGCTGTTTTACAGCCTGTTTGGACAGACCTGTGAGCAGGCCATTGCAGTAGTCTAACCTACTGGAGACAAATGCATAGATAAGAATCTCCAAGTCTGCTTTAGACACTATGCTTTTGATCCTGGCAATGTTTTTTAGATGGTAAAAAGCTGCTGATGTTATGAATTATGGCCCAAATATTGCAATACTATAGAATGGTCCCTTTTTCCCACCTCTATAAGACATAGAGAGGTGGCATCAGGTCAGAGACTGTGAATCAAGCCAACATGTTTGAGTCAATTCAGAATAAATGAAGAAAGACTAACAAAGAGAACACAGCTGGACTCAGATGAAAAGCTGAAGGACTCACCTGCAGCAGGGAGGCCGGACAGAAGATTGGGCAGCTCCAGGGGGGGGCAGCAGGGGGGCTCAGAACAGGCCGACGTCTGCAGGGAGCGGAGGCAGGGACCGGGGCCAAGAGGTTGTGCAGACCGGTACTCTGCTGCTGGGCACTCACACAGCACCGTGACCTGGGACGGATCCAGGCTCCCCAGGACCTACGGAGGGCCAGGGGAATGCAGGTTCAACAGACCTCACTGTGTGTGTGTGTGTGTTCTTTTGACATAAACACCAATTTGTATTCTGAATAAGAGTAAAAATTAGATCAAAAGTAGATACACATCTCTAAAAAGAAGCTATACCCGATGAAAAATGCTTATTACTACATACAAGTTGTATTATAATCCGTAATTTAATGGAAAACTTGAGCTCATTGATTCAGCTGTGCATGAATTCAGTAAAAAGTGCTGAGTTGAGACTTAGCGTGACGCCCGCTCTCCTCCAATCACAGAACGAGGCTGCGTCCTCTAGCCTCTACGGTGCTGCTAAACACAGTAGCATGTTAGCATAAGTGGCTATAACTCCTCTGGCTGTAACTGCAGACACAGCAAAACAGCCCAAACAACACAACAGTGAAGAAGAGAAGAGGGAACTAAAGCCAAAAAATGATCAAAGAAGAAATCAAACCCGGGTGAACATAGCTAGCTTACATCGTATCCTCTGGAGAGACTTGTCCATGGGAAAGACCTGCGGGACTGCCTCGGACTATCTACGCACGGACTATCTATGCTCGGGCTATCTACGATCGGACTATCTACGATCGGACTATCTACGATCGGACTATCTACGATCGGACTATCTACGATCGGACTATCTACGATCGGACTATCTACGCTCGGACTATCTACGGACTATCTACGATCGGACTATCTACGATCGGACTATCTACGATCGGACTATCTACGATCGGACTATCTACGATCGGACTATCTACGCTTGGACTATCTACGATCGGACTATCTACGATCGGACTATCTACGATCGGACTATCTACGATCGGACTATCTACGCTTGAACTATCTACGCTCGGACTATCTACGCTCGGACTATCTACGCTCGAACTACATTTGGACGTGAAACTAGCAGTAATCTTCCAGTTATACACTACCGTTCAAAAGTTTGGGGTCACATTGAAATGTCCTTATTTTTGAAGGAAAAGCTGTAGATAACTTTAAACTAGTCTTAACTGTAAAGAAAAACACTCTATACATTGCTTATGTGGTAAATGACTATTCTAGCTGCAAATGTCTGGTTTTTGGTGCAAAGTTGTAATTGCTGCAAATGGAGGATTCTTTGACGAAAGCAAAGTTGGATGTAAAACAAATCTTATTTCAAATACAAATCATTATTTCTAACCTTGTCAATGTCTTAACTCTATTTTCTATTCATTTCACAACGTATGGTGGTGAATAAGTGTGACTTTTCATGGAAAACACTTGGGTGACCCCAAACTTTTGAAGGGTAATGTATATTCAGTTAGCAGTGCGTTGCTTTTGTACCATTTCATCAGTGATTGTTGCGCTAATGCTAACGTTAACATACGTATCAGATTGCAAATAAAACTAGGTGGCTCTGTGGGATGAGAGCGTATGGGAAATTAGAGGCCTGTGAGCGAGTTGGGGGTGGGGCTAAACATTCAAACCTTGCAGAAACGGGTATAGCTCCTTTAACTGGCTGTCTGAGTAGCATGGGCTTTGGTTCAATGTGTTGTGAGAGAACGCCGCTCCACAGACCTGCTCTGTCCACTGGAAAAGCTGATCCTCTGCCACAAAGCAGTCCACCACACAGACCAGCACCTGCCACAGACACACAGAGATAGAGAGAGACAGAGACACACAGAGACATAGAGAGACAGAGACATAGAGAGACAGAGACACAGAGACAGAGAGAGACAGAGACATAGAGAGACAGAGAGAGACACACAGACAGAGAGAGACACAGAGAGCGATAAAGAGAGACACAGACAGAGAGACACAGAGAGAGACACACACACAGAGAGAGCTTGGTCACTGAGGGGATTTTTTACACAGAGTAGAAGCAAAGTGATTACATTGACATATCAAACAAATTAAATGTGAAACCAGAACAGCTTTTTGAAGTTAAATTTGACGGAAACCATCACGTCCATTACACATTTTTTCAAGGGTCATTACAATTTGTATTGATTTTTTTTTTTTAATGCAGTGATTTGTTGTATTGAGTTGTGTTAAAGTGAATCTCTTTGACTCTGAGTCACAGTAGAATAATCACATCAGAGGCTTGTCTGGGTTTTATAATTTCACCAAAAATGTATTTGTCAATCTTTCCTTTGGATTTATCCACAATATCTCTTTGATCCGTCTGTGTTTGAAACCTTTTCTCTCATCTATGAAAGTAAATTTAGTTTTTGAGTTATAACCTTTTAAATTCCAGATACTTTCATTACCGTGAACGCACCAGTTTACATCCACAAGGGGGCGCTTGTTGCTGCGCTTTGCTGTAATAAGGTCCTTCCCTCCTCAGTGTTTGCTTCACTTCATGTACAGACCATAATAAACGTCACAGAGACAAGAGTATTATTTTCCTCAGTGTTTGTAATGACTTTGAATAATATGAAGGACATGAATCAGGATATATCACAGAATCACATCCTGTCTGTATCGCGATATGTTAAGAATCACAATAATATTGAATTGTGGCCCGAATATCACACTACAATCGAATCTTCACATTTTTGCCCATCCCACAATAGCAGACTCTGAGACCTGTACAAAGCTGTTGTCCTGTGTGTGAGGGAGACGGCTCTCACCTGACTGTCCCGGTGCCGGTGCAGGACACAGGCAGAGTCCTCAGAGTGGACCGCCCTCTCGTTCCACAGAGGAACACGTCCCACTGGGTCCCAGCCCTCGTGGGACAGGAAGTACAGGGACACGAACCCTGCGCACAGGACACACACTGCTCTGTTATAATTATTATGACCAGCATCAGGTACTTAGAACTAGACTAATTCTGCTTCATCTGGTTTGTGAGATATTACTATGTTACGACACTGAGAGACATCAGAAAACAAACAGGGGCCCATCTGAACAAATCAGTTTTCAGACTATGACATCATAGAAAATATAAAACTAAAGTATTGTTTCAAAACTATTTTCGAAAATGTCTCCAGTTAAAACTCAGGTCTAAAAGGGTCTATGACCCAGGGCTGGTCAAGGGAAATGTTATCAATATTCAATCATGCGAAAGCCAGATCCCAGCAGACCTCAGAAACTCAGCAGGGCATTGCCTGGTTAGGACTGTGATGGGAGACCTATGGGAACGCTACAGACCACAGTGAGGCAGCTAAAGTACCAAACTGTCGTAGTTACTGACAAAAGCACATGATACTGCAATAAAACACATATCCACCAAATATTGCCGTTAAAATCAGTCTACAAAGATGGAGACAGGGGTCATGTGGTGACGGGTGTCATGTGACAGGGGTCATTTGACAGGGGTAATGTGGACACAGGGTTCGTGTGGAGACAGGGGTCGTGTGGAGACAGGGGTCGTGTGGAGACAGGGGTCGTGTGGAGACAGGGGTCGTGTGGAGACAGGGGTCATGTGTTTGCATGCGTCCTGGGCTCTCACTGGAGGCGGTGGGTCCCACAGCCAGCAGCAAGTGTGGACAGGGCAGTCTGTGGCTCTGGTCTGGGGTCACCCCCAGGGAGGGGCTCCACTGCACACGTACTTCTCTGAGAGACACAGAGAAGGGTCAGTATACACTCATTAAACAGGACCAGCCCAGGACCAGTCCAGGACCAGATAATTTCATAGTAAACTGCAGTTAGATACAGGAAAGGTAATTACACCTCCAAAACAGAAAGCCGTCAATTTGACTGCTCTGGGAGTCCTAGTGTTACCCTTATTATTTGTCAAATATGTTATATAATGATACATACAAACATATATAAATAAAACATAAGAGAAGAGTACAGCCACAAATTTGGAAGCAGAGCGTCCAACATGAAGCCACTCTAACTTTAGCATAATAAAGAAGCAAGTATAAATGTGTAACTTTAGCATTATAAATAAGCAAGTATTAATCTCTAACTTTAGCATAATAAAGATAGCAGGCATATATCTCTAATAAAGCAACAAAAAATCGTGTAAAATCACTGACTTAAGCATAGTAATATTTCCCTCCCTTAGAGATCTCGTTGGTATTCCACTCATCTACCTGTACCTTTATGTGAAAGTGAATGAACAGAGACCATAGTTTCATTTGTGCCCAGTCACCGTCACTGACACCGGGTTCTTCCCCAAGACCCACCGCTTCTCCTCCAGCTCGCTCCTGATCCTCTGGTCCTCCTCATCCTCCTCCTCTTCATCCTCCTCGTCCTCCTCCTCCAGGTCCAGGGCTCGGGAACTCACCGACAGCACCTCTCCGAAAAACGTGGCCATGATGTCTGGATTACGTTTGTTGTGGTCCGCGAGAAACCCGGAAGTAACGAGGCGGGATTATTTTCCCAACGCAGTCCCACTTTACAACGGTGATTTATTCTCCATCAAGTATAGTTTCGAGGTCCGGGTTAGGGTTGAGGCTAGAAACAGGAAATATATATACTTTTTATCCTGAAATTATTGGCTAAGTTTCAAGTTTTGTGATAGTGTAGATGACTCTCGTTAAAAGAAGGGAAAAATTAGTTTAGGGCGCTTCCCTGTGCCATAGTTCAGAGCGTACAGCAGGGGGCGCTCGTACAGCACAGTTCACCCGGAAACACAGCGCATGGCATCAGCACGTGTTTACAGTCTGCCTAGTCCTCCAGTCCCAAGACCCATCACACTCACATGGACATGGAGCCCACCACACCGGCACCAGGGACCCCCAAACCCCCGGGGGCCCTCCTGCAGAACCGTGTGTTTCTGGACCTCTTCTGGGACCTGTCCAAGCCGGAGCAGGACGTGAGGCTTCGGGCTGTAGATGGACTGGTCACCTACCTGAAGGACCACAACAAGGCGAGCACTCTACAACTCTTCATTTTACATTTATTTACAATACAGCAGATCAGTACAATGTCCATAACAGCTAGAAAGAAATGATAATGAAAGACAAGTCAGTTAAAGTTAGTTAAGCCTATGTGTACCTATGTACCTTATCTTTAGCCCAGACCCTCATGCTGCTTTCAGATCTATACATACAACTATATATGTGTCTTGCTATAGAATATACAGTATTTTCTACTTTATTCTTTCTTATGCCAAAGTTAGAGATGTTATTCTATTATAGTATATAGTTTTTATTCATCTTGTGCTGTGTGCTCCTCCTTCCTACTGTTCTGTAACTGGTGATGCAACACTGACATTTCCCCACAGTGGGACTAATAAAGGATCCCTTCATTTACGAGTCCATTAAAACTGTTTGGCACAGGTGTTAATGCTGGGGCACTTGGGGAAAACCTTCAGTCTGAAGAGTTTTTATTATATTTGGACACTTTTTGGAAACGTTTCATAAAGTGTCTATTCTCTTTTTTGAGTTGGTTCTTATGGATGGTGCAAAACAGATACATAACTGAGGCTTGTGCACATCACTGTCTGGTTCATACATGGATCTACGAAATTAAAACGTTGGTTTACATGTGTAATATTATTGACAGCTGTCTTTTGACTAAAGTGTGTGTGTGTGTGTCTCTGTGTGTGTCTCTGCAGGAGGAGGAGCTGGAGTACACCCTGAAGCGCCTGGTGGATGGCCTCTCCCACAGCAGAGAGACGGCCCGTCCTGCCTTCAGCCTCGCCCTGGGACAGGTCAGCCCCAAACAGACCCTCGCTGTTTCCTTCTGGATCAGAATGAAGTGGATTGTGTAGTAATGTTGAATGCATGAATAATGTTGTGTGTGTTTTCTTGCTTCCTTGTGTGTGTTGTGTGCAGGTGCTGAGTGCGTTTGCAGACATCTCACTGCTGCAGACTCTGAACCGGATCAAGGACAAACACAATCTGCTCACCGTCAAGAAGGTCAGTGCCCCTCACCCCCACTCCCCTCACTCCCCTCACCCTCACTCCCCCCAACCTCACCCTCACTCCCCCCAACCTCACCCTCACTCCCCTCAACCTCACCCTCACTCCCCCCAACCTCACCCTCACTCCCCCCAACCTCACCCTCACTCCCCCCAACCTCACCCTCACTCCCCTCAACCTCACCCTCACTCCCCTCACCCTCACTCCCCCCAACCTCACCCTCACTCCCCCCAACCTCACCCTCACTCCCCTCACCCTCACCCTCACTCCGCCAACCTCACCCACACTCCCCCAACCTCACCCCCACATCCCCCAGTATAGTCTGCGTAACTTCACCTTTACCACTTGAGAAACACTTTACATACAAAAGGAAAGCTACTGAAGCGCTTTGACGCTCTTCCAGTGCTCCTCTGGGACAAAATAAATCGTATGAATGTGTTGTGTGAGTTCTCTCAGGTCTTACCGTTGTCTTGTGGTCTTGTGTTGCAGAAGCTCCAAAGAAATGCCATGTTTGGAAACCTGTTCGGGGTCCTGGCTTTGCACCAGTCGGGCCGCCTCACACAGGTACAAATCTGATCACCTGTGTGTGTCTGTCTGTCTGTCTGTGTGTGTGTCTCTGTCTCTCTGTCTCTCTGTCTCTCTGTCTCTGTCTCTCTCTCTCTCTCTGTCTTACTCTCTGTGTGTGTATGTAATGGAGGAACTCTGCTCCATCCTAACGTGTGTGTTTGTCTGTCTGACTGTGTTTGCGTCTGTGTTTGTGTGTATGACTCTGTGTGTGTGTGTGTGTGTGTGCGTGTACAGGAGCCTGAGGTGGTCCTGGCCTGTGTACAGCTGCTACAGAGTCTCACTCCTCACAGACAGCACCTCAGGGACCTGCCCAGCAAGACCATGATGGACATCCTCAACCAGGTGAGTCCCAGTCCTCCTCTCTGCTCCAGTCCCCCCCTCTCTGGTCCAGTCCCCCCCTCTCTGGTCCAGTCCCCCCCTCTCTGGTCCAGTCCCCCCTTCTCTGGTCCAGTCCCCCCCCCTCTGGTCCAGTCCCCTCTTTTATACCCTGGACAGTGGTTTCTGATCCTTTTGGACCAATGTCTCTTTGTGTTTTATCTTTGCATTTCCTGTCTTTGAACTGTTTCATTCTCTGATTTGATGTTGGCGAATCATGACGGGTCGGGTCCTACTGGTTCTGTAGAAAAGGGTGAGAGTAAAATGGGCTGAAATGGACAAAGTAAACTCACTGCAACAGCTATTAACTCTAGAAGAACTACTGCACCATGTGTTTGTCCACATGGTGTCAAAACAATGTCCAAAATCCCGGTCAACTACGCCTCCGTCTAATGTTTAATCCAAGTCTTCTGGACATGTGGAGCTGAGCTGGTGTTAAAGACCATTAACACAAGAACATTTCCTGTGTATTTTCACTGAAAGGTGTGTGTGGGTCATACTTCCAGGCTTCTACCAAGTGCACGTATCTGACATTGGCCTCGCTTCAAAAGTCCGGTGCGCTGCTTCTGGGACGTAAGGTGCAACAGGTGTTAGAGATCACAGCCGATTTACTGAACGTCAGACATCATAACTATATCGAGGTCACGCCCCGAATCAAAGAACATTTAGAACAGATAAAAATGTGCGTTAACTATGACGTTATTGCAGTTAATTGTCTCTTGACTGCACTAATTATTATTTAACTGGTCTTATTGTTTGTTGAGTCCAATCTAGGGCTGGCCTGGTTTCCATTTTAGTCTAGTATTTTATTTACTTGTAGATTAGTCTGGGTTCAAGTGTGCTCCCGGGCCCTTGGTTTCCTCAACTTTAATGTATTGTTTTAAATAAATTGTCTCTCTCTCTCTCTCTCTCTGTCTCTGTGTGTGTGTCTCTCTCTCTCTCATTCTGTGTTTCTCTCTCTCTCTCTGTGTCTCTCTCTGTGTATGTCTCTCTCTCTCTCTGTGTCTCTGTCTGTCTCTCTCTCTGTCTCTGTCTCTCTCTCTGTGTCTCACTCTCTGTGTCTCAGGTGGAGGAGGATGTGTTTGAGCAGGTCCTCTTCACGGCCCTCCAGTCAGACCTGTCCACTCCGTTCCGGACCCCGGAGCAGCTGCACCTTCTGCTGGTGGCTCTGCAGCGATTTCCCCAAACGCTCAAACCCAAGAAACTGAAGAAGCTGCTGGGCTTCTCCACCATCATCCACCAGGACAACGTGCCCAGGTCTGCACTGATCCTCCTGTCTCCTCCTGTCTCCTCCTTTCTCCTCCTTTCTCCTCCTTTCTCCTCCTTTCTCCTCCTTTCTCCTCTTTTCTCTTTCACAACATTTCACAAAAAAGTACAAAGTACTTTCATTCCTAGAACAGGAATACAAAACAAAAAGTAAACTGAAATAAAATAAAAACATAGATATATTTTTAAAGTTGGAAAGCTGGGTTCAGACCGGGTCATGCGTTGCGTCGACTTTCAAAGCCAAGTCAATGGTGACGCGCATTCGAGCGTGGAACTGCATGTGCGTCTCAGAATGCACGCACTGACTGCTCAGTAGAGACGCACGGACTGCTCTGTAGAGACGCACGGACTGCTCAGTAGAGACGCACGGACTGCTCTGTAGAGACGCACGGACTGCTCTGTAGAGACGCACGGACTGCTCTGTAGAGACGCACGGACTGCTCTGTAGAGACGCACGGACTGCTCAGTAGAAACGCTCTGTAGAGACGCACGGACTGCTCTGTAGAGACGCACGGACTGCGCGACAAAGGCACAGGAGCGGAAAATCGATGCACGCAGGAGATATACATTGCTGAGCGTTTCCCCGGACGCTCGTGCAGCGACCAATCAGAGAGCCGCAAAGTGGTCACGGGGACATTAGCGGTCTGAGCGAGCAGACTGAACATACTCGTAAAGAGCTGCATTATCGGACAAGAACTTTACACAAAAAGCCGCTAGCTTAACTCTGTTATCATCAAACACCCCCGAGTCTGAAAATTAGAGAATGTGTGTCTGGTGCGCGAGGCGTCAGCGTTCCAGCGCTGGCGTCTGAACCATAGACTGTATATATTAATGGACAGAGTCACGCCTATCTCCGCCGTTCTAACTAATGGGCCAAAAATAGTGCTCCACTGGAGCAATCCAAAATGGCCGCGAGTGGTCCCGCCCACAAGAAAATTGTGAAAAAACGCATCTGCGCATGCGTCAGCCGGCGCAGCTCCATTCATTTGAACGAGAGACTTCAAAAAAAAAAAGTAAACTAGAGTGGACCAAAAAAATCCACCCCCCTCAGCATTGACACACATGTGGAACGGAGCTTTGGGCCAAGAGCCAACGTTTGGTCCATCCTGTAAAGACGTTTTTGAGAGGTCTGCTAATGCTATATGTTAGCATTGGCTAATTCTTCTTCTGGGTCCACCCCCATCGGCCCGGGGTGGTATTGCAAGCATGTCAGCGCACGTCATTCTGGCCACTTTTGAGCTGGGACCCGCCCCCACTGGTCTGAACGCACCTTTAGAGTTCCACACACGTCACAAGTCGGTGTCAGTAGCAACAGGAAAGACATATACACGTGTGCATACATGTGCATACACGTACTAGTAAACAAAAATATACATCTTACCTATATAAATATATTTACACATGGGCCACACACAGGCCTATTCATTTTACTGGACTTTAATGTCTGAATATAGCTAATGAAGGGTTGCCAGATTTGAAAAAAATATATATGTGGAGCCACGGAGAGTAAACTTAATCTTCTCAAGTCCTTTACCCAAATTTCAGATGAAGGGGGGGCATGGTCTCTTCTACTTTTAAATGCAGTTAGAATCTACAAGTGGTGGGGAAAAAAGCAATTCTGTTCACTATCGCAATATTTTGCAGTACATTAAAAAAAAACTTTTGTGTTTTCTGAGTTGAGGTTCCTCATTTAGCTACAGATTCTAACGTCACATGTGTTCTGTGTACAGGCTGACTGAGCTGCTGAAGACTGTGGCCAACTCTGTGAAGAAGGAGCGGGTTCTTCCTCCTGTGATGGTGGACCTCCTCAAACTCTCCCTCAAAGAAAACAGCTTCCAACTGTTGTGGAGCAAAGTGATCAGCGAGGGTCTGCTGAAGGAGCCCCCAGGACCCTCGCAGTGAGTGCTGAGCTGAAGCCTAATGCAGTGTGGAGAGACTCTGTTTAACTGCGTTTGTGTTGCAGTTACCTGAGCTTCCGGCTCCTGGGGGCCGCTCTGCCTCTCCTCTCTGAAGCTCAGCTGAAGGAGGTGCTGAGGGGGGAGGTGGCCCGACAGTACGGACAGCACATGATCACCTCACAGGTCAGACTAATATATATAATATATATATATATATATATATTATATATATTTTATATATATATATTATTATATATATTATATTATATTATATTTTTTTATATATATATATATATATATATATATATATATATATATATATTTCAATTATTCATATATTTCATTTAGGGGACCGGAAATTTCTGTCTATTTGCGGAATTACGCATTTTTCCTGGTGAAAATGTACCTTTGTGATTTTTTTTGTTTGTTCGTTATTACAAGTATAAGTTAAATTTTCACCCAAAGTGATTTGTAAACAGGCGGGAGCGAGGGCACCGCGTAGCGGGGTCCTTTAGAGACTAAAGCCTAGTGTACCCTTGCGCGGCGCGGCTTACATTAGCGGTTGCGGTGGACCTACGTAAGCACAGTTTGTGTTATACTCCTTGCTGAGTTTTGAGGAGAATGTTGTAATTCCACAACCAACCACACGATGGCGATCTCACAGGAGTTGCTTGAGAAACCAAAGCGGTCTCATTTACGCTGCTTCTTTCTCCTCTTCAGAACAAAAACATGAACAAACCGAGTTTGAGCTCATTACATGTGTTTCTACTGTAGGTTTATGTGATAGTTCTATGGACTCATTATTTTTTACCTTATTTAACTGTTGATGTTGTGAATAAAGACACAGTTCTTGTTGGAAACAGTTATTATTAAATTGTATTCTGCACAAACAGCAAAACAATAAAAGTTGTAAATATCTGAGGCAAACATGAACGATTTACGAGTGCAGGAGGAATGGAACAGACGCGATATACAAGTGCAGATTCAAACAAAGACAGGAACAGTGTAAAACAAACGACTGCACAGTTTATTAGTTATATATATATGTTAGATAGTCCACAGTCTCCGCGTCTATCAGGCTTTGAGCCCAAACTGCTTTTCTTTCGGTTTCTTCAAAGCACTCTGCTCCGAATACCTCGTCCATGCTCCTGCAGCCGCTTCATGCTTCCGCCCAAAACCCACACACACGGACCAATCACAGCTGAGCTTCCTTATGGCGACCCTTACGTAGTTAGAAAATTTCGAGGGTGCGCGGCAGGCAACATAAGGGCCTTACTGTGATCCACGCGTTGCGCAAGTGACGTCACGTCACCACCGTAAGCTCCGCGCCGCGCGAGTATACACTAGGCTTTACGGAGCTTTCGAATAACTTCAGCGGTCTCTAAATGTCTGTTTATATTTACAGTCTATGATTAGAACTGGACTCAGAACTGAAACTTTTGAAGACCGAGTTGACAGCTCTGGTCTAGATGGTTCAGATTTAAAGGAGGTTAAGGATCTTGTGGATTATAGATAATAAAACCCGATCTGATGTGGCCCTGGTGTGTGCAGAAGGCGGGCCGCTTCCAGCTGTCGCCCGAGATGGAGGTCCTGGTCTCGTCCTTCCTTGAGGGCTGTGATGACGTGGACCGGCAGGTGGCAGTGGTGCTGGGCTTCTCCGCTCTGTCCTGCCAGGGCTGTCCCGTCACCGCCCCCTCCTGGAGAGTGATGCAGCACCTCCGCCCCCCCGCTCTGCTCGCCTTTGTCAGCTGGCTCCAGAGCTCCTTCCTCCAGCCGCAGCTCACCTCCCTGCTGGACGTGAACGGGAAGACACCCAAGGACGACAAGGAGAGGTGAGAGAGGGGGGGAGGGAAGATGAGAGCGTAGAGAGGGAACAGGAGAGAGGTGAGAGAGAGAGGAAAGAGAAGAGGGGGAAAGATGGGAGAGAGCGTAGAGAGGGAAGAGGTGAGGTGGGGATGAGAGAGGGGGAAAGATGAGAGTGAGGTGAGAGTGTGAAGTTTTAATTTATTAAGGATAATGTGCAGTTGCATTAACCAGATTTAGCACCAGACTACTTTCCACCTGTAGTCCAGAGAGGTGCGAGGTAAGAGGGGGGGGGGAAGGTGAGAGAGAGGTGGGAGAGTTTATAGAGGAGGGAGAAAGGGAGAGGAGAGGGGGGGAGGTGGGAGGGGTGAGAGAGGAGATATTGTACAGCTAATGTGTTCCTCAGACCGGATATAGCGGCAAGGTAATTTTCATGAGTAATCCCAGGACAGAGGCAAAGGGACAGGTTTACAGTGTGCAAATAATGAATACACTGAATTGTCTAGTTTTTAAAATCCGGGTAAAATGCAACACCCTTAACCTCAAAGACACAAAACAACAGTTGTTTACATCTGATGAATGACTCCGCACTCGAGTGTCTTTAATGATTGGAACGATCAGAATAGAACCAGATCTGTCCCGCAGGCAGGCCTGGGTGCACCGGCTCCGCAAGTGGATCGCAGCTCGTCTCGTGGCTCTGGTGGACAATCAGCAGCTGAAGAAGGAGGAGAGCACCGTCATGGAGGTGTCCAGGTACTGTTGAAGGACACACCTTCTGAAACTTTCTGTCGGGAAAAGGGGTCGTAACATTTAGGGACTTCAAAACTAAGGTACCCCACGTTTAAAGCTAAAGAAACCGTCGGAACAAATGTCCATATAAGGCCATTGGCTGCAGCTAGCTTATGTTTAAATCTGCTTCTTCCTCATTTGGTTAACACTATGATGTGTAAAAATTTTTTTAATGAGGAGCAGTGGTCGCCGTAGTAACCGGGGACCCATCTCCACATGTGGGTACTCTGCTTGGTCAGGACCAGAGCTGGAGGATTTTACTTATTGTACATGGGTTAGCGTTAGGGTTAAAACATGGGGAGAATATGCAAACTTCACTCAGAAAGACTCTGTTCTGACAGGGATTCGAACCCAGTCAGAACAGAGTGATGCCAGCTACTCCTACTATACACTCTGCTTTTACCCCACTAGAAAAAACCCCTAAGGATCGTTCATTTGTTAATTGTACACAACTTCAGAAGCAAATGAACAATGCTGATTATTAGTCCTTTAACTCATCCACGGCTTTTTTTTTTTTTTTCTTTCTATGCCTCGTCAAAGCTCTCGTGCATCCTGTGTCAACATTTCAGACCTGTAAACGCTTTTTATTGTATACAAGTTGAATATTTCATGTGCACATAAGACAATCCTTTTGAGTGTATTGTGTGTACACGTTTAATTGATTTAAAGATAATTATACATTAAAAATAAAATTCTAAGTATTTCTGTTTTGTATCATAATAAAAACCTGTCAAACATTGTAAAATATCAGTAAAGAAAGAAAAAAACTACTTGAAAATGTGTGTTTAAAAAAAAAGGCTGTTTTCTCCATTTCGTGATCAGGAAACAGCATTTTGTGTGAAAGTTACCTATGTTGTACTCTCAATTGCTAAAAAACTAAAAGGGTTAGAAACGTACTCTTTTTTTTTTTTTAATGAAAGCCAAGAGACAGAGCTTTCATTTGGTATGTTTCATTCTTGTGTCAACCAAGGGCTCACATTTATATGAGGTTTGGAAAAACACTAAAAATATCCCAAATCTCTGGCAGTATGAGGGATGCTGCTTTATATATGGCTGGCAGTGAATGAGTTAATGGTGGGTTTAAGCTCTGAAGCCAGACAGCACGGCGTGGCTCAAACCTCAATGATGGAAATGCTGAGATGACACACATTCTGGATCTCTGCTTTTGCTCCTGTTGGTCGCACGTGTCTCGTCGTCTCCCTGTTTCTCCCTCCGGTCTCGTGGTGGTCTCTGTGAGGGTCATGTTCCAGTGTCTCTGCAGGTTCCTGATGTTCCACGCCTTCTTCAGCAGCAGATCTGTGTGTGCCGCGGTCCCAGAGAGCTCCCAGCAGCTGTCTGTGCCTCTGCAGGACGAGACCACCGCCGCCCTGGCCAGCTCCTTCTTCAGGTGCCCTCCCCCCGCCGCCTTTATGTGACATTATTACGTCTCCAACCTTTTCCTTGGAGAGCTACTTGTTCAGGACTAAAGTGGCAGAGAGCTACTCCTTTAGACAGTCGGCGTAATGTTGTGCCACAGTGGATCAAGTAGATTTGGTCTTGATTTGAAAAAAAAATCTTAAATCAATGCAACAACCAACTTTAGTCTTTTTTCATTGGCACAATTGTTTTAAGACAGTCTCTAAAAGTTCTCCCATTCATTTCTATCTTTTATCACAATTTTTGTTGTGTAGTGTTGGACCCATAAAACAATCATTAGTTATTAGTGAAAAAAGTAGCATTTATTTATATTTACTATATTTACTTTCAATAAAATGACGAGCGACTGGTGGCTCCCAAACTATAGGTTGCATTTTCAGGAAGACTTCCAGGTTTTAGCTGCGTCAGAATCAGAATGATTTCTATAACCGTTGTAACAGGAAGTCACTAACTATGAATTTGTTTTGGTGCAAATAAGTTAAAAAGTAAGAATTAGAATGAAGCATAAAAATGAATTAAAAATCTACATAACATTTCTCAAAATTACTATTTACAAGAGACTAAGTACACACATGATTATCAGTGTCTGTGTCTGTCCCTGTGATGCCGTCCTGAGTCCCTGTGTCTGTCCCTGTGCTTCCAGCCTACTGTTGGCCCTGCACCACTTGCCCCAGGCCCAGGAGCAGAGCCTGGAGGACGGCGCCCCCGTCAGGAGAGTGCTGGGAGTGCGTGCAGACGGGACCATGTGGATCTCTCACCTGTTTGACTTCGCTCAGTCCCTTCTGCAGCAGCAGCAGATCCAGCCGGGCTCCGCCTTTGGCCCCCCGCAGAGAGAGGCGTGGGACAGGTACGGTAGAGCCCTGCACTAGAGCCCTTGGCCCGAGGGGCCCAACAGCCCGAGGACCGGCCTTCGGACACGGGCCGGGCTCGGGCACTTTTATTTATTAATTTTCAGAACGGCAGATTACATTTACAAACGCACCCACTGAATAGAGTGTTCTATCACACTGTAGTGTTTGTGGTTCTGTTTAGTGTTGTCATTGACGACACATAGCGTTACCTTCAAGTGTGTTTTAATTCATTGAGGCATCTGTGTATCATACAGCTGTGTATCATACAGCTGTGTATCATACAGCTGCGGCTGTTCACTCGTACACACAGAACTCATGGCAACACATCACTACCATGTATAACTCCGCCCTCTGGCCGGGCCTTTGTTCATATCAGTGTGCGGCACTATATACTACACTAAAACATTGTTACGGGAGGTAAAAAAATAAAAAATCTGGCTTGATACGGGCCGGGCTCGGGCCCAGATAATAGTCTTTAAGCTAACACTTTAGATTAGCCCTCACTTATTAGCAGCTGATGGTGGTATTTGGTGTACCATAGATCTAGCCTATGATCTAACCCTGTGTCTGTAGTTAGTTAAATGTAGAATAAGGAATAATAAGTGCTCAATAAATGGGTGAAGCTGGGCCACAGAAAGGGTCATGTTTATCACGTGTCTGTGCAGAGGTTCTCTTCTCGTTCTTTGACATTAACAGAAAGTAAAGGTTTGTATCAAAACAGACAAACAGGAAAAACAAGGATTAAACGATGGTGAAAAGTTTTAGTTCATTGTTTTGTTTCTGTGACTTTTTATCGTAACTGAGTTTGGACCAAATCATGACTTTTACTGAATGTGTTTGATATAATTTAATATATTTCTATGAACAAACTGAGTCCAGCTGAGACTGAAACTAAACTGGACAAAAGCAACGAGGCTCAGTGTTGTAGTAGCATTAATAATAATGATAATGATAATGATAATGATGATAATGATAATGATACATCCAACTTGTATTGTGCTTTTTTGGACACTCAAAGACACTTCACATAAAATAAAAATAAATAAAAAGGGGCTTATGGAAAAGCTTGTTTGAACCATAGACTGTATATATTAACGGACGTAGTCAATTCTACGTTCAAAATTCTAACGGGCAGTGGGAGTGAGATCCAGAGGGTTGTGGACTGGGTTTAATAAGTTCACTTGACTTCTTATCTCATTCAGGGTTCAAGGTTTATGGTCATGTAAATGTTGTGCTTGTTTTTTTGATAAAAAATATGTTAAAAATTGTGTATAACAAATGAGCACAGGCTCTCAGTGGAGGCCGCACTGACATTACACTGTGATGTCCACTAGGGGGCGACACAATACCATTTATGCTGCAAAATTGACAAACTATAAGGTAATAAATGCGTGAATCAAGTCTTATCTTAATTTGAGTATATTTTGCCAATGGAACTAGCCATTTAGCCTTGTTTTCAGTGCTGTTGCCATTTGTCTCATTCCAAGGAAGGCATTTCTTGAATTGTCTTCTATTTTTTTAAAACCAGACATTTTTTCCTTGTCCCAATGGTAAATATTGTTTTTAGATTGTCAGAATGTTCTCGAATCAACATAAAAAACATTTGATTCATGCCTTTACCTTATAGTGTATAGTTTTTTGCGGTGTAGCCGGGTGATTGAGACCATGTGTCCCAGTGTGTGAGTGAGTCCTGTGCTTGTGTCCGCAGCCTCCTGGTCTCTGTGTCCAGCCTCAAAAAGAAGATGAAGAAGTCGGCCACCCCCGAGAACAAGGCCTTCCTGCAGCTCTTCCTCCTGGTCGCCATGTACCTCTTTAAGGTTTGTGGAGGAAGAGATCTGAGAGGTCTGCTCTGGGTGGGATTTATGAGGAGTCAGAAGGAGAAGACACAGCCCAAAGCCTTCATCAGACCAGAGAGAGAAAGAGAGACCAGAGAGAGAAAGAGAGACCAGAGAGAGAGGGAGACCAGAGAGAGAGGGAGACCAGAGAGAGAGAGGGAGACCAGAGAGAGAGGGGGAGACTACAGAGAGAGGGAGACCAACCAGAGAGAGGGAGACTATTGTTATTGAGATTGAAATTTAAAAATGTTTTGCTATGACCACAGTATATATTATCTGCCGCTTTAAGAACTAGAAAAAACAGCAGCTTTAGGAAATTACGGTCTTCATGTCTCGTCTTTTGCCTCAAAAAGTTCAGCACCGGAAAATAAAATGTATCTGCCTCGTGTTTAGTTCTGCCTCTGTGCTCCGGTCCCTGTGCTCCGGTCCCTCTGCTCCGATCCCTCTGCTCGGGTCCCTGTGCTCCCCAGAGTTTGCTTTCGTTCCCGTCTCTACACCGTTGCATTATGGGATGTGTCCTGTTTGTGCTGTAGGCCCCGGACGAGCTGCTGGACATCATCCGTGACCTGCAGAGCTGTGTGGAGCGAGCCCACAAAAAGAAGAGGCGCAGCAGTCCAGGTGAGGGCAGAGACCGGAGGGGAGACTGTAGCATGTTTATCCGACACACAAACTCACAGCTTCAGTGAAACATGGAAGTAGGAAAAGCGTAGTGTATTTCTAAGTGAACAGTGAAAGTTTGTTGACCTAAAGCACAAGAATCTCTGCAAACACAAATATTCTCAATCAATACAAATGTTTTTCTTCAACACAGTTCATACAGGATTCAATCCAAAGAGCGTCACATTGTTATTTAAAACCAACTGTCAACAAATTCAAACGCACTGAAAAACATGTGCAAAAGGAAATGTAAAACTGTTTAGAAACCGACATTTTAAAAACAACCCTCTGAGTGCAGTGATGAGGCTTTAAAGACTTGAATATAGTCAGGGTAGTGGCCTGTCTCACTCCTTCAGGAAGATTGTTCCAGATTTGAGGTTCATAAATCTGAAATTCTGCCTCCAAATGTGTAGTTATGACTCTTAGGAGCACAGGGACTGGCCTCCTGCTGGTCTCAGAGTCCCAGCAGCAGGCCAATCCCTGTGCTCCCCAGAGTCACGGCAGCAGGCCAGTCCCTGTGCTCCCCAGAGTCACGGCAGCAGGCCAGTCCCTGTGCTCCCCAGAGTCACGGCAGCCGGCCAGTCCCTGTGCTCCCCAGAGTCCCAGCAGGAGGCCATGGAGAGACTTGTAACAAACAGAGCTGTTTTAAAGTCTATTCTCTGAGCCACAGAGACCTGAGACCAGGACTAATGTGATGGTAATTCCAGGTTTGGAAGTACCATCTAGTTTGGACTCGAGCTGCAGAGTTTTAAATTATACTGCGGCCGTTTTAAACTGCGGCTGTTACAGTCTGACACTGGAGACAAAAACAGGATAAGAATCTCCAGGTCCAGTTTTGACATTATGCCTTTAATTCTAGTAACCTTGTATCATCAAAAGAACATTGTCTTTTGCTGCAAAAAAGCTACTGATTTCTAAATTCTAATATATGTTTGAATAGATCTCTCTTGGACCGCACTGCTTTACTGAAAACAACTTCATACAAACCAAAGTCAGATGTGTAGGTTCCATTATTTGTGTGTTTTTAAGATAATATTTCCTGTTGTTGACCGTGTGGTGTAGGTGAGGAGCAGGAGCCCGCCTGGGTGGAGGTCCTGGTGGAGCTGCTTCTCTCCCTGCTGTCCCAGCCCAGCAGACACATCAGGCAGGTCTGCAAGATGGTCTTCTCCTCGGTCTGCCCCCATGTCACCCAGCCCGCCCTGAGCGCCATCCTCAAGGTCGGGCCCCTGAACACACACACAAGTACACACAAACTCGCACACACACGCATACACACACACGCATACGCACACTCGCTCACACTCTCACTCTCACTTTCACTCTCTGACTCGCACTCTCGCACTCTCACTTTCTCACTCCCTCCCTCACTTTCTCTCACTCTTTCACTCACACCCTCTCTCTCTTTCTCTCTCACTTTCTCACACTCCCTCACACTCTCTCACACTGTCGCACTCACACTCACTCCCTCTCACACCCATGTTCACTCTCTCACTCACATTCACTCTCTCACACTCTCACTCTCTCACACTCTCGCATGCTCACGAGTCACTATAGAATCATGTGTGTCAGTGTCGCTCACCGCTATAAAATGAGTGGGAAAAGCAGAAACCTGTTAATCTAAGCTGAGGGTGGAGCTGAGGGTGGAGCTGAGGGTGGAGCTGAGGGTGGAGCTGAGGGTGGAGCTGAGGGTGGAGCTGAGGGTGGAGCTGAGGTTGGAGCTGAGGTTGGAGCTGAGGTTGGAGCTGAGGTTGGAGCTGAGGTTGGAGCTGAGGTTGGAGCTGAGGTTGGAGCTGAGGTTGGAGCTGAGGTTGGAGCTGAGGTTGGAGCTGAGGTTGGAGCTGAGGTTGGAGCTGAGGTTGGAGCTGAGGTTGGAGCTGAGGTTGGAGCTGAGGTTGGAGCTGAGGTTGGAGCTGAGGGTGGAGCTGAGGGTGGAGCTGAAGTAAAGCTGTGGTGGTGACTGTTCTGTTCAGGTCCTGGAGCCGGAGCCCGATGAGGAGGAGGACGGGGGGGTCCTGGTCACCGACGAAGAGCCAGGACTCGGGAAAGCAGAGGAGGAGGAGGAGGTGAGGAGGGACTGGAATGAATCACCTTTAACATGAAAGGGTTGCAACAGATCGGTCGAGAGAGGAGTCATTGACCCACAACAAAGAACTAAAGAAAATAGCCGTAATACATTTTTTTAAGCTGAATTTTGATGATTTTGAACTTTTTTTCTTAACTCAAGGTTTAACAGGGTCTACTTTAAATCTGAGGGGAGTCACTAGAAGGCCTTTGACGTAATGCCAGCAGGGGGAGCACTTCTACTTTTCTGTCATTTATAATATTATTTATTGTAATTTAGTTTATTTTTATTTATATGTATTTTTTAATCATTATTTAATTCTTTTTCTAGTCATTTAGCTTTAGTTATGATTACAGCTTTTAATTCTCTATGTATTCTATGTACCATCAATCCTATATTTTTTCTTGTCTTTTGTTTTCTTTTTTAGGTGTGTGTGCGTACGTATATGTATGTATAGGTGTGTATGTATGTGCACTAGATGTCATTTATTGTATATATATATTAGGGCCAGTACTTTAACGCGTTAATTATGATTAATTAACGCCACAAAATTAGCGCGTTAAAAAAAATACGCATTTTGATTGATGAGGATGAGTTTCAGACGGACCGATTATACTGGAGCGCCACCTGAGCTCCGTGACTTTCCTGTTCAAATGTACATTATAACAAGCATAGACCAACTCTAACTCGAGACAGCTGTGTGTGGAGCAATGTTGTGTGAGGAGGAGGAGAAGGAGGAGCAACCAAAGGTAGTATTGGAAGATCGTTTTACATAAAAAATAAATCCGTTTATGCATTTGCGTGTGGACAGAGATAACCGGAGTTTTGCGTTTTTGCACGCCACAGTAGGCTGCCAAAACAACAACAACAACAAACAAAACCTCTGATCACTGAAGCATGGATCATACTGCCTTAAAAACTGTTCACCGCTGCTGCGGTTCACTGCTGCTGCGATCCTCGCTCCACATCAGAGAGCAGCAAAGTGAGCGGGCAAAAAAACAGGAGCTAAACCAGGATCAAACCAGGGCTGAGGGCTGGGGTCAATGCTTTTAAACGTATGCCTTCACCATGGATTTATAATAATACGTCTTCTCCCTGAGTTTCTACTATGACTGTAAGTGCCGCTACAGAACGGAAGTTACGCATGTAACTACGGTTCTATGAATCCTGGATGACCGCTGCTTAAATGCAAAATATTTCATAAATCATGCAGTTTTGCATGTACATCAACATACATTGTAGATATAAAGAATCCTCAATATATTAAGAAATAGATATGTTTTGCATTTTTGTAGTAGGTAGATCATTTTGACTTGATCATTTTATAAGTATGCATGCTGAAAAAGTGTGAGCACCCCTGTTTTAGTTCTAATGTACACATCAAAAACGTATTGTTAGCTTTTGTACTCACTTCGAGTGCAGTGGATTTTGGGCTTAAGAAGTGTATGTTGTGGACAGTGTGTGTGGAGGCGATGACAGAAACGTTATTGGATGGATAGAAGTCCGTCTGATCCTCCACAATGAACATGTGTTGCTTAAGCTATTAGATAGCTATATGGCCTACGTGCAGGACAACTGCAAGACTATACAAGGACTCCGTTTTGACTTTGCTCTGTCTCTGTTAAATGAAAGACATACGAGTCACAATGACTATATAACTGTTTGGACTCCATTTTGGTCTGAGAGAGAAAGAAACATCAGAAACCACTGGAACTTGAACCAAAATAAACTTCCAGAGTTTGCCGCACCACGATCCGTCTGTCTGGTTTATTCCTGACACTTATTATGTCATTATTCAATGGTAAACTAAAAATCCATGTAGAAAAATATTACTTCTCACTGTTCTCAGGACAAATATTTATATGCGATTAATCGAGATTAATTAATTACAAAGCCTCTAATTAATTAGATAAAAAATGTAATCGAGTCCCAGCTCTAATATTCATATACACACACCGCAGATACAATGGTTTTTAAATGATGGTGTGGATCCTGGTTTCAGGAGGGCTCAGACTCAGATGATGAAGAAGGCGATGAGGAGGAGGAGGAGGAGGAGGACGAAGAGGACGGAGACGCAGACGACGATGAGGACGAGAACGAGGAGGAGGCGCAGGAGGAGGTGGACCCAGAGTTCCGGCTCCGTCTCATGAAGGTCCTGGAGAAGCAGAACGCCCTGGTCAGTCTGACTGCTTTACGTTGGACCAGAGAGAGAGATCAGAGGGAGAGAGAGACCCCAGAGGGAGAGAGAGACCCCAGAGGGAGAGAGAGACCCCAGAGGGAGAGAGGGACCCCAGAGGGAGAGAGAGACCCCAGAGGGAGAGAGAGAGAGACCAGAGAGAGAGAGACCAGAGAGAGAGAGACCAGAGAGAGAGAGACCAGAGAGAGAGAGACCAGAGAGAGAGAGACCAGAGAGAGAGAGACCAGAGAGAGAGAGACCAGAGAGAGAGAGACCAGAGAGAGAGAGACCAGAGAGAGAGAGACCAGAGAGAGACCAGAGAGAGACCAGAGAGAGAGAGACCAGAGAGAGACCAGAGAGAGACCAGAGAGAGACCAGAGAGAGACCAGAGAGAGACCAGAGAGAGACCAGAGAGAGACCAGAGAGAGACCAGAGAGAGACCAGAGAGAGACCAGAGAGAGACCAGAGAGACCAGAGAGACCGGAGAGGGAGAGAGAGACCGGAGAGGGAGAGAGAGACCGGAGAGGGAGAGAGAGACCGGAGAGGGAGAGAGAGACCGAGAGGGAGAGAGAGAGAGAGAGAGAGAGAGAGAGGAGACCGGAGGGGAGAGAGAGAGAGAGACCGGAGGGGGAGAGACCGGAGGGGGAGAGAGAGAGAGAGACCGGAGGGGGAGAGAGAGAGAGAGACGGAGGGGGAGAGAGAGAGAGAGAGAGAGAGAGACCGGAGGGAGAGAGAGAGAGAGAGAGAGAGACCGAGACCGGAGGGAGAGAGAGAGAGAGACCGAGACCGGAGAGAGAGAGAGAGAGAGAGAGAGAGAGAGAGAGAGAGAGAGAGACCGAGACCGGAGAGAGAGAGAGAGAGAGAGAGACCGGAGAGAGAGAGAGAGAGACCGGAGGGAGAGAGAGAGAGACCGGAGGGAGAGAGAGAGAGAGAGAGAGAGAGAGAGAGAGAGAGAGAGACCGGAGGGAGAGAGAGAGAGACCGGAGGGAGGGAGGGAGAGAGAGAGAGACCAGAAGTATGTTACCATGTAGAGTGTGGTTACCATGAGCTCACGGTGAGTCCAGGCCAAGGAGGAGGACAGCAGCGGGGACGAGGACTTGGACGATGAGGCCATGATGAAGCTGGACCAGAGCCTGGCCTCGGTCTTCTCTGAGCAGAAGAAGAAGAATCAGGCCAAGAAGGAGGAGAAGTCCAAACTGAAGAAGGAGAAGGTCCTCATCCGAGACTTTAAAATCAAGGTGTGTGTGTGTGTGTGTGTGTGTGTGTGTGTGTGTGTGTCCTCTGCTGGTGTGTAACTGTGTGTGTGTGTCCTCTGCTGGTGTGTAACTGTGTGTGTGTGTCCTCTGCTGGTGTGTAACTGTGTGTGTGTGTCCTCTGCTGGTGTGTAACTGTGTGTGTGTGTGTCCTCTGCTGGTGTGTAACTGTGTGTGTGTGTGTCCTCTGCTGGTGTGTAACTGTGTGTGTGTGTGTCCTCTGCTGGTGTGTAACTGTGTGTGTGTGTGTCCTCTGCTGGTGTGTAACTGTGTGTGTGTGTGTCCTCTGCTGGTGTGTAACTGTGTGTGTGTGTGTCCTCTGCTGGTGTGTAACTGTGTGTGTGTGTGTCCTCTGCTGGTGTGTAACTGTGTGTGTGTGTGTCCTCTGCTGGTGTGTAACTGTGTGTGTGTGTGTCCTCTGCTGGTGTGTAACTGTGTGTGTGTCCTCTGCTTGTGTTTGTTTGTATCCATGTGTGTGTCCTCTGCGTGTGTGTAACCATGTGTGTTGTTATGTTAAGGCTTCAAACATAAAGATATTAAATTTTAATTTTTTGTCATGAATCAACAAGTGGCGACAGTAGCTCAGTTGGTAGAGCATTGGCCTTTGAGCCTGAAGGTCGTGGGTTCGAGCCCACCGTAAGACCTACTTCACGACTCCCACTGATGACTGCTGTCGTTGTGTCCTTGGGCAAGACACTTAACCCCACTTTGCCTGAAGCCCCCACTGAAAGATCTCAGCTCCTGTGGACTCACCACCTGCAGGAGGATCAGTGAGAGCTCTGTGAACTGGGTGGCATCTCTGGCCACCCCCCCGACCCAGAAATGGATTAAGGGGAAGAAAATGGATGGATGGATGGATGGAAACAACAAGTGGGACACAATCGTGAAGTGGAACGAAATTTATTGGATAATTTAAACTTTTTTAACAAATAAAAAACTGAAAAGTGGGGCGTGCAATATTATTCGGCCCCTTTACTTTCAGTGCAGCAAACTCACTCCAGAAGTTCAGTGAGGATCTTTGAATGATCCAATGTTGTCCTAAATGACTGATGATGATAAATAGAATGCACCTGTGTGTAATCAAGTCTCCGTATAAATGCACCTGCTCTTTGATAGTCTCAAAGTTCTGTTTAAAGCGCAGAGAGAACCATGAAGACAAAGGAACACACCAGGCAGGTCCGAGATACTGTTGTGGAGAAGTTTAAAGCCCGATTTGGATACAAAAAGATTTCCCAAGCTTTAAACATCTCAAGAAGCACTGTGCAAGCAATTATATTGAAATGGAAGGAGTATCAGACCACTGCAAATCTACCAAGACCCGGCCGTCCCTCCAAACTTTCAACTCAAACAAGGAGAAGACTGATCAGAGATGCAGCCAAGAGGCCCATGGTCACTCTGGATGAACTGCAGATAACTACAGCTGAGGTGGGAGAGTCTGTCCATAGGACAACAATCAGTCGTGCACTGCACAAATCTGGCCTTTATGGAAGAGTGGCAAAAAGAAAGCCATTTCTCAAAGATATCCATAAAAAGTCTTGTTTAAAGTTTGCCACAAGCCACCTGGGAGACACACCAAACATGTGGAAGAAGGTGCTCTGGTCAGATGAAACCAAAATCGAACTTTTTGGCCACAATGCAAAACGATATGTTTTGCGTAAAAGCAACACAGCTCATCACCCTGAACACACCATTCCCACTGTCAAACATGGTGGTGGCAGCATCATGCTTTGGGCCTGCTTTTCTTCAGCAGGGACAGGGAAGATGGCTAAAATTGATGGGAAGATGGATGGAGCCAAATACAGGACCATTCTGGAAGAAAACCTGTTGGAGTCTGCAAAAGACCTGAGACTGGGACGGAGATTTATCTTCCAACAGAACAATGATCCAAAACATAAAGCCAAATCTACAATGGAATGGTTCACAAATCAGATTCAGATTCATTTATTCGCCATTTGCAGTGAACTACATTGGAATACGTTTGTAAAAAGTTCCCAGTGTGCACAGGACAAGTACAGACACAAAAAGACAAAAAAAGACATTAAAAGACAAAAATAAAACAAATTTTAAAAACAGTAAACAAATGTCACCGTGAAGTTGACCAACTTAAAACAGATCTATACGAGTGCAAAAAAAAACATTAAAGTGCTCTATTCAAACTGATAACAGCTCGTGGAAAAAAACTGTTAGCATAACGAGATGTCCTGCATCTCAGAGAACAGTATCTTCTGCCAGAGGGAAGAAGCTGGAACAAGGCTTTTCCTGGGTGGCCAGAAGAGTCATTGATAATTCTCAGGGCACTGTTAAAAAGTCTGGATTGATAAAGAACCTCCAGAACAGGAAGCTCACTGCCTACGGTCCTCTTTGCAGAGCGGAGCACCTTGTTTAAAGCTCTCTTTTCTTTATCTGTGATGTTTCCGAACCACACAGACACAGAACCAACAAGTAAACTCTCAATGGTGCAGCGATAAAAGTTCAGCAGAATCTTAGAGTTAGTGGTAAATTCTCTAAGTTTCCGCAGGAAGTAGAGACGCTGACGAGCTTTCTTTACGACCCGGTCAGTGTTTTTAACCCATTTCAGGTCGTTAGACAGAGTTAAACCCAGAAACTTGCACTCCTCTACAATCTGCACTTGGGAGTTATCGATTGCGACAGGCAAATGAGAACTATTGCGACTGAAATCAAAGACCAGTTCACATGTTTTGGATGCGTTCAGCTGGAGGTTGTTAGCCTTACTCCACTGAACCACGTTTTGGATCTCGGCTCTATAAGACGATTCATCATTATTACTGATGAGACCGATGATGGTGGTGTCATCAGCATATTTGATGATCAGGTTAGAGTCTGAGGAAGACACACAATCATGAGTGTACAGTGTAAAAAGTAAAGGACTCAAAATACATCCCTGAGGAGATCCAGTGCTCACAGAAACAACATCTGAAAAACAGTCATTGATTTTCACTCTCTGAGATCTGTCTGTTAAAAAGCTGTAGATCCATTTACACATGGCAACACTTAAACCGAGAGACATGAGCTTTTCAATCAGTATACCTGGGACAAGACAATTAAAAGCAGAGCTATAATCAATGAACAGCATTCTTGCAACAGATTTCCTATTGTCCAAGTGACTGTAGACAGAGTTCAGAGCAAAGGAGATGGCATCCTCCACACTCCTGTTCTGTCTGTAAGCAAACTGGAGCGGGTCAACACTCACAGGGATCTGGCTCTTAATGAAGTCCAGCACAAGCTGCTCAAAAGTTTTCATAAGAACAGACGTGAGGGCCACAGGACGATAGTCATTCAGGCATGTCACAGGAGTTTTCTTAGGAACTGGGATAATGGTCGACTCTTTGAAGCAGTTCGGCACAGTACAGTTCCTTAGCGACAGGTTAAAAATGTCTGTTAGCACAGGGGCAATTGATTGAGGCAATCAGGAAAGACAGTAGGACAGGCATCAGCGGATTCAAAGCGGCAGTAGAACGTGTTCAGCTCATTAGGCAGAGCTGGGCCAACAGATCCGATTTTCCCAGCACTAGGTTTCCAGGACGTAATGGCTTTAATACCGTTCCACATGCGCCGAGGGTCATCTTCCTTAAAATAACCCTTTAACCTGTCCCCGTAACTGCGCTTTGCAGATTTAATAGAACGTTTCAATGCATAACAGGATAGCTTATAGGCAACTGTATCGTTAGATTGAAACGCCAGAGCACGCTCATGAAGTTTTTGTTTCACTTCCGCGTTCATCCAAGGGTTTTGACTGAGATGTACTTTAATGACCTTCTGTGGGACACAGCAGTCAATACAGAAGCGTATGTATCCAGTCACAGCGTCACAGAATTCATTAACATCCTCTGATTGAAACACAGACCAGTCAGTGGCATCAAAACACCCTTGTAGCTTCATGCTAGCCCCCTCGGACCAACACTGCACAGTGCGTGAGGTTGGTTTATGTTCCCTGCTCCTCTGAGAGTATGAGGGAAGAAGGAGAACAGAGGAGTGGTCGGACTTTCCAAATGGAGGTCTGAGACTGGACCTGTAAGCTCCCTTCACATTGCTGTAGCAGTGATCCAGAACATGTGCTCCTCTTGTAGCTTGAGTCACATGTTGGTAGAAATTTGGGAGTACAGTCTTTAAATTACATTTGTTAAAATCCCCAGCGACAATGATCACTGCATTAGGATGAGCAGTCTCGTATTTATGAAGGATCTCGCTCAGATCCTGTAGTGCTACAGTATAGTCCGCTCGTGGGTGGATGTAAACAGCGCATAAAAATATCACAGAAAACTCCCGCGGAAGATAAAAAGGGCGACAGCTCAAGACCAGGCATTCCAGATTGGCAGTACATGTTTGGTTCACGATGCGAGTATCCGTGCACCAGAGCTGATTAATTAAAAAGCACACACCTCCACCTCTGGATTTCCCCGTGGTCTCCTTATCTCTGTCCGCTCGGTGAACGGTGAATCCCGGGGGCTGAACAGCAGAGTCCGGGACGTTCGTGTGGAGCCACGTCTCGCTGAGACAGAACACAGCGCAGTCTCGGGCCTCTCGCTGGCTCTGGATACGACACAGGAGCTCGTCCGTCTTGTTGGGCAGAGACTGTACATTCGCCAGGTAGATGGAGGGCAGAGCGGTTCTGCAGGAGCGGCATCTCACGAGCAGACCGCCTCGTTTTCCCCGGTGTCTGCGCCTCCTACGTCGGCTCCCGGTACCCAGCTCCACACCGCGGAGAGCACGGCGGAGACGCCCAGTCCCCCCGCTCTGTTCGCGGCCATTGCCGCGGCCCGCCTGCCATGTCTGACGGGCCTCACGAGTGGGGCACTCAATGAAGTCCACGCACCTCAGTTCGGGTAAGACCTGCGATACTCCACAAGCTCGGTCCCGAATGAAGAGAAGTGTCTCTCGGTCGTACCTCACGGTGGCAAGTGTATCACAGACGAATAACAACATGGAACAGATAGTGCACACCAGAGCTCTTACTGAGGCGCCCTGACCCGGCGCCATCTTGCTCCCCCAAGACGTATAGACGTATCCAGGTGTTAGAATGGCCAAGTCAAAGTCCAGACCTGAATCCAATCGAGAATCTGTGGAAAGAGCTGAAGACTGCTGTTCACAAACGCTCTCCATCCAACCTCACTGAGCTCGAGCTGTTTTTGCAAGGAAGAATGGGAAAGAATTCCAGTCTCTCGATGTGCAAATATGATAGAGACATACCCCAAGCAACTTGCAGCTGTAATTGCAGAAAAAGGTGGCGCTACAAATTATTATCGCAAGGGGGCCGAATAATATTGCATGCCCCACTTTTCAGTTTTTTATTTGTTAAATAAGTTTAAAATATCCAATAAATTTTGTTCCACTTCACGATTGTGTCCCACTTGTTGTTGATTCTTGACAACAAATTTAATTTTTATATCTTTATGTTTGAAGCCTGAAATGTGGCAAAATGTTGAAAGGTTCAAGGGGGCCGAATACTTTCGCAAGGCACTGTATGTGTGTGTCCTCTGCCGGTGTGAAAGTGTCCATACATGTGTGTCCTCTGCTGGTGTGTAACAATGTGTGTCAGGTGCTGGACCTGGTGGAGGTGTTTGTGTCCCGTCAGTCCAGCAGTCCTCTGTGTGTGTGTAACCATGTGTGTGTAACCATGTGTGTCAGGTGCTGGACCTGGTGGAGGTGTTTGTGTCCCGTCAGTCCAGCAGTCCTCTGGTGCTGTCCCTGGTGCAGCCTCTGCTCACTCTGATCCAGAAGTGTATGGGCTCAGAGCGAGAGCTGCACGAGCAGGACCTGCTGAGGCGGGCCGCACATGTGCTAAGGTATACACACACACAGGTACACAGACATAGGTACGCGCACACAGACGCACACACACACACACACACAAAGGAGAGCCTCACACATTTATAAACATTGGTGTTTGCTTCTTATGAACCGGAAGCTCTGTGTGTTTGTTATTGTTGCATTGTGTGTGAACTGTTTGATTCTCTGATCTGTGTTGGAGAATCAACAACTTTGTAAAGTCGTCTGAGACAATCTACTGTTGTGATTTAGGGATATTCAAAAGTAAATTGAATTGAACTAATCGGAGTGTGTGATTTTTGGGCTGGACAAAAGCTCCCGTCATTGTGTAATCCAACTGAAAGACATGAAACACATCCTCATTGAATGATGTGTGTGTGTCTCTGCGTCTCTGTGTGTGTGTGTGTCTCTGTGTGTATGTGTGTGTGTCTCTGTGCGCGTGAGTGTCTGTGTGTGTCTCTGTATGCGTGCGTGTGTCTGTGTGTGTGTGTCTCTGTGCATGTTCGTGTTTCTGTGTGTGTGTCTGTGTGCATGCGTCTCTGTGTGTGTGTCTCCGTGTGTGTGGTAGAAACGAGTTGTTCCGGGCCAAAGTGTACTGCCGGTCTGTGGAGGACCGGGCCTCAGAGCTGCATGAGCTGCTGGAGTCTCTGCTGAACAAGGCCCTGAAGCTTCACGACTCCTCAGTGGCTCTTTACTACTTCAGGTCAGCCCTGTCTGCACACGCTTACACACCTGTGACCTGTCTGCACACACGTACACACCCGTGACCTTTGACCTGTCTGCACACACTTACACTCCTGTGACCTCTGACCTGTCTGCACACGCTTACACACATGTGACCTCTGACCTGTCTGCACACGCTTACACACCTGTGACCTCTGACCTGTCTGCCTGTCTGCACACGCTTACACACCTGTGACCTCTGACCTGTCTGCCTGTCTGCACACGCTTACACACCTGTGACCTCTGACCTGTCTGCACACGCTTACACACCTGTGACCTCTGACCTGTCTGCACACGCTTACACACCTGTGACCTCTGACCTGTCTGCACACGCTTACACACCTTTGACCTGTGCCCTCTGACCTCTACAGCGCCTGCTTGTACCTGCTCAAAGTGCTGAGAGGAGCTCCTCCATCCACAGGATCAGACCAGGACCCTGCAGACAACGTAAACACACAACACACACATAGACACAAACCCCCCCCCACACACACACACACACACACGTACACACACACGCACACACACACAAACTATCCACCACTGAGCGTCCTGCTGACTACTGTTCTTTCTGGACTATAAGCCACACCTGTTGATAAGCCACACAACCAACATTTGAAAATACAATTAAAGTTGTCCACAGATAGGCCGCACCTGAATATAGGCTGCAGGTTTTCATGTTCATCATGCTTCCAGGACTCTTTCACCGTTACCTACCAGGACTCAAAAAATACACATTAGCCACATCGCTAAATAAGCCGCAGGGATCAAAGAACTAGGAAAATGTAGCGTCTTATGGTCTGGACACACTTTTATCACGTCTTTTTGAAGTTGTCTTCGTGGCCTGAGCCTGTCCTGTGTGTGCGTGTCTGTGTGTCTGTGTGTGTGTGTGCAGGTGCGCTTCATGGGCCTAGTGGACTTGCCGCGGGTCGTCCCTCCGTTCCGCTCTGCTCTCTGCTCCTTCTTCAGCCGCAGGAAGAGTCCTCTGACCACACAGATGTTCTCTGACCTCTTCACACGCTTCCCGGTCAGTCCCCACACACACAAACGCACACACACACACACACACACACACACGATGCTCAAACGCATACTCTTTAAGTATATAGGAGGATTTTCCCAATTTTTAGGAAAGGACCGCCTTCTCGACTTTTTGAACAAAAACAAGCAGGTATCACAAGAATGATTGACAGTTGGGACACTTGATGATTCACCCAGAAGTCCTCCTTTATACCTTTTTAAGTGTGGATAAATAACACCTAAACTAAAGCTACAGTCAAGTCCAAGTTGTTGATTCCAGTTTTGTCCCAGGTTTTGTGTGTGGAGCTGCTGGACACTGCTGTGGAGAACATGACAGCAGGCGTCAGAGAACACCAGCAGGTAGTGTTGTGTTGTGTTGAGTTGTGTAGTGCCAGGTCTGTGTGTTCATGTTTGTGTTGTGTTGTGTAGGGCCAGGCGTGTGTGCTGGTGCTGCGTGCCTTACAGAGCAGAGAGGTCCAGCTGTTGACGTCTGGAGAAGCCTGGACCCAGCTCTGCTCCAGAGTGACCGGTCAGCTGGTGTTGGTGAGAGACACACAAACGCACAACACAAACGTAAAGACAAACACACAAACAAAAATTATGCTACTCAACCCTTTTCCTTTCTCCAAAGCTGCTTTGATTCTTCCTTTGAGTCCTTTTACCAGAGATTGAAGACCATGTGTGAGCCTAATTCACAGCTTGTCCTCACTCCTTCACTTCACTGAGGGGGGGTGCCACAGGGCTCGATACTCGGCCCGCTGCTGTTCACTCTTCACATGAACAATCTCCTCTGCGAAGTGACGGCAGAGATCCTGAGGCTCTGAGAGGAAAGGGAGTGTTGTGTGAAGTAAATGAATTCACATTTGGTGGAATCCTGACTGTATGTAGTTCAGCAGTGTGTGTTTAAACCATAGACTCTATATATTAACGGACGTAGTCACGCCCATCTCCGCCATTCTAACTAATGGGCCAAAAAATGGAGTGATTCAAAATGCACGCAGGGGCTGGAAAATGTGAAAAAAACGCATCTGCGCATACGTTAGCCAGCGCGAGCTCCATTCATTTAAATGAGTGACTTAAAAAATTCACAGTGAGTAAACTAGACTGGTCCAAAACTTAGCCCTTAGCATTGACACACATATGGAACGGAGCTTTGGGCCAAGAGCCAACTTTTGGACCATCCTGTAAAGGTGTTTTTGAGAGGTAAGAAGATGCTACATGTTAGCATTGGCTAATTCTTTCTCCGGGTCCACCCCAACAGGCGCGGGGTGGTATTGCAGCATGTTGGCGCACGTCATTTTGGCCACTTTTGAGCCAGGACCCGCCCCCACTGGTGTTGCAAAGACTGCAGCAGTGTGTGTGTGTGTGTTAAGGTGCTCACAACCCCCTCGTGTGTGTTTGGCAGAGTGTGCAGCAGTGTGCGTCTCAGCAGAAGGCCCTGAAGGACAAACTGCAGCAGGTCCTGGATCTGTGTCTCTGTGTGCAAGGACACGCCCACAGACAGGTGAGGACACGGCCATTTCCCTCTCAGCACAACACTGCAGCAAAAACAACCAGCAACTCATTCACATTCTTTCTTATGAACTATTCTGTGTGTATGTGTCTTTCTCTTCCTCTCTCCCTCTCCCTCCATCTCTCTCTCTCTCCTCTACAGAAGTTGCCTGTGGCCCTGGAGCCCCTTCAGGCCTCTCTGCAGGAGCTCAGCAGCAGCTGCAGCTTCAGTAAGACTGGGCGTGTGGAAGACACGTACTGGGCTGTGATGAAGAAGTTCGGGGTCATGTAGGTCTCTCTCCTTCACTACACCACACGCTCCGCCCACAGCTGCCTCTCCATATGCATCATGGAATCACCCTCGCCCGCAAGTGTGGTCCGGAGCTCAGTTGCTCTAAGCGTCTTTTTAAGGGTGTGAGGGCCCTTCACGCCCTACACCCCCGCTGGCACCCGCAAAATCTAGGGCAAGGATCAAAATCTCATTATCAGAATCAACTGGAATCAAAGTAGCACAGATTGTGTCACAAAGGTCCATCAGGAGATCATCTGTTGGATCTATGAGTCTGATCTGAGGTTCTTTAGTGGAGTGAAGTAGGACTGGGATTTGGCAAAAATGTGAGAATCGATAGTACGCTGACATTCGGGCCACAATTCAATATTATTGCGATTCTCAGCATATCGCGATACAGACAGTAGTGATTCTGTGATATATATATATCATGATTTATGTATTATTCAAAGACTTGACGTCACGACAATATAGAGAAACATAAACCTCAGATGGAAATGACCAGAGTAAACACAAAAGTGAAACAGATAATTATTTAATTAAATATTGCGATACTGAACAGAATTGTTTTTTCAACAAATTTCACCATTTACTGAGACTTGTATCATTACCTTCAGTTGTAAAAATCAGAATATTTACACAATGATTAAAATTTACTTAACTAAAATTCTAAATCTGATTTGAAATGATCTTGAGCTCCTTGCATAGTTTAACAAAGCCTGACTTAAGTTCTGACTTTTCTCAGGAAACCCAAAAGTGAAAAGACAAAGCCAAACCCCGAGGTCCAGACCTTGAAGACTGTCCCTAAGAAGAAGAAAGGCTTTTTACCGGAGAGCAAGAAACGCAAGAAGCGCAAGGTCCTGGAGACGACGGACGCCACAGCGAACATCCAGCCCCGAGAGAAGAGCGAGGGGAAGAAGGCGAGCGGGAAGATGGGGGGCGGGAAGAAGGCCGGCAAGAGGCCAGCGGGGGCAGCACCGGCTCAGGACAGTCCCAGCAAGAAGACCAAGCTCCCGAACAAGAAGAAGGGGAATAAGGGGAAGGAGTAGAGGTCGGTCCAGGGCTAGAACTGGGGCCTCATGAGGGTCGGGTCCTCTCCCGGGGGTCACCTACAGAGGACTGTGGACTGTGGACCTCTGGCTGCTGTTAAAGGACACACGTCACCCTCGATCCCTCCCTGTGAACATCTGCTTTCATGTTTATAGATCACACCGTACTTTCCGGACTATAAGCCGTACCTGAATATAAGCCGCACCTGCTACATTTAAAATAAAGGCAATGTTGTCCATATACAGGCCGCACCTGGATATAAGATATGATTTATTGACAATGTGATTGACAGGTTAGCTTCCATGACTCATTCATCGTTAGCTTCATATTAGCCTCCTCGCTGTATAAGCCGCAGGGATCAATGAATTAGTCAAAAGCAGCAGCTCATAGTCCAGAAGTTACGGTAGTTTGGAGTATTTCTTGTGAAGTTGTTTATCAATTCTATTCCGTTTATTTGTGTACATCCCTAAATCACAACATGTTATAAAGTTGACAATTCCTCAACAACAGATCAGAGAATCAAACTGTTGGAACACAGTAATTGTCCCTAGTGAATGAGACTGAGGCTGTAGACCCAGGACTGAGGCGGTAGACCCAGGACTGAGGCGGTAGACCCAGTCCTGACCTGTCCTTTAGTCCACACCCTGCAGCAGGTTGTGTCTCCCCCTGGTGGACGCCCTCAGAGCTGCAGTGTGGGGGAGGAAAGAGCGTTGGAGAAAAACATGAGAAAATCTTGTTACTAACGAGTGACATTGTATTATGGGATGATTGCAAAGATCGTATTGGACTGATGCAGGAAGAGATGTCCCCGCTCCTCCTCCTGCCCCCTCTCCTCTCCCTTCTCTCTCCTCCTCATGCCCCCCCTCTTCTCCACCCTCCTCTCTCCTCCTCTTGTCCTCCCTTCCTCCTCTCCCTCCTCCTGCCCTCTCTCTCCTCTCCTCTTGTCCTCTCATCTCTCTCCTCTCTCCCCCTCCTCCCTCTCTCTCCTCCTCCCTTGTCCTCTCATCTCTCTCCTCTCTCCCCTCCTCCTGCCCTCTCTCTCCTCCTCCTCTTGTCCTCTCTCTCCTCCTCCTCTCCACCTCTTGTCCTCTCTCTCCTCCTCTCATCTCCCTCCTCTCCTCTCTCCCCTCCTGTCATCTCTTCCCCCTCCTCTCCCTCCTCTTGTCCTTCCTTCCCTCCTCTCCTCTCTCCTCCTTTTGTCCTCTATCTCTCCTCCTCCTCTCCTCTCCCTCCCTCCTCCTCCTCTCCTCTCTCTCCTCTTGTCCTCCCTTCCTCCTCAAACATGACACGTCTTTCATTTGAACTTGAGGCAGATAAACGGTCGTCCTCTTGGACCTAAATATAAATATAAATATTTCCTGTTTCAGATAAAGTCTTTTTGTTTGTTTGTTTATTTTGATTTTGAGAATTGTTTGAACTAAAATTATGGATTTATTTGTTTTGTAATAAATAAAAAATATACTTGAGCTGTGTTTGAGAAATGTTTCAGTATTGGGCAGAAAACTGTAGTTCTCTCCTCTCTCCTCCTGTCCCCTCTCTCTTCTCTTCCTGTCCTCCTCTCTCTCCTCTTGTCCTCTCTCTCTCCTCTTGTCCTCCTGAAGAATGACTGCAGACGGGAACGGAAGTAATCAACTAATGTCCCACAGAATAATCACTGTCCTGGGACAAGGACGCTCCAGCAGCACCGCCCCCACAATGACACACTACCACTCACACACACTCATACACACACATGCACTCTACCATTCACACATACTCATGCACTACCACACACACACATAATCATACACACGTTCTTTGTGTGCGTACATGTGTCTATATCGTCTGCTCTGCCAGAGAAACGTCACACTGGAAGGACATGTTCCACTGTCAGACTGTAGTAAGAGTACTGTTCCACTGTCAGATGCTACCTGCGTACATACACAGAGAGAGAGACAGGAGCCTCAGTCCACACTGTTTCTTTATTATAAATATGCATACATATTTGATAAGGCGTTATGCTGCAGGCGGAGCTGGGACTATAGGAGGTGATGTCACATGATGTAGAACAATCATTTATTTACAGACTATGTGCATAACTATCCTCAGGCTATAGGAGCTACATGTGTCCACAGACACACTATGCAGAAGATACCATAAAGCCTACCACTAACATCTATATGGAACACATGCCACGGAAGAACAGCACTGTCCCCTGGGCCCCTAGTCCCTCAGGGCTCCTGGCTCCTGGACCAGCAGAGGACTACAGGAGGAAGAACAAGTTCATAGAATCAGTTCCACAGAGGTCTGGAGGGCAGAGCTGGTCCTGGCTCTGGTCTGAACCAGGTCCAGGTCCATGTCCAGGTCCTGGTTCAGACCAGGCTTTGGTGTGGACCAGGTCTGGCTCAGGTCCTGTTGGAGCAGGCAGCGTGGGCTGTTGTGCCGGTTATTGCTCTTCTGTTTTCCCTGAAGTTGTCAACAGACGCTGGGGTCCTGGCTGCAGCTGGAGCTGGGGGCCTCCTCCTCGGGCCCTGGGCCCTTATCACAGGGGACACAGGGGACCTCCTCACTGGGGGCCTCACTGGGAGCCTCCCTGGGCTCCGGTCCCTCCTCGCTAGGCACCGGGCTCTCCTCCCTCTGGCCCCTGCGTTGATCTTCACATCTGAGGTTCCGGATAATGACACACGGTCTCACGAGCTCGTTACCGGAGGCGCGCGCGGGACTGCGCCTGTCGCGCTCGTACTCCTCCTGCGCGCGCAGGATTTTCCTCTTTCGGAGCTTCCTCTTGTGGAAATGGAAGGTTGCCAAGGAAACCAGAATGATCCCCACGAGCACGAGCACCAGCACAATGAGCGCGAGCGTGGAGGAGAAGGGCGGGAAGACACCGAGCTGCTCTACGCACGTCCCGTTATGGCTCTGAAGACCCCCGGTGCATCGAGGCTCCGCGGGCCCCGCGTGCCCCCTGGCCGCCATAGTGTCCCACCGTCACCGCGTCAGCCCTGGAGCATACCTGCACACAGCACGCGCACGCGCACACACACGTGAATAAACGCACACAGTAAATGCACACATAGGCAGTCTCCCCGGTCCTCTCCCGGTCCACTCAGGACGACGCCTCGCGGTCGTTACGTCGTTACGTCTGTTCCATAGAATGTAACGGAGTCATACCTGAGGAGCTGCGGCTGCGGAGCTCGTGCAGAGGTGCCCTTCACGCACGAACCGGGAGCTCCATCCTTCTGCCTCCGCTCTCCGGTCTCCGGTGGGTGTGGTCTGCTGCTGCGGAGCCCCTCACATTCATGAGAGGCACGTTTCCCCCAAACACTCGCTGATGTGCGGTCAGCTGACTGCTGAGGGCGGGGAAGGAGGGGGAGGAGGGAGAGCACACCCCCAACACACTCCTGCTCCTCCGTTCATCTTTTCTTCTTTCACAACCATCGGACAAAGGCTTTCCTCAGGACGGTTCTCCTGCAGCAGGACCCCGGGCCCCTGCAGCAGGAGAACCAGTGCGAGACCAGTGCGAGACCAGTGCAGATGTTTAACAGAGAGGATGACGTCATGTGTTCAATGGAACATCTACAGAAAGCTTTACCTGTAACTGCAGAGACATGATGCTGTGTGTATCAGTGACGTGCGGTCAGATGAGGCCTAAGATCATGGAATGAAAAAAGAATAAAATGGGAACAATAATACTTATTCATTATATCAAGTGATTTGTGACATTGTATTATTTCAATCGAACTTTTCCTTATTTCATTTTTTTTTACCTTGAAATTGCATATTTGACAGAGCGGCGCTGTGAGGCGAGCCTCACTGAGAAAGCCCATAGCTCACTTGGGGAGAGGCCCGTAAGCTGCTATCGAAATGTTTTTTCTGTTTATCACGGTTTACAAAGTTCAACATATTTCCTTTACAATCTACATGTCTACAGTCGAGGAGATGGGTCAAAAATTGTGTTTTTTACAACAAATATAGGTCTTAATCACTATCACCAAGCGGTGATAGTTGTGAGCCCATAATTCGACTGCATCCAATTTAATCAGAAATCTCCTTTCTGGTTCTTCTTCTGCTAAGGGCAGCTATAGATTTGGCCAACATACATACAACATCCAGCTCTCCCCCCTGGACTGCCACCTTAACGTGGAGAGGGAGTTTGAGTACTCGGGCGATCCTGGAGCTATGTTGTCTGGGGCTTCATGCTCCTGGTAGGGTCTCCCATGGTAGACAGGTCTTGGGTGGTGAGTCAGACGAAGCGCAGTCCGAAGCCAACCATTGACAGCACTACAAGTAAAACAGGGACGTCGCCTGGCATGGCGCAGCCGGGGCCCCACCCTGGAGCCAGGCCTGGGGTCGGGGCTCGCAAGCGAGCGCCTGGTGGCAGGGGCTTAACCCACGGGGCCCGGCCGGGCTCAGCCCGAAAGGACGAGTGGGTAGTCCCTCCTGTGGGCCCACCACCTGCAGAGGGGTCCGTGGTGGCGATCTGGGGCAGTGCCAATGGAGTGGCAGACCGGGGTGGTGGTCCCTCTCTACAAGAAGGGGGACCGGAGCGTGTGTTCCAATTATCGTGGGATCACACTCCTCAGCTTCCCCGGTAAGGTCTACTCCAAGGTACTGGAGAGGAGGCTACGGCCGATGGTCGATTCTTGGATCCAGGAGGAGCAGTGTGGTTTTTTGTCCCGGCCGCGGAACACTGGACCAGCTCTATACTCTCCATCGGATACTCGAGGATCATGGGAGTTCGCCCAACCTGTCCACATGACAGGTGATGCGGTCGCTGTATTGGACCGTCGTGGTGAAGAGGGAGCCCAGCTGAAAGGCAAAGCTCTCACCTATGGTCATGAGCTTTGGGTCATGACCGAAAGAAAGAGATCGCAGAAACAAGCGTCAAAATGAGCTTCCTCCGCAGAGTGGCTGCTCCCTTAGAGATAGGGTGAGGAGCTCAGTCACACGGGGGGAGCTCGGAGTAGAGCCGCTGCTTTTCCACGTCGAGAGGAACCAGTTGAGGTGGCTCGGGCATCTGTTCCGGATGCCTCCTGGACGCCTCCCTGGGGAGGTGTTCTGGGTATGTCCCACCGGGAGGAGGCCCCGGGGAAGACCCAGGACACGCTGGAGGGACATGTCTCTCAGCTGGCCTGGGAACGCCTTGGGGTCCCCCTGGATGAGCTGGAGGAAGTGTGTGTGGATAGGGAAGTCTGGGCGTCTCTGCTTAGACTGCTACCCCTGTGACCCGGCAACAGATGAAGCGGAAGAAAATGGAATGGAATGGAACATATAATACATTTTTAGATGATTAAAGATGCACTTAGGGTAATTGTATGTTTCCAATGATGATATGAAAGATGAGGAAGAGAGGTGAAGGACAAGGTTGATTTTAGAAATTGGATGCACCCGAGAGTCGGCTGCAACAAAACATGAAATTAGTTTTATGGAGGAGACACGCGTTTGTTTTACTTTTTAAAAGTCATTGAACTTATTTCCAAATGGAACATTACATGTCTGTGCTCAGACTATTATCTGGACTTAAACATGAAACTGGACTGAACCGAAGTGGTCTGTGCATGTCCTTTATAACTAAGGTAAAGACCATAACACTCTGAAATGTGCTTTTTCATACTTTTGTGTTTTGTATGAACAAACAATGCATGAAACATGTTCTGCTGTAGCCAAACAAAGTGTGAATAAGCCTCTGTAGGTCGTGTTGATGTATATGATATATGTTCATCTGATTGGGCTGAAGTCAGTGCCTCCAATCACCAACCTCACCAAACGTCACTGGTGTGTATGCATGTAGATGCAGCTCTATGGTCTGCACGTGCCTCTCTATAACTGCCCCAACTGTGACTGCCCCCACTATAACTACCCCCACACAGACTTGGGCCCCTGACCTGATCCTGGATCCTCTCTGTCCTCAGACCCTCCTGGATCAGAGAGACCAGTCTAAAACCAGTCTGGCGACACAAGAACTTGGCTCTAATTTTATGCAGTTATTTATGGAAAGTAATTTAAAAGACAATTTAATTAGGCTTGAACTCCTCAGACAATAACAGCTATTCAGAGCCGCTCTGAGGGACATGGTCTAGATCCAAGTGGGACAGTCCCCTGTGTTCCCCTTTCTCTCTCACATCAGCACCATGGACAGTGTCTCTCTCACGTCAGTACCATGGACAGTGTCTCTCTCACATCAGCACCATGGACAGTGTCGCTCTCTCTCACATCAGCACCATGGACAGTGTCTCTCTCACATCAGCACCATGGACAGTGTCTCTCTCACGTCAGTACCATGGACAGTGTCTCTCTCACGTCAGTACCATGGACTGTGTCGCTCTCTCTCACATCAGCACCATGGACAGTGTCTCTCTCACACATCAGCACCATGGACAGTGTCTCTCTCTCACATCAGCACCATGGACAGTGTCGCTCTCTCACATCAGCACCATGGACAGTGTCGCTCTCTCTCACATCAGCACCATGGACAGTGTCTCTCACACCAGCACCATGAACATGTGTGTGATCATGAGTCTGTGTCCGGATGGAACCAAACCATGTGCTTCTGTTCCTGAGAATCTTTCAACATCGAGCCCATGGTTTTCATAGATGCGGACAAAGCGCCCCCCCTCTGTATAATGAGGGCATTACACACAACAATACAACCCTTATCGTGGGCATACCTGTAGGTCAAAGCCAGATCCTGTCAGACCTCTGAAGCTAAGCAGGGCAGGGCCTGGTTAGTACCGTGATGGGCGACCTCTGGGAACACCAGGTGCTACAGTGGGGCTGTGGTTGTGTCCTTAGGCAAGACACTTCATCCACACACCAGACTCATTCTAATGTGGGTGAATGGTTGGTGGTGGTGGGAGTGGTCGATGGCACAGACTGGTTACCTTGCTTCTGTCAGTGTGCCCCAGGGCAGCTGTGGCTACAGTAGTAGTTCATCACATGTGAAGTGTCAAAGCAGGAAATTACATATAAATGAACATCATTTTGTCAAAAGCAAAACCTTTCAAACTGCTCCTTAACTTTAAAACCAAAATCCAACATTTGTTTTGTGTTTGCAGTTCAAAACAGAAGAAAAATACCGTAAATTCAGCTCGGAAAAAAACATTTTTAATCATTGTAGCTATTTGACCCATGGATAGTTTGATTAATCGCTGTTAGCACTTGCCGTTAGCATTAGCATTAGACTTCACTCAAGCTTGTGTCTCATGGTTCTGTTGTGCTTTACTCTTTTTAATGCTGTTGTCATTTATGATTTTAATACCTTGTGTTGTCGTTTCTTGTTCAGCACTTCTTGTGTATGAACTGTTCTATACAAATAAACTTGTCTTGCTCCACAGAGAAAGGCTGTCACTCTCAGCTAAAGAATCAGCCTGTGTTTTATTTACATTTGCGAAGTGGTTGTTTAGCCCCACTTCAGTCCCAAATTGAGACCGTTCAACAGCGCCCTCTGGTGGCACACAGCAGTAAAAGCTCATGCTTTAGAAAGTAACCTCTGACTCAGAACGTGAACACACAGGTCAAATATATTTAATGTCCATAACCTCCAGGCCAGCAAAGGGCGCACTACACAGTAAGGCATTCATTGCTACTTGCAGGTTTAATCAGTGTTTTCTGATCACCTACATTCCGACTGCGCTCACATTTGTCTTGAAGATTCTTTTCTCACATGAATCGAGTCGAGTGGAAAGAAAAAATCTGCTTTATTCAGACTTTTTACAGACTCAGCTTCAGGTTGAAAACCAGAGTCTGGAATACTCTAAAACAAGAGTCAGACTCGAGCAACACGTCAGACTCACACCGCTGCAGAAGTCCCACTTTAACTCCTTTGAGATAGAGTCTGTGACATCACAAGGTTCTGAAGAATCATTTCATCTGGAGGAGGAGGAACCAGAGGAGGAATAGGAGGAGGAACCAGAGGAGGAGCAGGAGGTACCAGAGGAGAAGGAGGAGGAACCAGAGGAGGTGGAAGAACTGGAGGAGACTGGGCACTGGAGGGGGAGGAGGAGACAAAATGCCTAAAAGAAAGTTGGAGATTGTCCAAATGAACCACATTTTGTCTTAAACAAGATTTATCAATGAAACAAAAACATTTGCTTGATCCGAGTTTGAAACGAGAATAAATCGTTCCATCGTTTTCAATATTTTCAAATCGAGATAAAAATGTGTTTAATCCACAGGAGCTCACATGGTCTGGCCCCCGCCCACAAATGACATATCAGAACAAAACAGAACTGCAGACAGTGATGGGAAAAAAGACAAAAATTGCTCAAATTTGTTTTAATCTGACTCATTCTGCCTTAAAACAAGATTTACCAACGGGACAAAACAAAATGATGTCATTTGGATTGAAAAAATAAAGCATCAGTTTTGAAATCAGTCTTCGTCCCGTTGGAAAGTCTGGTTTTAACGGAATGAGTTCAAGCTAAAAATCACCCATGGCCTCAGATTGATCATTTTTTGCAGTGCAGCAATGTGCCCTGAGCCTGGGCCGGTCCTGGGACAGTCCTGGGTCAGTCCTGGGTCAGTCCTGGGTCAGTCCTGGGTCAGTCCTGGGTCAGTCCTGGGTCGGTCCCTGTGACATCACAGAGTCCAGGGCCCTGGTGGCCTCCTGCAGCTGTTGTGTGAGTCTGTCCTTCATGGCTTCGCTCTGAGCAGTCTTGAGCAGCGCCCTCAGATGGTTGATGTTGGCGCGGCGCCCGGGGGCGTTGTGCAGGACCCTGACGGCGCGGTCCCCGCTGCAGGCGAGGAACAGGCCGCTAGTGTCGAAGCGCAGGTCTGTGAGGGGGCAGCTGTGGACCCCCTGGAAGGTCTCCTCCAGCTCGCCGCTCTCACAGTTATACAGATACACGTTACACGCCTCGCTCAGCGCCAACACGCGGCCGTCAGGGCTCAGGGCGGCGCGCGTGCCCTCAGAGGAGCGGCACGACACGGTCTTCAGGAGGTACGGGTCCTGCTGCCGCCGGTACTCCACGTCCGTGTTCCACAGCTTCCACGTCCCGTCTTTGGACACAGTCGCCATCCTGAGAAAAGGAGACTTTATCTATGAGCACTTCTCCTGCTTCACAGCCGCATCAGTCAGACGGTCCTCACAGGGCAGGTGCGGCTGCAGGAGTGGCTGCAGGTCTGAGTCCAGCCAAGCAGGAGGAAACCACCCATATCCTCAGTGAGTCCAGTTTGAGACATGGATCCATAATAATATCTGGACAGAGTATTACAGCTGGCTATAGCTGTCCCACCAATGCCCACAGGGGGCGCCAAACTGCATCATCGGAGCTCGTCCACTGCACAGAACCGGGAGGACCAGACGATGCCCAAATATGGCCGAGTTCTGTTAAACTTTTGGTGCCCATGGTGGGGCGCTACTGAGCACAAGGCACTGATTTGAACAGGACAGCATCTTGGATCGTGGAGCTGGGTTTGGACCTGAAGATTTGAGGAAATGGGAGGAGTCTGCTCTGCTCGGGCTCAGACCTGCAGCCGCACCTGCCCTGGGACAACCCTGACACATGTGGCATAAGGAATCACTCATAAGCAACACACAGAACTCCCAGAGCAGTCAATATGACTGCTGCTGAAGTAATGCCTGACTCTGTACCTGTTTACTCTTCATGACTTTGAGCCTTTTTCTCTTTCTAAACCTTGTTTATTTTTTATAAAATGATCTCACAAACAGAAGGTCGTTGTTCTGACCCACTTTGTAACAAACATCAATGTTCAGCGTCGTCACAATCAAACACATCAGAGCCTCGTCTTTTTTGGTCTGAAAGATCAGAATCATTCTGAAACAGAGTGAGAGTCTCTGCTGCGTCTCTTTCTACAGTTCTACAAACACACACATCTTTAATGTTTCAAGTGATAAAAGAGAAGAGAGTACTGAACAGAGGAGAGTACAGCTGCACCTGTGGGAGAGTACACTGTGACCGTGGGAGAGTACACTGCACCTGTGGGAGAGTACACTGTGACCGTGGGAGAGTACACTGCACCTGTGGGAGAGTACACTGTGACCGTGGGAGAGTACACTGTGACCGTGGGAGAGTACACTGCACCTGTGGGAGAGTACACTGTGACCGTGGGAGAGTACACTGTGACCGTGGGAGAGTACACTGTGACCGTGGGAGAGTACACTGTGACCGTGGGAGAGTACACTGTGACCGTGGGAGAGTACACTGCACCTGTGGGAGTCGTTGGAGAAGGCAAAGGCGTGGACCCCTGCGGAGTGGCCCTTCAAGTCGAAGGCTCGGATCACCTCCCGGAACTCTCCCCCCTTCCCAAAGCACACCTCCCACACCTTCACGTCAGGAGTGAAGCCACAGGAGGCCACGAACCTACACACACACACACAATTACACACATATGGTTACACACACGGTTACAGTGTAGTTACACAGACACACTTTAATTGTGTTTATGATTTGAACAGAATCATATCCGTGTGACCTCACTATCTCTCCCTCCTCTCTCTCCCCCCCCTCCCTCTCTCTCTCCCCCTCCCCTCCTCCCTCTCTCCTCTCCGTCAAAATGGCCCCGATGTTCTACCACAGCCTTCAGCCTCTGGCCCCCTCTCCCCCTTTGACCTGCGACAGCGAAGACTCTCTGGACATTTTCAGGTCACATCCCAAAACCTGCCTTTTTAAACTGGCTTATTCTTTGCCATTTTAAAATGTTTTATATTCTATACTTTTAATATTGTGTCTGATGTTTTTAATATACTGTAAGGTGTCCATGGATGTTTTGAAAGGAGCCATGACATAAAATGAATTGTTATTATTTTACTCTTCCCTCCTCAGTGTTTGCATAAATATTTAATTGCGGCCCAAATATTGCAACACTTTGGAATTATCCCATTTTGCCAGATCCGAGCCCTAGAAAGAACCTCTGTGGGACATTAAATATTGTCTGACACTAAACCGGTTTGTGGCACTGAAAAGGTGTCCCCAAGATTTTCAGTGCCACAAAAAGGTCTCATACTTTAAAATGTATTTATAAGGGAGTCATTTTTCTTTTTTTCTTTTTAAACACACAGCAAGAAGGTCCTGGGTTTGAGTCCACCTCCAGACCTTTCTGTGAGGAGTACATGTTTCCTCCAGGTGCTCCGGTTTCCCCACCACTAAAAAACATGTACAATAGATCCGAGTGGAGCGAGAGACAAAGACCCACAACAAATGTGCTAAAACCATACAACAAAGCGCCGACATAGCAGCAGCAGCAGCTTCAGCCTGACCTGCCGCAGGGAGACACGGCAGCGTAGGCGTTGGTGACCTGGTTGGTGTTGAGCGAGGCCAGGACGTCCCCCTTCAGGTCCCAGATGAGGATGGTGGTATCGGCCGAGGCGCTCATGATGAATTTACCTGAAACGAACACATGTCTGTTTACATCCGCTCGCAGTGATGGGAATAACGGCGTTACTAGTAACGGCGCTACTAACGCCGTTACTTTTTTCAGTAACGAGTAATCTAACTAATTACTTTGACAGTAACTATAACGCCGTTATCATTTCCGACATCCCGTTACTGCGCGTTACTCAAGACGCACAATGAACGTGTTGTCATGAGAGAAGGGAGGATGAGAAAACCTCTCAGCAATTATTGGCTGATGTAAAACATATTTCCTTTACAATCCACATGTCTACAGTTGAGAGGATGGCTCATAAATTGTGTTTTTGAAACAAATATGGGTCTTAATCGCGCTCAACCACGGCCTGTATCACCGTGAGGTCAGCCTCAGAGGAGCGCATGTGAGCACAGAAGTCGGCTGCATACAATTCCATCGATAAGCTCCTTGCTCTTCCTGGTTTATCTGCTAAGGACAGCAACAGGTTTGGCTAACATACATATAACACATTTTTACATAATCTAAAATGCACATAGGGTAATTTTTCAATTACCATAGGAATGATAAGAAAGAGAGGTGAAGTGTAAGACGGTTGATTTTAGAAATTGGATGCACTCGGCTGCCGCAAAACACAGGAGTTTATGGAGGACACACGCGTTTTGTTTTACTTTTTAAAACTCATTGGACTCATTTCCAAATGGAGGATTACATATCTACGCTCAAACCATTAACTGGATTTAAACAAGGAACTGGTCTGAACCGAAGTGGACTGTGCAGGTCATTTATAAGGTAAGACCCATAACTCATAGTTTTGCGTTTTGTATGAACAAACAATGCGGGCATAAAACATATTTTGCTGTAGCCAAACAAATTGTCCACTTGATTTATATGATGTGTATGTTCATCTGATTGGGCTGAAGTCAGTGCTTCACCAGCCTCACCGCTCGTCACCGGTGTTTCCACATTCACAGTGGAGCGTGTTGGTGTTTAGTGCTTACAGCACAGTGAGAGATGAAGAGTGAACAGGACTTCAGCAGCAAAACAGCCTTTTCTAGATGGAAATATTGGCACTGTTAAAGGTAAAAATGCGCACGTCGGGTGCACATTATGTTCCAGAACAAAACGAAAAAGTAACGCAATAGTTACTTTTACTGGTAACTAGTTACTTTTATAGTGGAGTAACTCCGTTAGTAACTCAGTTACTTTTTGGGAGAAGTAACTAGTAACTATAACTAATTACTTTTTCAAAGTAACGTGCCCAACACTGTCCGCTCCACTGCAGGTTTTCACACCCACTCTCAGCTCACACTTTACTGCAGGTCTTCACACCCACAATGTTTTTCCCTCTATTTCAATTATAAGGCAGTCACAGTCCCAAGCACAGGAGACCGCATCGTCATGGTGACCAACAAGAGACCACATCGTCATGGTGACCAAAAGGAGACCGCATCGTCATGATGACCAACAGCAGAACGCATCGTCATGGTGACCAACAGGAGACCGCATCGTCATGGTGACCAACAGGAGATCGCATCGTCATGGTGACCAACAGGAGAGCGCATCGTCATGGTGACCAACAGGAGAGCGCATCGTCATGGTGACCAACAGGAGACCGCATCGTCATGAGACCAACAGGAGAACCTATCGTTATGGTGACCAACAGGAGAACCTATTGTCATGGAGACCAACAGGAGAACCTATCGTTATGGTGACCAACAGGAGAACCTATCGTCATGGTGACCAACAGGACACCGCATCGTCGTGGTAACCAACAGGAAACCCTATCTTCATGGTGACCAACAAGAGACCACATCGTCATGGTAACCAATAAACACCAGTAACAGCTCCATCATGTGGTGAAAATAATCAAACTAGACTAAAATATTTTTGACTTGATCATTGGTCTCTGTGCTTAATCTAAGTCTGAACTCCTGCAGATGGCGGCTAACTGTATTTTATACTTTCACTTTAAAATCTACAATAATCTTCAGCTAAAGAAGGATTTCTGGCACAAACGACTGTTTTCAAACAAGGAGATGAATAACAACAAGTGTTAACAATAAGTGTTACAAGAAACTTTAAACAGTCGTCTTTCAAACAACATGTGTGTCTGTGTGTGTATATAGGGTGTTACCGGTCTCTGCAATTCCAATGTTGTGTGTGTCCATGTGTGTGTGTGTGTGCGTGTATAGTGTATTACCGTTCTCTGCGATGCCCGATGTTGTGTGTATCTGTGTGTGCATATAGGGAGTCTGTGTATCCGTGTGTGTGTATAGTGTATTACCGGTCTCTGCGATGCCGATGTTGATGATGCTTCCTTTGTGTCTTTGGGGAAAGTCCTCGGCCGCAGCCTTGAAGTTCAGAGAGCCGTCCTCCTTCTTGGACATTTTGAAAATGCGGATTGTGTCTCCGTTTGCCAGCCACGTGATGAAGGCTCTGAGGAGGAGAGGAGGAGCAGGAGGAGGAGAGGAGAAAGAGGGGAGGGGGAAAGGAGGAGGACAGATCATTTATTGATCCTCTTTGGCAGAAACACATCCTTCCAAACAAACACATAAATATACAATTCTAAAAGTGACTGAGAATAGTAATAAAGTACAGCTGGTGTCGTGGAGAGTCCAGAGGGACAGGAGGACCATGGACTACCTGGAGGACCATGGACTACCTGGAGGACCATGGACTACCTGGAGGACCATGGACTACCTGGAGGACCATGGACTACCTGGAGGACCGACCACAATATGCGCTGCAGCTGGAGCCCCTCAGGGCACTGTCCTCTCACTGTTTCTCTTCACCATCTACACTTCGGACTTTGTCATACGTGTGTGCGTGTCCTGACCTACGTGTGTGCGCGCGTGTGTGTGCATGTCCTCACTTCGAGTCTGGGCTGAAGCGCACCAGTGTGGCGTGGTCCAGCTCCACGTTGGCCCTCACACACTTGTGCTCGCGCTCTGTCAGGTCCTTGGTCGACCAGATGCGAACGGTGCGGTCGTCTGCACAGGAAGCCAGGTACTTCCCATTACTGCTGAAGTCCAGGCAAGTGATGGGACCACTGTGAGCCTGAGGAGAGAGAGGAGAGGTGACGGGACCACTGTGAGCCTGAGGAGAGGTGAGGGGACCACTGTGAGCCTGAGGAGAGAGAGGAGAGGTGACGGGACCACTGTGAGCCTGAGGAGAGGTGAGGGGACCACTGTGAGCCTGAGGAGAGGTGAGGGGACCACTGTGAGCCTGAGGAGAGGTGAGGGGACCACTGTGAGCCTGAGGAGAGGTGAGGGGACCACTGTGAGCCTGAGGAGAGAGAGGAGGGGTCAGAGGAGAGGTGACGGGACCACTGTGAGCCTGAGGAGAGAGAGGTGAGGGGACCACTGTGAGCCTGAGGAGAGGTGAGGGGACCACTGTGAGCCTGAGGAGAGAGAGGAGGGGTCAGAGGAGAGGTGACGGGACCACTGTGAGCCTGAGGAGAGAGAGGAGGGCTCAGAGGTCAGAGGAGAGGGCTCGGGTCACATGGCACAGACACACACCTGGCCTGCGACAGCTTTAACTTTACAGTCTATGTTTAACTCCACTCACTGGATGTAGGAATATTATGGATCTTTTATAACACTTTTAAAGCAACTGTGGTTAAAGCTGAACTCATCATTTTGCAAGAGACAGGAGCCAGTGATTTTCCACTTCACTGTTTTGGTTATCTGAAGGTCAGACTAGCATAACTGTTGGCGCCGTCGCAGATGCCAAGATTCCTCTAGTTTAAAATCACACGCTGTAAAACCATTGGTCGTGTCTCATCTTTACCATCAACAACAAACCGTGACATTTAGATTTATTTATTTGAAAAGGGACAGTGCACATTAATCAACATTTTACAATGTAAATATGCCCGAGTTAGCAGAAAAGCTAATTTTCATTGGTAGACCCTTTGGCAGATGTCAAAGCCAGCCTAAAAAAGCAAGATTAAAATCACACAGCAATTTACAAAACACAATATAATTACATACATACATAGTACATGAAATGAGCAAAGTATACATTTTCAATATAACTAGTGCTCACAAGTCTGTGTCTCCACGAGCCACTTTTGGGCTTTTTAAAAAAATGAATTAAATGAGGAAGACTCACGAATTGTTTCAGGCACAGAGTTCCACTGCTGGGAGGCTTTATAAGAAAACACGGCCTGACCAAATGCAGTTTTTCTGAGGGGGAGGACGCAGTCTTCCCTCACTGCCCCTCGAGTTACTCTGGCTGCACTTGATCTGAAGTTTACAAACTCGCTCAGTGAAGGCGGAGCACAGCCAGTTTTAATTTTATACATTAAACAGATGTTTTTGAATTTTATAAGATTGTCCCAATTTAGTAACTTATATTGCTGTAAAATCTGACAATGATCTGTAGGGTTTTTTATCCAATGTTTTAAGCTCTTGTTTATATAATGATTTCATGGGTTTGATTGTTGTGGCGTGTGCGTTTGACCTCTCACATATGTGATATGTGAGAGGCGCCACATATGTGATATGTGAGAGGACCATGGAAAAGAAGTATATTTTGGCAGCTTCATTTGACAAACAGTCTCTAATGAACCTAAAATTTGATAAACAGAATTTAATCTTATTGCTAGTGTTTTGGATGTGTGTTTTGAAGCTCAGGTTTGAATCAATGTATAATCCTAGATATTTGAATTCTGTGACTACTTGTATTTTTTGTCCTGCTATTGAAATATCTGGTATAATGTTTATTGTATTTCTGGTGTTTTTTGAGAAGAACATACAAACAGTTTTGGATATATTAAGTTGAAGGCAGGATTTTTCGAGCCAGGATGTGACCGACGCCATGGCCTCTGTTAGCTTTGAAGCAACCTCCTCTGTTGTTTTGCCATGTGCAAAGATGACCGTATCATCTGCATACATAAGGGTGTTACAGGTCTTGGATACTGATGGTAAATCATTAATGTATATGCTAAAAAGAATAGGGCCAATTATTGAGCCTTGAGGCACTCCAGTGGATAATTGTAATGGATGGGAATTATGATCGTTGATTTGTACGACTTGTGTGCGTAGCTGAAAGGTATGATTTAATAAGATTGATATATTTTGTGGAAAAGTTAAAATTCTGAAGTTTCTCTAATAAAATTGAATGGTTGACTGTGTCAAATGCTTTCTGCAGATCGAGAAAAACTGCCCCCACTATTCCCCCTTTGTCTAATGATGACTTGACTTTTTCCAGAAAATAATAAGTTGCTGTTTCAGTTGAATGATTGGACCTGAATCCAAATTGCATTGGATGCAATGAGGAGGAACTATTATTAAGATGATCAACTATTTGCTCGACAACCAGCTTTTCATATACTTTGGACACAGTAGGTAGAATACTAATTGGCCTGTAATTAGAGGTCAGTTGAGCATTACCACTTTTAAGTATTGGAATTACACGTGCAAGTTTCCATGATTCCGGGAATATCCCTTCACTGATTGACATATTGATGATGTGTGTTAATGGATTGATAACTGATTGACTTATTTGTTTTAGCATATACGTGTCCAGACCATATGCATCCTTAGCTCTAGATGTCTTTAGGAGCGTTATTGCTTTTGCCACATCAGATGTAGATACAGAGCTTGGGTATAGCGGAGGCTCATTAGATACAACTGTACAACAGGGGGGTACATTTTGGCTTTGTAAAGAAAAACCTTTAGCTATAGTCATCACCGAATCAACAAAGTAATTGTTGAGAAGCTGAGCCACATCCAATGGATTCTGTAATAGTTTACCATTATTATTTAGCTGTATCGTTTTATGAGAAGAGGGTGCTTTGCAAGTTAGTTTATTGATCTGTGACCAGATGGCTTTAGAGTTACCCTGACAATTATTAATAATAGTTATGAAAAAGTCTGCCTTTGCTTTCCTCAATTGTCTGGTCACCTTATTCCGGAGCGTAGTGAACTTTTGTCTGTCACAAATTAATTTTGACTTGTTAGCAACTTTAAGAGCATTGTCTCTTGCTTTCATTAATTGTTGTATAATATCATTGACCCACGGAAAGGAAGACTGTTTACTTTTATATTTAACCTTAATTGTGAACTCATTTATTTTTGACCGTAAGCACTCTGTAAATTTCTGACAGGAGATTTCAAGTTTATTATTTGATAGCAAAGTGCCCCAGTTTATGTTGCTTATTGCAGAGTTGAACTCTTCTTGTTTATTCTTAGGGATACCTATAAATTCTTTTTTTCCAGAATATGCCGAGAAACGTTGTCTAGTTAGTTTTCTTGATATTAGCACCATATTATGATCTGATAGTCCAGTTAGCATGTTATATGTTTTAACAATCCGTTCTGGATGATTGGAAAAGATCAAATCAATTTGAGTGCTAGAGTTGTTTGTGATCCTTGTTGGTCCCTTCACCATCTGGACTAAGTTGAAGCCATTCATAATTTGCAACATTTGTTTTCTTGTTTTATGATCCATCCAGTTCAGGTTAAAATCCCCCATCACAATAACCTCCTTTTTAAAATCACACTGCTTTAAAATGTCCTTGAACTTATCATAAAAATTAACACTAGCAGATGGTGGTCGGTATACAACAATTATTGTCAGGGACATCTGAGGAGAGAGGGCCATGTTTAACCCTAGGCATTCTAAGCCATTTGAGTTTTGCCATTGAATCTCATTGCATTGTATATTGTCTCTCACATACATCATCACTCCGCCCCCCTTGGTGTCAGCTCTGTCTTTTCGGTAGGTAATATACCATTTACTATTGGTAAAATAGAAAAGAAAACACCACAAGAAAGTGAGAAAAAAGAAATGGAGTTTGTGATTTTTTGTCTAATTGTGTGTGTCCCGTTTGCAACTTTAGTTGTATTTGTGGTTACTTTGAGTTATTTTTGTGTTCATGTTAAATGTTAATACATTTGTCTGTTTTGTGCCTGTATCTAGTGTTCCCTTCTGTACCTTTCAGCCCAAAATAATTTGTGCCAGCATTGTAAGAAGTAAGTAAGTAATGAACCAAGTCAGCTGCAGGTGCCAAGAAAACAGGCAGTATGTCCATGGGGATGGTGGGTCTAATGTTCAGAAGCTCCTCACGGGTGTAGGAGCAGGCAGAGACGCTATTAAAGCAGAGAAAAAAGAAAAAGAGAACGCACCAAGGAGCCGAGGTGACCGTGCGAGGCACCATCTTGTTGAACATCATAAAAATCCTTCTGATTCTGATTCTAATGTTTATTTATATAGCGCATCTTACAGACCAAGTTCACCCAAAGCGTTTTACAAAGTTCAGAGTTCAGATATTTTTCCATTCTCTCAGAAGAAGTCGAGACAGAAGCAGACACCGAACTCACTGGAGCATCAAAGCCCCCAACACCCTCCATTCACTCATTACATTCAGACCCATCGTACATGTTTTTAGTGTTAGGTGAAACCGGAGCACCCGGAGGAAACCTACGCAGACACAGGGAGAACATGCAAACTCCACACAGAAAGGCCTGGAGGGGGAACCAAACCCAGGACCTTCTTGCTGTGATAAACGACCTCTTACCGGTAACGCCGACTTGGAGCAGGGCCAGCACCTTTATCTGGAGGACCCGTTTCCGCGGATTATAATCACTAATGGAATATATTTGTTTTTCTTTGGACACCGGTTGGATTACAGAGACTGTTGGGATCTAACGGGACTCTGTGGATTACACTCCATGGTCGCTGCTGGGCTCCACGACCGGTGATGGTGGACGGTGGGGCATGGATCATGAGTAGAACTGTGGCTTCACTGACACTAACTTTTTTGTTTTGTTTTCCAATATTGAGCGCTTGGATCACAGGGACTAGTGTCGTAAATAGACAGTTTTAGGCCAAATGTGTCCATCTCCTCTCTCGTCCTACTTAAAGCATTGTCGCTTTGTCGAATTGTTACAACCGTTGTGCCTCCGTGCTGCCCAGAGGGGTGTACCTTGAGCGTGGCGGCGAGCAGAGGGGTGTACCTTGAGCGTGGCGGCGAGCAGGGGGTGGCTGAAGCTGTGCTGGATGATCTTGTCTTTGCTCCGTCGCTGCTGTTTGTCTGGTTTCTGCTTCTTCACTGCAGACGGCTTCACTGTGCTGCTCTCCTCCACTGCAGACACACACACACACACACAATTCTAAAAAGCTAACAAACACTGCCAACCTGACCTCACATGTTGTGCATATGTGTATAAATATGTAATATAATGTCAGGATTATCCCACTCCCATTATATACATACAACTTATTGTAGTAGAATATTATACTAGCTTCTTTATTATGCTAAAGCTAGAGATTTTATACTAGCTTCGTTGTTTTGCTATATGAATTATGATTATAGAGTTATTCTTCTTGTGCTGCGTGCTCCTCATTCCTACTGTTCTGTAACTGTTGATGCAACACTCACATTTCCCCACTGTGGGACCAGTAAAGAATCTCATCATCTTCACTGTACCACGTGACAACAGAGGCACCCCCAGTTCTCTGCACCAGACCCCCCTGAAAACCACATGAGGGGTCCCCACGCACCACAACACGTAAGGCAATGGCTCTTATTAATATATGTGTACTAAATCTCTAACTTCAGCATAATAAAGAAGTAAACATAGAATCTCTAGCTTTAGCATAATAAAGAAGTAAATATAAAATCTGTAGCTTAAGCATAATAAAACACTTTAAATTCTATTGCTAGAAATATATAGTTGTCTGTAAATGAAATAATCGAAATAGTATAGAAGGTGGGAGATGGCTAATATTACTTTTTTCTTTTGTTTTTGTGTTTTAAATGAGCTATTGGCTGGAGAAGACCCCCACGTCATCACAAACTATTTCATTGTTTCAGCAACAAGTGGATCTCTGTCTTGCATCACCCCAGACGGGCCGTGGTCACTGGTCAGACTATGGGTCAGACACACATGTGGCTGGACGTGTCTCAGGACTTCTGGACTATTGCACTGTGATGACACGCACACGCACGCGCACAGGCCCCTGGTTCGGTGGACTTCTTACCGGTCGTGTCCTCCGGGTGCTCCGATTCCTCCTTCCTCTTGGTCACCGCCAGTAGCACCAGCAGCACCAGTGCTCCCAGCAGCAGCGTGAGGGCCCCCAGTGCGGCGACCTCCATGCTGATCCTGGTCCTGGTCCTGGGCTCCTGGTCCGGGACCTGTGGATGAATGAGCTGCTTCCGCTTCTGCCGGAGCCGCTTTCATTCATGTGGCAGTGAGAAGCGGCTCTGCACTGACTCCTGCTGGACTGGAGGCCGCCCGCGTCAGACTGGGACGAGAACAGCCTACAGTGACTGTCTCTCATGTACTGTACTGTATAAACCATAGACTGTATATATTAACACCTTATGATTAACACTAGAACTCCTAGAGCAGTCAATTCTGCGGCTTTAGTTTTGGAAGCGTCTGTCTTCATAACTATGACTTTGTCCCGTAAACTTAGGTGTTTTTTTTTCTAAGTCATTATTTTTATCAAACTATCTTTTTATGTTTAAATTTGACTTTTAAAATCAAGTAACTAGCAATTGTTTTTTTCCCAAATGCTAGTTACCATAGCAACATACCGTTTGTTACAAGCTAGCAATAGCCTTTCAACCATGGATCAACAGTTTTTCGTTATTTCAAGATATTTTACCTGCACTTATTAAAAGTGAGTATGGTAAATTTGAATAAAACTGATGGAAAACTCATTTTGAATACTTTGAAAGACAACATGACTGCTCTGAGAGTCCCAGTAGAGAGTAACCATAGCAACATACCTTACATAACATAACCTTTCAACAAATTGTTTCAGAATGTAATTTATTTGAATGGGAGCAGTCAAAATGACTCCTAATCAGGAGTCCTGATGTTAAACACATCTCTGGGCATAAAGTCAGAGCCTAAACTATGTGCACATAACATTTTAACAATGTGTCCCTCACTCCCTCTTTCATAAAACACTTTAATCCTTACTCCCAGGTCATGCACATAAATAATGACCGTTACAAGGTAGAACGTAAAAAAGAAGCCCTAACTAAGAGTGTTCAAAAATATTTATTTACATACAAATCATTTATATACAGCCTTAACCAAAGCGGGTTCTTTGGTTCAAGTCCCAGCCCACCTGAGCTCTGCAGATCATGTCTGAACAGGAGGAATCTGTGACGCACATCTGTACACGTTTATACAAGACCACATAATGGATATGGTCACATTAAAAAAATAAAATTATAAAAACACTAAAAGATCGAGTGTCAAATATTTTTTGAAGAAAACAATTGTCATCAGGCCCAGTACCGTTTCAGGATGGGAGAAAATAGATTCTGTATCGCAAGATTTTTTGCAAGCAATTAAAGGGATACAACAGAACCAAGAATTGTGATATTTAATTAAATCATAATCCGTTTCACTTGTGTTTTCTCTGAGTAAACACACTTTACTAACAGAAGTGTTTGTACTTAATGTGAAGACCATGGAAAAATATAAGGAACAAGAATCGCATTATATCACAGAATCGAATCATAATACTGTCTGTATCACAATATGCTAAGAATCGCAATAATATAGAACTGTGGCCAAAATATCGCGGCACAAATGAATTGTCACATTTAGCAAATTCCCACTCCTAGTACTGTAAAGTAAAGTTAGTCGTAAGTCATTCACATCTCACAAGGCTTAAGAATAGGTGGTGTCATCAGAAGTGTGTGTCCACTCAGGAGAGGACATTCAACTTGACCTCAGGATGCATCGACAGCCTTTTCATGTCCAATACTCATCTGAATACTCCGAGGATCTGCCCATGTCCAATATGAAGCGATACCAGTAAAGCAGGGGTCTCCAACCTGTGGCTCAGTACATACCAGAAGACTTTAGAGAGTCCAAAAATATACTGGATATTTCAAAATGTATTATCCACATGCTAACAACTTCTATAAATGCAACGGTTGGGTGCGAGTAACAAATATGATGAGTAATGTTTATAGAGAGAGAATTTCTAAAAGAAGTAGCTCTCTGCCATTTGAGCCTCAAGAAAATAGCTCTCTGGGGGAAGAGGTTGGAGACTGCTGCAGTAAAAGGGACAGAAATGTAAAGAACGCCCAATGTTTTGGTAACTTTTACAAAGTAGGTCCATCTGTGTCGCCCATTATCTTACAGAACAACACTGAACCAGAATGTTCAGGATATTTTTGATCTGAAACCAAGTCCAGGCTCAGCACCAATACCACTATCGTATCGTGCCTAAACTGAACAGAAGGTTTATTCAAGTATAGTTCAGGTTTGGGTGGTCCTTCCACAGTGCATGGTCCAGCCCGGCTGCAAGCTGAGGCTCCAGCAGAGTCTGTGGCCGGAGCTGGGGTCTGGGGGGTCCGAGGGGTCACGGCAGGACTCCTACTTCTTACGGGTGTGTGGCCGTCGGGCCTGGAGCCTCTGTCGTGCGGCTGAAGGTTTGGAGCCAGCACCGATGGAGAAGGAGGGCGTGGATGGAGATCCTGGAACACAGGCAAAAACAGGTCCATGGACAGTCAAGCAATGGGACATATCTGAGAATCCATCCCAACACATCTGTTTCTCAGCTTCATTAAAAGAAGAAAAGGTAAAAAAAATATACATGGGCTTGTTCACACTAAAGGGCACAAAAGTGTGACAAAAGGCCAAAAATTAGATTTTAATAATCAGAAGATATTTTATGTTTTTCATGTTTCCAAACACCTCCTCTGTCCATTAGAAGTTGCTAGAACATAACTGTTTTATACATTAGACAAGTTTCCTACAGCGGCCCTGTTTATTTTATCTAACGGACGTGATGATTTGACGGAATGAGCTTTGTGGAAGTTTGATAGGTATTTTCAGATGTCCACATTTGATACAGATATTCTATTTTTTCACACAAAGTAGATGCAAAGTGATACTTTCATATTGTCAACCAATTAAATGTGAAAACAGACCAGAATTTTTTTTTTCTCAAGTTTAATTTTTAGAGAAAAGAGGACTGTCCTCATCACGTCCGTTATACATTTTTCAGGGGTCATTTAATTAATTAATTAATTTTTATTTTTTCACGATTCCTTTTTATAATCAAGTGATTTCCTTCTGTTGTGTTAACCATGTAAATATTGTGGGATTTCATCTTCTGCTTTTTCAGACTGAGGACATTTTATTTTCTATGTAACTGGCGTCACAGTAGAATGGTCCAATCAGAGGCTGATTTGGTCGTTTAAAATGTTGCTAAAGATTTTTATGTCAATCTTTCCTTTTGATTTTTTCCACACTATCTCTTCAATGTGTCTGTTTGAAATCTTTTTTCCAATCTATGAAACCAATTTTAGTTTTTAAGTTATAACCTTTTAAAGTCCAGATACTTCAATTGTCACTTTACTGTGAACACACTCATATATATAAAAAAAAAAAAATTCAATCACGCATCCTTTCGATATGGATATTGCACACACCAATATTGTGATAATGATATTTTTTAGATCTTTCGCGCAGCCCTATATATACATATCTTGGACTGTGGATCCTCTCTGACACAACATGTAGCCAGAAGGCCTGAGGCTGAAGATAATGTATGATTTATTTTCTGAACTGGTTCGCGTCAGTTAATGTACCAGTATGTGAAGCAACAAGTAGATTTTTGTAATAACAGTTCCACGTGTATTTTTGTCCCTGCCAAGTCTTTAAATCAGCTTTTACACACAATAAGAGAAAGGACTATCCCGCATCGGCACACACCGAATTGCCTTGCATCAATAAATACATAAAAAGCCAAATACCAAATGGAGCAGAATTGAAGCTCTGGCCGACACCCCCAGGACTTCCAAAGGGAATGGGAGCAGGAGCAGAGGTCCTGAACACAGGGGCCGTGGTCCCTGTAAGACAAGCACATCAATAATGAGAAGAAACAATTATTTTCCTTCAAAGACGTATGATCTGACAACAACGTACCAAAGGCTGATTTGTCAGAGTTTGTGGCCCCAAACGAGAATCCCATCTGGGGCCCCGCATTGTTGGTTGGGGCTCCGAACTGTACGGGGGCCGCGGCTCCAAAATTGAACTGTGTGGGGGGCTGTGTGTTAGAGGGGGGGGCCGGCTGAGAGGAGCTGCCAAAGTTGAAGGTTCCAGCGCTCTGAGGAGCGGCAGCCGTGGAGCTGCCGAAGGAGAAGGAAGGCTTCGTCCCAAAGGAAGGGGTCACGCTGGGGGCCGCATCCACTCGAACAGTCTGCACGAGGGTCGAAGGTGCGGCACCAAACGGGAACGCTTTAGGAACTTCTGTTGAAGAACCGAAGGAGGACGGCAAAGAACTGGACTCCAATGACGACTTTCCAAAGATGAAAGACTGGGAACTGGTCCCGCCAAAGGTGGAAGGGGCCTGCGTGGAGGAGGTGGAACCAAAAGTGGGAGGGGCCTGCGTGGTGGAGGTGGAGCCAAAAGTGGGAGGAGCCTGCGTGGAGGCAGCAGAGCCAAAAGTGGGAGGGGCCTGCGTGGAGGCAGCAGAGCCAAAAGTGGGAGGGGCCTGCGTGGAGGCAGCAGAGCCAAAAGTGGGAGGGGCCTGCGTGGAGGCAGCAGAGCCAAAAGTGGGAGGGGCCTGCGTGGAGGCAGCAGAGCCAAAAGTGGGAGGAGCCTGTGTGGAGGTGTTGGTCCCGTAAGGGGGAGGAGGCGGTAATGTGGTTGTGGTCCCAAACATTTGTGTGGCAGCTGCAGTGGGTGTGGTTCCAAAGGAGAGTGGAGCAGACGCTGTTGTGGCACCAAACATCTGTGTGGCAGATGCTGTGGAAGAGGAGCCAAACATTTTTGCAGCAGATGCTGTGGTTGTTGTACCAAATGTCAGTGAAGCAGCAGGTGCGGAGGTCGTCCCAAAGGTTAATGGGGCTGACACTGTCGTAGAGGAGCCAAACATTTGTGTGGCAGATGCTGTTGTGGTCCCAAATGTTTGTGGAGCAGAGACTGTGGTTGTGGTGCCAAATGTCAGTGAAGCAGACGGTTTGGTGGAGGTCCCAAAGGTTAGTGGGGCTGATGCTGTAGCAGAGGCGCCAAACATTTGTGGGACTGACTGCGCGGAGGTGGTGGTCCCAAACATTTGTGTGGTAGCTGCTGTGGTGGTGGAAGTCCCAAAGGTTTGTGGAGCAGACGTCGTCGTAGAGGAACCAAACATTTGTGTGGCAGGTGGCGCGGTGGTAGACGTTCCAAACATCTGTGTGGCAGATGGCGCGGTGGTAGACGTTCCAAACATCTGTGTGGCAGATGGCGCGGTGGTAGACGTTCCAAACATCTGTGTGGCAGATGGCGCGGTGGTAGACGTTCCAAACATCTGTGTGGCAGATGGCGCGGTGGTAGACGTTCCAAACATCTGTGTGGCAGATGGTGCGGTGGTAGACGTTCCAAACATCTGTGTGGCAGATGGTGCGGTGGTAGACGTTCCAAACATCTGTGTGGCAGATGGCGCAGTGGTAGACGTTCCAAACATTTGTGTGGCAGATGGTGCGGTGGTAGACGTTCCAAACATCTGTGTGGCAGATGGCGCGGTGGTAGACGTTCCAAACATTTGTGTGGCAGATGGCGCGGTGGTAGACGTTCCAAACATCTGTGTGGCAGATGGTGCGGTGGTAGACGTTCCAAACATCTGTGTGGCAGATGGTGCGGTGGTAGACGTTCCAAACATCTGTGTGGCAGATGGCGCGGTGGTTGAGGTCCCAAAGCTACTCTGAACCGGGGCGGCCTGCACAGAACCCGGCCCACTCTGAGAGGAGCTCGGTGGGACGGTCCCAGCGGCAGTGGACCCAAACGTGCTCCCGGAGGTGGAAACAGAGCTGAAGATGGGCTTAAAGCTGTGAGCTGGTTTGGGCTCTTCGGTGGCAGTGGTGGTGGACGGGGTGGAAGGGAGGAAGATTGGTTTGAAGCCCGAGGGCAGAACAGAGGAGCTCTCGGACACCGCACTGGAGGAGGTGCCCCCTCCTCCAGCAGGAGAGGTGATCCCAGAGCCCAGGGAAGCGGAGGTCACTGCGGAGAGAACAGAGGTGTTTGTTAGAAAGATTGTCTTTATAAAAGACAATTGTCCAACACAGATCAGAGAATCAAACAGGAGCCCTCATTCTGCACTGAGTCAAAGAAAACAAAAACGATACTTGCAGGTAAAGAGGTTTCACTCTGGAATTTAGTTAATTTACAAAAAAATGTCACATACTGTCTTTCGTGGACTATAAACCAAAGCGCACTTGAATATAAGCTGCAGATTTTGTGACCAGTTATAACATTCTGTATTGGAGCCAAATAGTCTCATCGTAATATCTTTCTGTGGGTTTTTGCACATTTGTCACACGCTAAGGAGCCTGACCTGAAGCTGGGGCTGGAGTCTTCCTCTTCAGAGACTCCAGCAGGATGTTGGTCTGAGCTGGAGCAGCGCTGCCCCCCATGGAGGTCACAGCCCCCACACTCAGACTGAGGGTGCTGGCGGTGCTCAGGCTCACACTCACAGCAGGCATGGTCCCACTGGAGGAGGCGGGCTCAGCAGCTGCACACAACCATCAAGACAACAGACCTCACTACACCATCCAGAACCAGAAGGTACAAAGGGGCTGCTAATGACAGTTACAAAGCGCAGTTTATCTGTACAAAGTAACGGCGACACTTTGTACAGAAAAACATACTACATATTTCTGCACTAGAATATACAGGGTTTTATACTTGCTTCTTTATTAAACTAAAGTTATATATTAAGTTATATAAGTATGGAGTAATTTCTCCCTTCACTTCAATATTGTGTTTTGAGCTACTGACTAGCTGGTCATGCAACAATGACATTTCCCCACTTGATCTTACAATTATAGATTTCTAACAAAATAAAATGCTTGATAACAAGGAATGCAAAATTATCAAGTCAAGATAACTTTTTATTAGGCTATACGTTTTTAGACAAGTTTCCCTGGTGTAGAACATAGACTGTATATATTAACAGACAGAGTCACGCCTATCTCCGCCGTTCTAACTAATGGGCCAAAAAATTTGCTCTACTGGAGCTATCCAAAATGGCCGCGAGTGGTCCCGCCCACAAGAAAATTGTGTATAAAATTTTTTGAAGTTGATACTTGATCAAATATGTATCTCGTTTAAATTTGTTTTATTCCTCTATACACAATACTTTAATGGTGCTTTCAGACCGGATCATGCGGTGCGTCGGGTTTCAATGCAAAATCTACGGTGGCGCGCGTTCGACCGTCACAATGCACGGACCTCTCGGCACGCACAAACGGACTGTTCAATAATGACGCACGGACTTGGTGGGAAAGTGAAAAGGGAGGAGCAGGAGCGAAAAATCAACGCCCACAGGAGATGGATTCTGCTCATCCTTTCCTTGGAACGTTCGTGCGACAACCAATCAGAGAGCAGCAAAGTGGTCACGGGGACATTAGCGGACTGAGCGCGCAGACTGAAAATACTCGTAAACAGCCCAAACAGGACCCACACCAGGCTTTACCAGAACTCAAACCAGGGTTGACAATGGGGGACTCTGTGCTTGTGAAAGGATGCGTTGTCATGCTCCCGTGACCGTATGCAACTGCTTAGAGTGTGTTCGCCGATGCGGAAATTCCGTTTAATAATATGAAAAACGTATGGCGCACCTCCGTGAACACATACTATTGTTATATAAAGCCCGTGGAATGTCTGTGAGCAAAGACACGCTGCAAATCTGCATATTGGAGAAGATCTGTACACAAGAAGCCGCTAGCATAGCTCTGTTAGCATTGGAGCCGGCCGGCTACTTCCGGCTCGCGTCAGGACGTTCTGGTGTGAAGTCCTCTACGTCTGAAAACTAGAGAATGCGCGTCTGGTGAGCGGGGCTTCCGCGTTTCAGCGTTGGCGGTCTGAAAGCCCCATAATACTTCAGATATATCCGTTTATGGAGGTGCAAAATAGGCACAGTGAGAACACGGTCTTGAATCATGGACTCACAAGGAGTCTCCAGGAGCTTGTGGATCTTGTCCAAAGCGTTGCGTTTCTCATCATCCAGGTCCTTCACTGTGATGGTGTAGCCCAGCTCTGGAGGAGGAGGCTGCGCACACATGAAGACCAGAAGTTATACAACCAATCTCTATTCAATCAGAGAGAGGCTTTCTGGTAAGGACCATGTGTAAGCTTACCAGGTTGAGGCTTTCTTCTCTGGTCATGAGCTGGATCTTGCGTCTACGTTTGCCTCCGCTCCCAGCGCCTTCTCTGGAGCTTACACCAGGGTCAGCAGGAAGAGCCGAGGAAATCTCTGAAATGTTCAAAAGGACAGTGTCAACATATCACACCATCTTATACCAGTGACCCATGTTTTGAGATGTGGGCATAGCGAGAACAGGCAAACACAGCTGTCAGTAGAAAACCCTTTAGTGAACTGTAGTTTGTAAAGATTATATTACTCCTCATTTCATATTTTGGCCTTTGACACGACAGCAGAGGAAGTCACTGACAGTCTGAGCCAAGGCCGAGTCCAGCAGGTCACGAGTCATTTGATTTACAAAGGACAAAGATGGACAAGAGATCATTATTCCTGCCACAGAGGGGAAATTCCAGTGGTGCACCACACGTTACAGAAGTCTTATTTTATGTAACATGCATCAGTGGGAGGCTCCTCAGACTCACCGCGCTCAGGTGGGACTCCTGGACCTCGCTCCGACTGCACACAGGGCTCTGGGCTCGGACTCTCCGGGTTCTCTTCTCTACAAAGACAATTCAATTTAATCCCAAGTATTTGTTTGTGTAAAACTATCACACAATGACAACAGTAGTTATCCCGGAGGACTATACAAAGTGGTAAATTCTCAGGAAATACAATGATAACGAACACACAGAGCCATTGATATTCCTACAGACACATGGTGCTGGTGTGGTCCTCACCTGGTCTTCTTGGAGCTGCACTCAGGGGTATGAGCGCGGGAAAGTCCAGGGCTGGACAGAGGAGATGCAGTGATCGGCCTCTTCCGCTAGAACACACACACCACATGGTTTAAATACACAAAAACGCTTCAAAACAAATACATAGTTTACACACACACACACAAGGAATGTAGTGGGGTCGTAACACTTAAATCCAAAATCCAAACTAATTACAACAATCCCCATGTATTAATTGTTGTAATCAGTTAATCTTCAACTGATCAGAACAGGCATGTGCTTAGAGACATGACTCCAACAGAGCAGTAATCAAAAGTCCCATTACTAGGACTGGCAAAAATGTGAGGATTCAATAGTATCACGATATTTGGGCCACAATTCATTATTATTGTGATTCTTAACATATCGCGATACAGACAGGATGTGATTCTGTGATATATCGTGATGTCATATTATTCAAAGACTTTACAGAGGAAAACTCAAATGAAACACTTCTTCAAAGACTACAGACTAGAGTCACAACAAGCAGACACCATAGAGTCACAGAAAACACAAAACTGAAACAGATAATTAAATAGGCGCAGTACCTGTCCTAGCCCCTTGGAGGAGCTGTAGGAGCTGGAGATGGGGTTCCTCCGGGAGCTGGGGGTCGCTCTGGAGGTGGGGGCTCCGCTGGACGAGCTCACGGAGGAGGTGCGAGAGCGCTTCAGGCTCTGCTCCTCCGAGGCCACCGCCAGCCCCCTCTTCAGGGTCCCTGGCCTGGGGCAGACGGTCACACATCATGTTAGCGGCTACGGGGTGAGTGGGGGGGTTACACCACAGAGGTCACACTCACTTGGGGATGAGCTGAGGGGTCATCCCATTGGGTAGCAGCGGCTCGAAGGCAGACTGAGCACTTCCTCCACTGTCATTACGCCTGAAACACACAGTTTTTAGTTTCTTACTGTGTCTTGAGTAGTGCCTCATGTGCCTTTAATTACACAATCTAAATCATTGAGAACATAAAAAAAAAAAACTCTTTAAAAACCAATTATTCCAGCATTATTATATGACTTTGATCGTACGCGCGCTCTGATTGGCTGATTTGCGGTCTGATATTTTCCCATCTCGGGCCGTTACCATGACAATTGGTCCGCAGCGCGTATCACATTTGATATCTTTCCTCGGTAAAAAAAAGAATGAGCGAGGACTGGGAGCATTCTCCAGTGAATTCTGTTATCCGGACAAGTTCAAAGAGCCAGAGGAAGTAATAACAGCAAATAACGACAAAAACACAACAGTCAAGAAGAGATAGACAACTTCGTTACAGACCATAAAGGTAAAAACACGATTAGGAAAACCAAGTCGGACATGAACATACTTCACAAATATCTAAAAAGCATTGGTCTTTGCACTGACCTGGCCACGGCTCAGTCTGTACAAAAAGGCCATTGTCTGATATTTATCTGTGCAGACCTCGCGTTTGTTTAATAAGCCGTTATTATACTACGCCATGTTAATGAGGACCATGCATTTTTGAGGAGATGTTGCGCTTACGTTATCATATGAATGAATGTGAATGTGGTAAAGTTTAATCCAAAATCCCACACACACCTTTCCCCTCAGGCCAGGGCTCGGTGAGGTCTTTGTACCACAAGGGCTAATGTTTGTCTACAAACTAGGATGGGCTTTGCTCCCGTGTTGAGTTTTATCTTCTTGTAATACAACCACGACTGCTGGAAGAAAGGGCAGAGATGTGTGGAAGTGGAAGTAAATACTAATAATTCCAGAGAAACCGCGTGAAACATGTAGATCCATAATGTGAAACGCTGACTTACATTAAGGGCAAACTAATAGAAAGTGAACTGAAGAGCCCAAACACACTAAGGAAGTGTGAATAAGTAAAAGGCTCAGAACTTGGTTTAGGATTTGTTTACATGTATTGTTTTGGGGCTCAGTTGATACGCTATTGCAGCTTCCTGGGAGTTCCTTTTTACAAAGCACCAACAAACTTCAGAAGCTAGAATGTGTATGGCGTGAAGTTTTGTAAATAAACCGAATTGAATGTTATAATCTGTAGAAATCGTTGGGAGGAGCTTTGTGTCGGTCAGAGTCTTGAGCTCATCATAAAATCAGTCGATGGATCACTCAAGATATCATCATTCCGTCACAGGTAGGAGTGTGACAATATATCAATATGGTGAAGCTTTATTTGAAAAAATAAAAAAAATAAAATTTATATATATATATATATATATATATATAATTATTGTTACTTAATATATGGCTACATTACGCAATCTACAATTTCTGTATACAGTATTTATATTATTGGATGTAAAACAGATTCAGATTTTTACTCAAATGTGCAGGTTAAAATGTTACACATGACACTTTATCCATTTATCTTGAAATGAAGTGTATTTTTTCACTTAATTTATGCCATAAATATAAGAAATATTGTAGGAATATTTTTGACCAATATATCGATGATTGCTGCATCGTCATATAGTGGAATAATCGCTATTGTGAGCTTTGTATTGCACATAGTATCGTATCGGGAGGTACCCTGAGGTTCCCACCCCTAGTCACGGGTGAGAAACTCGCTGGGTCTAAACCAGTGGGGGCGGGTCCCAGCTCAAAAGTGGCCAAAATGACGTGCGCTGACATGCTTGCAACACCACCCCGGGCCGATGGAGGTGGACCCAGAAGAAGAATTAGCCAATGCTAACATATAGCATTGGTAGACCTCTCAAAAACGTCTTTACAGGATGGACCAAAAGTTGGCTCTTGGCCCAAAGCTCCGTTCCACATGTGTGTCAATGCTGAGGGGGGTGCATTTGTTTGGTCCACTCTAGTTTAGTCGCTGTGAATTTTTGAAGTCTCTCGTTCAAATGAATGGAGCTGCGCCGGCTGACGCATGCGCAGATGCGTTTTTTCACAATTTTCTTGTGGGCGGGACCACTCGCGGCCATTTTGGATTGCTCCAGTAGAGCACATTTTTTGGCCCATTAGTTAGAACGGCGGAGATAGGCGTGACTCTGTCCATTAATATATACAGTCTATGGTCTACACCAGGGGTGCTCACACTTTTTCAGCATGCGAGCTACTTATAAAAGGATCAAGTCAAAATGATCTACCTACTACAAAAATGCAAATCATATATTTCAAAAAATATTCTTTAAATCTGCAATGTATGTTTATGTACATGCAAAACCGCATGAGCCAATATAGCAGAACACAACACAATTACCTATGTACATTTTTTGTCATTACCCGAGTTTACTCTTATGACTTGCACTGAATTGAATCGGCCAGGGATGCATAGTCCGGAAAATTGGTGGTAACTCGCTGACAAGTTTGTCGTAGTTTAGCTTTCCTGCACTGAGCGCGGTTGTTTGCGCATGTGCAGTCACCTAAGTGTCAGTAAAACATTACTGAGTAAAACACAGATGTCATTTGACTGTGGTGCCATGTCCATGTGCCATGCCTGTTTTTTTAAATCCAAATATTTCCCCTCCTCAGTTTATAAAAAAATTTGCATCCACACATCTGCGTTATCAATCACATTCGTAACATTCCAAACATGTGCGTCTCTTACGTCCTGTCCTGCGTTGGGGAAAAACACAGAAGTGGGCGGAGTTCTGATGCAGACGCCGGTAACGGCACTTTTACAGTCATAGAAGACACTCAGAGTAAAGAGTAAGACATATGTTTACAAGCACTGACCCCGTCCTCAGCCCTGGTTTAGTCCTGGTTTAGTCCTGGTTTAGTCCTGGTTTAGTCCTGGTTTGGTTGTTTTCGAGCGTGAGTCTCCGCGATCACTTTGCTGCTCTCTGATGTGGAGCGAGGATGTCCGCTGCTGCGAGCATCTCACAGCGAACAGTTTTTAAGGTAGTATGGTCCATGCTTCAGTGATCAGAGGAATTTAGGGGGGTACTGTGGCGTGCGAGAACGCAAAACTCTGGTTATCTCTGTCTACACACAAATGCATTAACGGAGTTTTCAAAAATCTCCACTTTGCCCGGAGTTTTTTGTATATATTAGTTTAGAATGTGTAATTTTTTTATTTATTTAATGCGATCTACCCATACTACCTTTGCGATCGACTGGTAGATCGCGATCGACGTACTGAGCACCCCTGGTCTACACCAAGAGCTAGAAGATGTCTCCGGCAAAATCAAAGATGGCCGCCACCGCAAGTTTGTTTTTGTACCACAAATGAATCCCATTTTGTTTGAAGGTGAACGCTGTTAAGATGTGATAACGATTTTGCAGAATGTAACAATATAATCAAAAGGTGGATAACGACATTTGAAATTCCCGAAACTGGAGGCGGAAAAAAGCCCCGTCTGTGACATCATAGAGCAGGGGTCACCAACCTTTTTGAAACCAAGAGCTACTTCTCGGGTGCTGATTAATGCGAAGGGCTACCAGTTTGTCACACACTTACATAAATTGCCAGAAATAGCCAATTAGCTCAATTTACCTTTAACTCTGTTATTATTGATAATTAATTTTTATTCATCTACTTGGAAACACTGATAATCTTAATGTTTTCTCACAATAAATATATATAGAAACGGATATATATCAATATGCAACACTTTATTTCTATATTTAAGTACACATTTTTCAAGTTGAAAATTTTCAAAGGGTCACTTCTAAGACAGTCTTGTGAAATCACAATATCCCATTTTAACTAGCTAGCCACTAACATTTTTAACAAATCATGAATTGCTTTGCACCATGTTTGTACAAATTATAACTTATGTAAAATACAAAAGTTCACTCTCAAATTTTTAAATAAATCATGTCACACGTGATGACTATCTCACAGGAGTTTAGAAACCAAAGCGGTCCCATTTGTGCTGCTACTTTCTCCTCTTCAGAACATAAATGAGTTGAAACTCATCGTTTCAACTCATTTAACTGTGATGCTGTTAATAAAGACACAGTTCTTCTTGGAAACATAATTATTATTAAAGTGTGTTCAGCACAAACAGCAAAACAATAAATGGTAAATATCTGAGACAAACATGAACGTTTTACGAGTGCAGGAGGAATGAAACAGACGGAGCTACGATTCAAACAAGACAGGAACAGTGCAAAAGAATTGACTGTACAGTTTATAAGTTATATATAAGTTAGATATGCAACAGAACTCTAATCCACAGTCTCCACGTATATCAGGCTCTGTCATGAGCCCAAACTACTTTTCCTTCGGTTCCTTCGAAGCACGAAGTAGTCTGCTCCGAGTGCCTTGTCCATGCTCCTGCAGCCGCTTCATGCTTCCCAGAAAGTAGTCACACACGAACCAATCACAGCAGAGCTTCTCTCACACACGGACCAATCACAGTGGAGCTTGTCTGCGGCGGCGGCCGCGTAGTATTCGAGGGTGCGCGGCAGGCTACGTAAGGGCCTTGCGGTGATCCACGCGTTGCACAAGTGACGTCACGTCACCACCGTAAGCTCCACTCCGCGCGACTATGCACTAGGCTTGAGTGCTTCTATTTGAGCTATTTTTAGAACAGGCCAGCGGGCGACTCATCTGGTCCTTACGGGCTACCTGGTGCCCGCGGGCACCACGTTGGTGACCCCTGTCATAGAGCATGAAGAGTTAAAACACAAGACCACAAGTGTCAAAACTCTCCATAAGCTCCAACCAAGCAGGAGCTCACCACACTCCAGGTCTACAGGTTCAGACTGGGCTCACAGAGGAAGTGGGTGGAGTCTGTTGTGCTCCTGCTTGGTTGGAATGAAAACCTGCAGCCACCCCAGACCTTTGAGGCCCAGTCTGACGGTTTACACAGAAGGGTTAGTTCCTGAAAGTGGATGGAGCTAGAACCCACTGCATGTCTGTTGTAGATGAGACAGAGACTGGGCTCACCTCCTCTTGCTGCGGTGTTGGCCTGAGAAGCTGCTCTCCTCCTCCACCTCCTCCACGTCCACCTCCCTCTTGCGGTTTTCCCGGAGCACCTTCAGGACGCTCTCTCTGGAGCAGGGGTCGACTGGGGCCTGGGTGAACACAGGGCTCTCCAAACTGCAACACAGCGGCTCAGTTTATTAAAATAATCGCAAATAATCATTTACATTTTGCGTGCAATACATTTATTATTTAGGCCTTAATTCATTGATATTAAAGCACAAGTTCATCAATTATGATGAATGAATTACACAAGAATAATGCATACAATTTTTTGTAATACATTTTAACACGTTGCGAAACCAACGTCTATGTTCCGAACAACAACAAATCACAATGAACATGAAGGAAAACGACCACAAAGCCCCGTGGGAAGCAATAATGGCAGGTTGTGTTCACATATCACCGCAGCACCTGGAGGATCACCTCAATGCTAAACATAGAGCAGCTAGCATGGACGTGAGCCTGAGTAAAAAGACCCAAGTCACACTCCACTGGTTTAAGGACCAGACGGAACTAAAGCCGGCTGGATTGCACTCGACTGTAAAGAACTGTGAGTGTTTGAAGATTAGGGCAAAATATATTTTATTTCTAAAAAGGCTATTGCTACAATTTATGCCAAAAGTTTCACATGTTATTTTGTGTTTTACATTGCTCCAGACCAGAGCCGAGAGGATCCGAACCAACTTTATTTTTTACTAACTTTTAGAATGATGTATTTATGTGCTGAGTGGATGGATGTGTTTCTGCTGCACATCTGCATCAGTAAAGTCTGGTTCAAAGTATCACTGCAGCAAAAACAGTCTAAGGTCGAGTTCAGAGTTCCTAAAATGGTGACATTATCCCAAAGTGAAAACATAATTGCTCCGAGTTGAAAGGTTTAGACACAGACCTGTGCGCGGCGGCGTCGGGGCGGCCGATCTTCACCGTCACGGGGCTGCACACACTGTTGCGGGGACTGAGGACGCTCTTCTGCCTGAAGCCGTCCCATCTGAACGGAGGCAGGACCCCCACAGGAGACGCCCCCTGCTGCTGCAGAGGGTAGTGCCGCTGAGGGGTGATGGTGAAGCGGGCCCCTGTGCTCACGGGCTCTCTGAAACACACACACAGTCAGACGGATACACACAAAAGCACGAGGCATAAACAGGCCACACACACAGACACACAACAGCATGAGGCAAAAACAGGCCACACACACAGACACACAACAGCATGAGGCAAAAACAGGACACACACACGAAGAACTTTTACTTTTGAATGAGCTGGACACAGCAGCGAGTCCTAAGTCGCTCTCAAACAGATGTTGCTTTTTGTGGTTCTTTGTGGTTGGATGTCTTACCACAAAAAGCACTTTAACTCGAGACAAAATGAACTGCTCTGAAACAGTTTTGTATTTTGCTTGATTTTTTCTACCTGTAAATGTTACTGCAGAACAGTGTTCATGGTTTTACACTAATCCAGATCAGAGAGGATGGTCCCAACCATTAGATGAAGCTGAAATCTACCGGAGGAATGATAATCTATTATTGAAAAAGGTGAATAAACTAGAACCAGAGCAGAGAAATAAGTCTAAACCAAGCAGACTCTGCAAACATCAACCAGAGGCAGCAGCTCATCACCCGCACTTTATTACTTTCGATGTTAGTCACTTTTAGAATTATTGTTTGTGTGAATAGAAGTGTTTCTGGACATCTGAACTGAGAAAACCAAAAATCTGATATGAATCTGTTCAAAAAGCAGAATCCGTTTGTCAATTTGATGAGAATTTCAACAGATTGTTCTAGTTATTCTGCCGCATTAGTACAAGTTAATTTTTATTTTAAATCTGCAGAAGACCATCTCACATTTCTTGTCACTGATACAGGTTTGATGAAGTAGATGCTTATTCTGTCACTGATCACCACAACAACACACAGAATACACATATGGCACTGACGCGGCGAAGGAGAGGCGGCGGTTGGGCGTGTAGACGGCATAGTTGGGTTTGGCGAGACCGTCCCGCAGCTGCTGTCGTGGGTTCCTGCCCCTGAGGAGGTTCTCCTGGGGAGGACTGTCCGCTCTGGAGAGGTAACTGCCCATGAGGACGTCACGGGGGCTGAAGAGCTCCGTGCTGAGAGGGTCCACACGGTACAGACCGCGATCCACAGGCCTCGCTCTGCAGAGAGAGAGACACAGATGTAACAACTGCTATAGATGCTTCATTGGTCCTGGAGAACTCAGGCGCACCCTTAGTTACTCTAGTAACACTAAAGACGCCACATCACCGGCTGATCACCGGACACATCCGTAGTTTGTCATTTTTATGAACTAATTAAACCCAAATTCAAATAAAGCCATTTTCAGTTACTTTCTTTCCATGGTGGTAAAAGAAGATTTTTCAAGGTGCAGTTTCTGGACTGGTCCTGGACTGGTTCTCATAACAACAAACCATTTCCTGTCAGCAGTGAGTGAGGGTACAAACCCTGTACATTTCTTACCTCAAAACAAAAAACTGGTGGAAAACGAAACACTTTTGGGGAATTCTCACTATGCCATTGTTTGAATGGGAACAGTCAAAATGACGGCTCTGGGAGTTCAAGTAATCTCAGAATTGTGGAAGTCCTAGAGTTAACTTAACTCAAACTTTAGTTCCATGTTCCCACCCACCTGTGCGTGAGGAGGCCGTAGCTCTGCTCCGATCCCCGGGACGAGAGCTTTCCTTTCCCGCTGTTCCTGCCTTGGTCCAGCCGAGGCGCGGTGCCCCAAGCCCGAGCCCAGCGCCGCAGCACGGCGTGGAGGTGGCCCCCAGGCCGGGCAGAGAGAGCTCCGGAGGGCCCCAGGAGCAGGAGGACGCCGCACAGGAGCAGCAGCAGCAGAAAGAGGTAGAGCAGGAGCGGGTAACAGTACAGGAGGAGCGCCGCTGTGCCCCCGGACAGCAGCCAGAGGAGAGCCGCCAAGTGAGTCCTGTGCGCGGGAGACATGGCGACTGTGCCGGCGGAAGTGCGGAGGCTCAGGGCCGGTGCTGCCCCCTGCGGCTGGGGGGAACACTGCACCAGGGCGGCATGAGCCAATAATGGAAAGCTCATGGATCTATTATATTAACGGGAAAGCTGCAGAGCCGGAGCCGAGGCAAATCTACCGTGATAGTGCGCCCTCTGCTGGTAAAGACAGATATACGACGGTATTTATTTCACGTTTTACAGTTGTATTGTCTGGATATTGTGTGTAATTTACAATGTGGTGTAACTTAGTTTACATGTACTATTATTTTGGTTATTTTATTAAATTAAAATGTTATGTTTTACTCCAATATTTCATTGTATTTTGTAGGACAGTGCCTTCATTTGTTCATAATAATAAGGAACAAGGGACAGAGACAATATTTTGGAACAAATTAACATTTTTATTGTGGTAACTAACCAGCCATTGCTGTAATCAGTACAGAAAAGGAAATCATTGGGTTAATAATGTTAGCTTGCAGATTCCATAAAAAAGTAAAAAGTAAAATGTGTAACTTTAGGGTCTTCCCTGTTTCCTGAATTCACTTCACAAAAAAAAAATTGTAAATAATGTGTAAAAATCAAATGTTGTATGTTTGGAAGGTTTCTTGTAAAAAAAAAAAAAAAACAGCAAATCTGAAATAAAATAAAATAACCTTTGTTCATAAATGGCTCCCTGGAGGTACGCCTCTTTTGCCTCCTTCCAGGGTATGTTTTTCAGTTGGCAAATTCCATGAATGATTGCCTGTACAAGTAACAATAAAGTAAACATCAAAACTAAAACAGTAACATTGTCACACTTTTTGGATGTACCTCTGGAAACAGGAAGCCAAGAAGGAATTCCACCTCATTGTTGACCTTCAGCACAGTCTGTATACTTTTGATTAGGCTTCTGAGGTACACAAATAGGGTATCCTGGTGCTCCAAAAGTATAAATGAAGGGCTTACCTCTATTTGTAATACAGAAACATACAAGCAATATTTACCAGAGAGGTGGAAAGATGTCTTCCTGTGAAGGTCCATGATAACCACTGGTGGATGGTCACCACAGGTGACACATGAATACTGGTATTCATGGTCTGTCAGTGCCTCGAAATGTAGGTAGCCATGAAGAATAATGCCTGGTGAAGGAAACTTCACACCAGTTGATAACTCCAAATACTCGGCTATTCGGCTGACTGCAGTGTGTACCTAAGCAAGATTCAGCACAATAAATACAATTTTTCCCAAAGCACACATTTTGAATACATATATTTAAAATACCTGCAACATGTGCCTTATAGTGAGACACAGAGATATTTCCAGGATAACATGATCGTTGAAATTATGCAAACCACTGCTCCACTCCTGGTACCTGTACATCATCGTACACTGTGGACAACTTTTGTAGTAGGTTGAAATGTCTGCAGAACGCACATGTATGAACAAAAATGGTTTAAAGCTACACAGAGTACAGTAATAAGGTATACAAATATAAATGATTTACCTTCTACAATGCCTGAAATGGCTTTGTGTGTGATGCACACAGGGTCACTGAGGACTATGCGGTTTGGGCAGTGGTGGCAAAATGCTTCTTCAGGAATCAAATGTTTGGGGAATTTTAAAATGTCCATTGATGGATGTTTCAGGTGGTCAGGAAGAGATGGAGGTATTTTTTTATTGCCAGATATATACTTTACAATGGCCTCCAATGTTGGCACATCTTTTGGGGGGTATGCACTTTCTCCCTCCACAGTGTTTTCAGCATTGTCCATTATGCTCACCGGCAATACGTCTACGATAGCTTCAGTGCAACGGACCTTGCGGAATAGTTCTGGATTAGTTTGAAAGAGGTGCCATTTTCCAATATATTTATGTGTGCATGACCTTTGACTTTTTGCACAAGGACAGTGCCACGAATTCTTTTTTGTGTCATAAGACACCATTACTCTGCCAAGTCTGCTATAATATGAAATTCTTGGCTCATAAACTGATATATATTTTGTGGCAGATGGAATGCCAATCATTGACTGGACTGAGAGGTGTATTGTGTTCCCTGGCCAAAGTTTGACGATCTACACACACTTTAATTTTATCATTTCCAAACCACTTCGCTTTGACCATTGCTTGGAGGGTTTCAATTGTGAGTGTAGGTGAACTTAAATATGATTGGCAATATGAAACAGACCGAAGGTGTACACACTGGTAGGAAGTCATTCCACTTCTCCAAGCCAACTCCATATTTGCCTGGCAATCCCTTAAAGCACAAATCACACGTTGCTGTTCCCCCCATATTCTAATCTGGGCATGAATGGGAGTGGACGCTCCATGAAAGCTTTTATGCACAGTATAGATCCCGTTCTGAGGGTCAATGCACTCAGTTTGGAGATGGCAAGCGGAATTAATATCCTTCATTTTTTGTGTGTGTTTTCGTTCAATGTGTCTTTTTAAATTCCTTCTGTAAATTGTCAAATTACATTCTGGACATTTTTGTTTGCGCCTCCCCTTGATTGTAGTTTTGACTGGTCTAATACTTTGTGTAATACTTGGAACAACTATGGTGGACACTGGAGGCATTGAGGTGCTGGGCACGACTGTGGTGGACACTGGAGGCATTGAGGAGTGACCTTTTAGATGTTTTATAAAATTGTCCTTAAGGCGCGTTCAGACCAAAAGCTTCAAAAAGCTTTTGACGCGCTTCAACTGACGCCGGGATAGTTTTGTCATTTTGGTGCTTGAAGCTTTTGACGCGAGTGACGCGCCTGACGCCGGTGGGAGGAGCTTCTCTGTTGCCTGTAGTCAGGACAGCGGTGGATTTTTCAATGAGCAGCGAGCCTTTATTTGTTATATAAAGCAAAATAACGTTGTTGTAGGGCTTCAACAAAACATGTTCTGGGTTCACCACAGACTTGAGAGGCTGCAGTGTTTGCAGAGTTCCGTCATTTACTCCAGGAGCTGCGTACGGAGGAGTTTCGCTTTCAGCGGTACTTCCGTATGTCACTCGCCCAGTCTGAGTTCTCAAACCCCGGCTCTCGCCTCTCCCCGGCTCTCGCTCGCCTCTCCCTGCCTCTCCCTGCCTCTCCCCGGCTCTCGCTCGCCTCTCCCTGCCTCTCCCTGCCTCTTCCTGCCTCTCCCTGCCTCTTCCTGCCTCTTCCTGCCTCTCCCCGGCTCTCGCTCGCCTCTCCCTGCCTCTCCCTGCCTCTCCCCGGCTCTCGCTCGCCTCTCCCTGCCTCTCCCCAGCTCTCGCCCGCCCGGAGCTGCCTTGCTCTGAGCCAGACTCATCGTCAGCCTGTTCTTATATTAAATAAACTACGTTTACTACACAGCATGTGTACAATGATTTTTGTTACTCAGAATGTTACTACTCATACAAATAATATTACTAATAACAATAATGACAATAAAACAGCAGCAGCAGATACATGACTTCTCTTCATGACAGAGACAGACCCTCTGCTGCAGCTGCTGCTCGTCTCCTGATTGGTTGAAGCCCGCGTCAAAGCTTCAAAAGCTCAGCTTTGCTCAACTTCGGCGTCAAAGGGATTGTTTTGATACGCGAGCGTTTCGCGCGTCAAGTGACGCCGGGGCTCTCGGCTTCACCTGACGCGCTTCACCATTCACTTTCAATGGAAACCTGACGGGCGGCACGGTGGCTGAGTGGATAGCACTCTCGCCTCTCAGCAAGAAGGTACTGGGTTCGAATCCCGGCCGGACCAGGGCCTTTCTGAGTGGAGTTTGCATGGTCTCCCCGTGTCTGCGTAGGTTTCCTCCGGGTACTCCGGTTTCCCCTACCACTAAAGATATGTACAATAGTTCTGGCATGCGCCTCCTGTTCGGCGACCCCGCTCCCATCTCTGTGTAGAGTGAGAGACAAATGCCCAAAAAATAACAATTGTAAACCGCTTTGTGGCTCTGGTCTGTGAAAGGCGGTATATAAATAAAGCTTACTTACTTACTGACGCTTTTGACGCCGAAGTTAAGTCCGGTGTGAACGCCCCTCAGTTAATTTACAATACAAGCAGTGATAGTGTCCTTTCTACATGAGAGGCCACATCTGTGAATGGTAAATCCTGAAAATGAAATGAAATAGCAGGATATTAATGAATGTCTTACAAATATGTAAATTGTCAAAACATTTTTGAAGTTACCGTCATAATTGACAGATCTAGTGAAGTGCATTTTAAGGTGACGCTTCACTCTTCCCAGCTCTGTCGGCTTGAAATGATTCGGACCACAGAATGGACAGTGGAAATCACTGCAGCAATCTGTGCACCTCTTTATCTCAGGCAGGGAATCATTGTCCTTTCCTATTGTAATATCCATCTGAGGGGAAGAATAATGTAAATTTTATTTTTATTTCAAATTAACATATGAATAATTCTGGGCTAATAATGATAATAATAATAATATGGTCAAAACTAGTCTGGAATAACATATACATGCAACAATGTGCCATTAATAATGGTGCAATTTTTTTACATTGTATTTGCTCTTCATTTATCCAGGATAAAGCTCGTTGAGATTAAAAATCTCTTTTTCAAAAGTGTCCTGGCCAAGATTCTTTACAATTAAAATATGCAATAATTTGCCACAGAAAGTAAAGGTATACCCTTGATACATATGAATAATTGAATGTTTTGGGTAGCCTATGTAATTGGGATTATGTATTGTGTTTTACTAATTTACAACTAACTTAAACGCTAGCTTAAACGCTATTTTAAGACGATAATTACGTCTCATCTTTGGGGGGGAAATCAAGTAATTCGTATGTTGTTTAAAGTGTTAGCTTTAGCAAACAACAGAAGCATCTACGATTTCAAAAATGTGTTCATAAGAAATTAAAAATGAAATAACTCGATTAAAGTCTACTCACGTTCGTTGACTTGATCCAAATGAATATTCCCAAGAGCTAAGACCGTCGTATATCTGCCTTTACCAGCAGAGGGCGCACTATCACGGGGAGGAGGTAGGAGTAGACCCATGAGAAGGAGCAGTAGAATCAGAATCAGAACTATTTTAACGTGTGCCCCATGCGTGTGCCACTGGAAGGTACAGGTTTGCTTTGGCTCTCGGTGCAAGTTGTAAGAGAAAAAATAAATATAAACATGAATACTAACAGCTATGCACATACACACACACACACATACACACATACACACACACACACACACGCGCGCGCTCAGTAGTAGTTTTAAATCTACATGAAATATCTTAAAATTACTTCTAAAAGCTATTTACAAGTTTACTAAGTACACACAAACACGCACAGTAGTCGTAGTAGTAGTTTATTTCTTCGGCCATTATAAACATTAGATCTTAGGTCACATGTTTAAACAATTTTGTATACATTTTATAATAAGAAAAAAAGATCTCTAACATGTACATTAAGAATTAATTCAGAAAATATACATAATTCCTTGTGCTTACTTTCAAAGGTAGCATTTGTGAGACGTGGAACTCCAGGTTTGATCAATAGTTTCTCGACATCCATCCATTTTCTACCCATTAATCCATTTCTGGGTTGGAAGGTGACAATCAGAGATGCCACCCAAGTCTCATAGCACCAGCCCCTCACTGACCCTCTGCAGGTGGTGAGTCCACAGGAGGACGGCTGCTCTGTCTGAGAGAGCCTAGCCTTGATTTTTCAGCGGGGGATTCAGGCAAAGTAGGATTAAGTGTCTTGCCCAAGGACACAACGGCAGCAGACATCAGTGGGAGTTGGTGGAGAAGGTCTCATGGTGGGCTTGAACCCACAACCTTCAGCCTCAAAGGCCAATGCTCTACCAACTGAGCCACTGTCGCCCCGTTTTTATAACTTTTCTGTCTCTATTTGTGGTCTGTCTCTGAAGTCATGGTCCTGACCCAAACCCAAACTGCTCCTAAGTGGTTGGTCTGTAAGATGTGGTTGGTCAGGCAGAGAATCAATGATACACGGAAAACTGGAGAGTGGAAGGAGGTCTTTAATTCACTCTCGACATCATCAGTGCAGGGTTTATGCAGCGTCTGTCTGTGTCGCCTTTTATAGAACACACTTTACTGCGAAACCAACAGAAACATGTCCCCATCAGTAACATTCAGTGGTCAGAGAAGTCTCCAGTGGTCCGAAGGTCCAGCTCCTCTTGCTTTTTGGCCCAAGTTTGACTTTGATAGATAGATAGATAGATGATAGATGATAGATAGATGGATAGATGGATAGATAGATGGATAGATGATAGATAGATAGATAGATAGATAGATGGATAGATGATAGATAGATGGATAGATAGATGGATAGATGATAGATAGATGATAGATAGATAGATAGATAGATGGATAGATGATAGATAGATGGATAGATAGATGATAGATAGATGGATAGATGATAGACAGACAGACAGACAGACACACAGATAGATAGATAGATCAGTGTCCTGTGGGAGGTCACAGAGGCCCTCAGAGTCAGTGTGATGTCACAGAGGCCCTCTCACTGCGCTCCTTTGCACTCTCTGGGGACATCTGGACCTCGAAGGTCTTGTTGAACGCGCTGTAGTCCACACGGAACGCCTCCTTCTCCAGAGAGATGCACGACTCAAAGCGATGGCCCCACAGCACCTCGTCCTCCGTGTAGGACGTCCTGGCCTGGCACGTCATTCCTGCAGCACACGCGTGTTTAGTTACGTTTATTTCATTTCATTTGACTACTTTGAAGCATGTGTGCATACTTTATCAATAAATCAGACAAACAAAACCAAACTTCTATTCCATTCACATGTTCAAAGTAAATATGTCCCTTCTGTTAGACTGTTAGTGGGTCCAACAAAAAGGACTGTGGTGATTATTATTATTTATTAGGTCGGGACAGTACATGTTAATGAACACATCACTCCTGTACCTTGGACTTGCATTCGTCGTCTCACATTCACACTCACAAACTCACACTCATTCACCCTGAACTACTGCAAATGTTTTTAGTGGAAACTGGAGCACCCGGCGGAAACATACGCAGATACAGGGAGAACATGCAAACTCCAATCAGAAAAGCCCTGTTTCGACTGGGATTCGAACCCAAAACCTTCTTGCTGAGAAACGAGAGGGCTAACCACTCAGCCACTGTGCCAGCCTCCAGGACACTAACATTCTACAACATTTATGGACATTGGTCTCTCCCAATGTCTCTGTGTTCTATGTTCTCTGTGTCTTTCTAAAGTCCTCTGAGGTAACTGTGATTCAGGGCAAAAAAAGAATACATTGAATTGAATTACACCTGGCATCAAGTCAATTCAATTGTAAAAGCCTAAATCACAGCAGTATTTACCTCAGAGGACTTCACAAAGTTGTCAATTCTCCAAAACAGATCAGAGAATCTGACAGTCCAAACACAGGAAGGAGCCGAGACCAATGTCCTTAAATCTGATTGAATGTGGAGCGTCCTGGTCATCTCAGCCTCCTGCATCAGAGAAACAACTCTAAAAACAGGAGAAAAGTGAGAAACCTCAGGGAGGCTCCAGGACTGAGGCTGTAGATCCAGGACTGAGGCTGTAGATCCAGGACTGAAGCTGTAGACCCAGGACTGAGGCTGTAGATTCAGGACTGAGGCTGCAGACCCAGGACTGAGGCTGTAGATTCAGGACTGAGGCTGTAGATCCAGGACTGAGGCTGTAGACCCAGGACTGAGGCTGTAGATCCAGGACTGAGGCTGTAGACCCAGGACTGAGGCTGTAGACCCAGGACTGAGGCTGTAGATTCAGGACTGAGGCTGTAGATCCAGGACTGAGGCTGTAGACCCAGGACTGAGGCTGTAGATCCAGGACTGAGGCTGTAGACCCAGGACTGAGGCTGTAGATCCAGGACTGAGGCTGTAGACCCAGGTCTGAGGCTGTAGACCCAGGACTGAGGCTGTAGACCCAGGACTGAGGCTGTAGATCCAGGACTGAGGCTGTAGTGATGTGACCTTTGTTTCCATGACAACACATCAGGGGAAAGCGTTACTGTGGGACAGAAGTGTCTAGTTTTGTGGGAGACCTCTAGGAACACCCAGTGCCAAACTCGAGTGGTGTCCTTGGGCAAGACACTTGACTCATATTACCTAGAAAGAGTCTGGTGTGTATGATACGAGGGGCTTTGACATATGTTTGGGAGCAGCAGACTCACCTGAGGCCTCCACGATTCCCTCCAGGATGATGATGATCTCGAAGGTCTCCTTGCTGAGGCGCTCCGCCCCCATGTCCCAGAAGGGGCTGCTCTTGTTGATGATGTGAGTGATGGTCTGAGGTTCCACCAGCAGAAGCCGGTCTTCCCCGATGTCGTAGCCCAGGTTGATCTCAGACTGCTCCAGGGGGATGAACTCGCCCTCCTTGGTCTGCCGGGACTTGATGAGCTTAGCGCGCACCTTGGCGTCCACCATGTGGCTCTCCCGCAGGTCTCCGATGCGGAGCAGCATGCAGAGTTTGTCGTCTCTCTCACAGATCACACAGTGTTTGGTGAAGATGAGAGTCTGCGCCCTCTGCTGCGGACGAGAGATCTTCACAAACATGCAGCCCACCATCAGAGCGTCGATGATGGAGCCTACGATGGACTGCACCATGAGTAGGACCACTCCCTCTGGGCAGTGGGGCGTCACCATCCTGTAGCCATAGCCGATGGTCCTCTGACTCTCCAGAGACAGCAGAAGAGCTGAGAGGAAACCATTGACCTTCTCGAAGCAGGGCTCCCACTGTGGGTCTTCATAGTGTGCGAGGTCGTCTCTGATCCAAGCGCCCAGGAAGTAAACAGCTCCAAAGGCCACCCACGTGAGCACGTAGCACATGCTGAAGACCAGGAGGAACCAGCGGTACTTGAGGTCCACCAGAGTGGTGAAGATGTCTGAGAGGAAGCGCCTCTTCTCTGCGATGGGGCCCAGGTTGACCTGACACTTCCCGTCTTTAGTAACGTATCGTTGTCTCTGGCTGTTGCTGCTGACCTGGACGAGGCTCTGGTCCCCCAGGAGCCTGCAGTGCTTCCTCCTCAGCCTGTCCACAGTGAGGGCCGGGGCCGAGCTGCTGCCGGTGGAGCCTCTGGACTGCCACTTGGAGCTGAAGCGCTTCATGCGGCGGCTGCGGCGCGGCCGCTGTTTGCAAACGTCCAGAGGGTCCACGATGGTCTGACCACTGCTCTGACGGGACAGATCTGAGGCCGGCTGGCTCAGTACGTCAGGGGCCTGTAGGCCGCTGTGTTCGGGGCCAGACACCATCACAGAGTCCTCAGTCAGGGGCCCGAGGGCTGGAGGAGAAGGAGGAGCAGGAAGAGCCTCATCCGGCGGGGGCCAGTTTGAGTTGTTCTTGTGGTGCAGGAAAGTAGCTCTGCGGATCTTTGCCACAGCAGAGAGGAGAGCTTCTGAAGGCTGGAACACACACACACAGACACACACGTACATACACATACATACATACACATAATTGCACGCACACATGCAAAAATGTGATGATTCAATATCATTGCAATTCTTAACATAATACAACACAGACAGTAAAATAATTTGTTCTACTTCATCCCTTTAATTGTGTGCACAAAACTATTCTTTTTGCGACACTGGACGTAATGTTTTTTCTCCCACTTTACACATCTTGTAAATCTTGTACATTTTTCCAGTGTGAGATCAATAAAGTCTATCTTATGTCATCTGGTCCTGACCTTAGACTATACAGACTGAAGTCCATCACCTACCTGCTGGCAGCGGACTGTGGGCTGTGAGGGCATGTTCTCAGGGTGGTCCCAGGACAGACGGGGGGCCGCGCTCACAGAGGGGGGCTCCATCCTCAGGCTCCTCTCTCTTCACAGACCGGAGCTGGTGCTGTGAGCGGGACGTCCCATGCCTGAGTGGTCTTCTCTCTGATGCTGTGATATGCAGGGATTAGCACTAATCCACAAAGTAATCGGAGAAAGTCCAAGGAGCATGATGAAAAGATTACAGACAATGGTTGGTGTCGGAGACGTCCAGATGCGGCTCTCATCCGCCCTGATGATTCTCAACATGTGGAGGCTTAGCACAACACAATATTGGGAATCATTTAGTGAACACATGGATATATTTTTTTCAGCAAAGGTCATTGTTCTTGCACAAAAACATGGCGACTCTTTATTAAAATCTGAATTATTTGTATTATTGTAAGAAACAGGAAGTCGGGCTTTGGCTTAAGGTACAAACAACAGAGTACAAGGTAATTTATTCTGTAAATCAGTAGTATTTATCTCAGAGGACTTTATAAAGATGTCGATTTGCCAACACAGATCCAAAAACCAAACAGGGATCAGAGAATACACCAAGGACAAACACACACACAGATACAGATTTGTTTTGTTTATTTTAAAATTACATGTTTTTGTGGCTCACATTAATCACCAAATAAGACCAAAGAAATAAGAGATATTATTATTATTTTATTCATCACGAGTCACCAAAGCCACAGCATTCAGGAGTTAGTTTGAGCTCGGCAACACAAACCGTTAAGAGGCAACACAACACAAAACATTCTAAAAAAAATCGCCTTTCCCTCTTTTCTTATTTGTTCTAGCTCCATTCATGTTAATATACGGTGTTTCTGGATCAAACATGTCTGTCTCAGTCGTGGAACAGTATGAAGTCATTGTACCATGATGTCACAGTCGTTACAGTTACACGTTACAATCTGACTTTTGAAGTTCCTCAGGCAAAATGATTTTCTTTACAATCACATGCCTGTGTTTGCAGCTCCCCCTGGTGGCAGCACAGAGGATCAGGGTTAGACCAGAGAGAGACCAGACAGAATCCAGAGAGAGACATTAGACCAGAGAGGGACTAGTTACAGACCAGAGAGAGGTCAGAAATAAACCAGAGAGAGACTAGAGAGATGTCAGAAAGAGACCAGAAAAAGACCCGGCAGAGATCAGAAAGAGAGACCAGAGAGAGACCAAAGAGAGACCAAAGAGAGACCTAAGAGACCAGAGAACTCAGAAGGAGGTTAAACAAGTCTCTGCACTACTCACTAAACAAAACCCCATTCCTGTACTTCACCTGCATCGCTCCGATCTCACTGTCGTTGTGTTTTGCTGCGACAAACGCAAAGGTCGGGGTTTGGGTCAGAGCTTTAGCCTTGCACCTCATGTCGGTGAAAACATCATCTCTGTAGAACCACTGCTTTTCTGCCCCTGTCTCTCTGCTCTGCAGCTCATACTGTTCCCTTCTCTTCAGCATGTTAAGGTTTTTCTCCATCTCCTCCAGCTGAGGGTCCGAGCTCTGCACACTGGTGAAGATGTAGCCCACACGGACATCATCTCCAGGGGCCAGCACCAGCTGGTCCACCTCAGACTGAGTGGACAACACTGTGCCTTTCGAGTCCTCCTTCTTTGCTCTATGGTAGTCGCTCTTGGATTTGAGGAAGACCTTCTCGTCTTGGGGCGGCTCTGGGGCCAAGATGTCTAAGATGGAGTCTATCACATTGATCTCTCGCTCCATGTCCTGCAGCCACTGAGTGAGTTTGTCCTGACTGAAGGCGGAGCTGTCTCTTTTCTCAAACACTTCTCTCAGAGCGCTCTCGTCTAGGGTTCCTTCTCTGATGGCAGGACACATCTCTGCCATCTCCCTCTGCAGCTCTGCCCAGTAATGTTGACAAAGTTTGTGGAAGGTGAGCAGCTGATGTTTAAGCTGAGGGAACTTCCCCACCGCTCTGGAAGTAAGACTGTCCTTACATCTGAGCTGGACGTCGGACAGCTCCTCCAGAGTGTTCTCGGCCTCCAACACTAACCCTACACTCATGTCCTTGAGAGGAGATCTGATGGCTCTGGTGGTCTGCTCAGACTTGACCACAGCTCCCAGTGGCAGCATCCAGACCCTCACTGGGACCGCGTTCTCCCACTTCTCCCCTAACAGCTGCGTCAGCTGCTTGTACATCTCTAAGGCCTCTAAGACCGTGCTCGGGACGTTCTCCAGAAGGAAGTCAGAGTTAAACGTCACCGTGAGATTTTTAACTATGGACTTCTGTTCCTCAGTGAGGCTTGTCTCATAATTGAAGTTCACGGACCAGAAGAGAAGGTGGACCACCACTCTGACCTTCATGGTAAACTCTGTGACCTCACTGGCCTGCAGCAGCTGACTGTCGAACAAGAAGAACGTGTTGGCGCCGTACTCTATTGCGGTGACCACATGTGTCGCCATGTCAAGCATCTGGTAGTCAATCATGTCCCCTCTGTACCCTCTTTCCTCTCTGGCCTCTCTATCCTCTCTCTCCTCTTTCTCCTCTCTGACCTCGCTCTCCTCTTTCTCCTCTCTGACCTGTCTCTCCTCTTTCTCCTCTCTGACCTCTCTCTCCTCTCTCTCCTCTTTCTCCTCTCTCTCCTCTTTCTCCTCTCTCTCCTCTTTCTCCTCTCTCTCCTCTTTCTCCTCTCTAGCCTTCCTCTCCTGGATTCTGCCCTGGAGCTCCTGGATGTCCTCTGCCCTCAGCCCCAGCTGCTTGAGGTGTGTTGTGGCCTTGTAGTGCAGCGTCACTCGGCTCTGGCTCTTGAATGACTTTTTTTCGTACAGATATCTGGCGGATCCGCTCCCCTCCACGAAGCCGGCCATGACGCTGGCCTTCAGAGACGCGTCCATCTCCAGCTGGAAGGTCTTCTCCTGCGTGGAGTCCGACTCTGTGATGATAGCGCGACTGTACGGATGAGGACTTGTGTGAGTCAGAGTCTGCAGATGTGTTGGAGACCACAGAGAACTGCCTATAAACACACACAAGGGTAAGTATGTGTAAGCTGGATGAGACCAGAGAGAGACCTGAGAGAGACCTGAGAGAGACCAGAGAGAGACCAGAGAGAGACCTGAGAGAGACCAGAGAGAGACCTGAGAGAGACCAGAGAGAGAGACCTGAGAGAGAGACCAGAGAGTGAGGCCAGAGAGAGACCAGAGAGAGAGACCAGAGAGAGACCAGAGAGAGACCTGAGAGAGACCAGAGAGAGACCTGAGAGAGAGACCAGAGAGAGAGACCAGAGAGTGAGGCCAGAGAGAGACCAGAGAGAGACCAGAGAGAGACCAGAGAGAGACCAGAGAGAGACCTGAGAGAGACCAGAGAGAAACCAGAGACAGACCAGAGAGAGACCAGAGAGAGACCAGAGAGAGACCAGAGAGACACCAGAGAGAGACCAGATAGAGACCTGAGAGAGACCTGAGAGAGACCTGAGAGAGACCTGAGAGAGACCAAAGAGAGACCAAAGAGAGACCAGAGAGAGACCAGAGAGAGACCAGAGAGAGACACCAGAGAAACACTAGAGAGACACCAGAGAGAGACACCAGAGAGAGACCAGAGAGAGACCAGAGACCACAGAGCATTGCCTCAAATCAAACACAAGATAAATTAAAGCCGCAAGCGGCGTCGAACGGCCCTTGTCTGACGTGCCATCTTCCTGCTAGAGTTTCACTGTGTATTTTGAATGCTCTCCTATTGATGGTACATGTGTTGAGATAATTTGGAGCAATTTTCAGCAAAATCAGTGAAACGGTCGAGGCTGGTTTGATTTTTGTGCGAGGTGTACATTTCAGAGATTAAACGATTTTCCCATTGACACAGAATGGTAAAAACAGGGTAAAAAATAAGCCATGGGTCTCATTTACTTTTTGAATCAGGATGGTAAAACTTAAAATATTTTGAAAATCTAAACCTCATTCTCTCCGTGTTAAACTTGACTCAGTCTTTAGGGGGCGTGTTAGTATTAGATAACAATATGGCCTACGTGCAGGACTGTACAAGGACTCTACAAGGACTCCATGTTATGACTATGATTTGACTGTCTCTTTGTGACACGTATGTCTTTCGATGTGTGACGTGACAATGACTATATAAACTGTGTACTGCCTTTATTCTGTCTGAGAGAAAGAAACAGAGTAAACCAGTGGAACTTGAGAGAAACTTAAATAAACTTCCAGAGTTTGGCACACCACGATCCGTCTCTGTCTGCTTCATCCCTGACAGATTTGGTGCGCGGCTCGGTTTGTGCCATTCTCTGGATTGTTTTGAGGGAGTTTGCTCTGTTTCTTTTCCTCTGCGTGAGGGATCGGCATGCTGTGTCTGGGAGCGGAGATTCCAGCAGGCTGGAAGAGCTGTTCCTGGATGCTTCTTGTCGCTTCTGTCACTTTTGTTTTTTAAATTGAATTTTTCGACGCGGAAAAGATGTTGGTCGACCTCTCGAACAGTCCGGACAAAGAAAATAAGGTAAGCAGACACCTTTTTTAATATGTAAAGTCTGCATAATTGGATACTAGCTAAATTTTGAGCTGTCCCGGAGGTCTGTCCAAATCTCTCTAAATCAAATTTTCTTTGTTATGTCTTTGTCACGTCTTTGTCATGTCTTATGTTGTAGAAAACAGGTTAGCTGTGTGGGTAACCAGTCCCTATAGGAAAAAGGAACCCCTGACGTATCGGGGTCCCTGTCCTTTGAAGTAGTCAGGACAGAGAGAAAAAGGAACCCCTGACGTATCGGGGTCCCTGTCCTTTGGAGTAGCCGGGGCAGAGAATAGAGAATAGAAAATAGTTAGTGAAACCATGGTGTAATAATAAAAGCAATAAAAAGGGAAATGTGTTAAAGAGGCCTTTGTTACAAAAGCTTTGAAATTGACGAATTTCAGGCTGATAAATGACAAAAGTAAAGAAGCAACAATATTTCAGTGATCACAGTTTAAATTACATACAGAAAAAACGAGTTTTTGTTTTCGGCGTGAACAGAGTTCACCGGAGAATGCAGAGTTATATCTACAGTTAAGCTATGAGAGGGTTGTATCCAACAGTTGTAGTTTGCTACCTCGATAAAATAGAAGCGTAAACGTTAAACACTAAAGAGTGCCTTTTGTTACAAATGTGGAAAGTGATCACTTCTAGACTTGGATGACAAAAGTATAAACTACAAGTTATATTCGCAAAGTAATCTTGAAAGTTATTCTTCTTTCTGTTTTAGCATTTTTGCTAAAACACTACTTTCTGCCTGTGTGTGTGCGTCGCCCTATCTTGCTGCCGTTGTCAGGGAAACGGCCCCCTCCTTCGCTGCTCTGGCTCTGAATCAGAGCAAAGCTATTGCTTTAGGATTTTGCTTTTCATAGTAGTTATTCAGTTAAATTTGCGAAATTTGCCATTGAACATTGTGTTATGACACAGTTAAACGTTTTTAAACACCATTAGTGAATAAGTTTTGAATATTATATGTTTTTTGAAACCCAAATATTAGTGCTAAAGCTGTGCAATTCTTTTTAGACCTAACATATTTCTAGATGCCATTCTTTTAAATCTGCTGCTTATTTCTTAACTTTTTGTGAGTTGTGTTTGTTTTTATGTTTTTATTTTAGTTACAAAAGCCGTTTTTCAAACATTTAAATTAGAATCTGTGTTAAAAGTGATTATTGATTATAGACTTCGTCTAAAAAGAAAGAGGGAATTAGATTAGCTGTAAAAGTATTATATTATTAAGTTAAACTACCCAATTCACCCATTGCAAGCGGTGACGTTTTTGTTTTGACTACACGCGTGACCTTGCTCCCGCTGCTCCTGCTGCCCAGCGACAGGAGGAGGCAGCTCCGACGCACAATTGAGTTTTATTGAACCAAATCCAGTTTAGCTGGAGCTAAATCTTTTGTTTGATTTCAAGTTTTGTTTTAAACGTTTTTACAAATTAATGTTCATTTTTATAGAGATTTTTCATAATTTCATTTCATGGCGTCTTTCAAGAAACCCAAGGACGCATAGATCAGTGTTTTTCAACCTTTTTTGAGCCAAGGCACACTTTTTTCACTGAAAAAATCTTGCGGCACACCTCCAGGAGAAAATTTAAAAATGTATACAGTACTAATGTAAAAATATATACTGTACATACTCTGTGTGATATATAAAGTATATCTTATCTTATCTTATAATGTATACAGTATACTCTGTAGCCTATATTCACAATATACAGTTATTCTCATCAAAATGCTTAAGTCCAGGCCTTGACATTAAGCTTTATTTAACATTTCTCGATACAATTAACAAGAGTTTGGTAATAAAGTGGCACTAACTGTGTGGAAAAAAACTAAGAAAATCCACTCTCTGCCCAAATAGTCAAATAATAACTCACACAAAGAACATGCATTGTTAGTGCATGGGAAAAATGTAGGTATCCGAGCTTTAAATTCAGGAGTTTTGGATGAGGGACACGGGAGGTCCTGAACGCGAGTCCATGGTTCTGTCCGGTCCGCATGTCTATGGTTCTGTCCGGTCCGCATGTCTGTGGTTCTGTCCACTCGACTATGGTCTGCGCTCGGTACCCAGTTCAGAAGTGCGTTCGCGATTGTACATTTCATAGTTAAACCACTACAACGCGGCCACAGCTGCCCCGGGGCAGAGCGGAGGATGTTAATCCTGTTCAGAAACGGCATAATTCATTTTCAAAAACGTCTCTATCACTTTTACTTCTCACTCGCCACAAAGCTCTTGTCTCGCTCCCTCCCACATTTGTTGGTCGCATCCAATTTTACCTTTCTCGCCACAATGCTGACCTGTTACAGCCAGTGGTCGCATCCAATTTTTCAGTTTCAAAGTACTTAGCTATCTGCTGCCATCTACTGATTTGAAAAAGTATTACATGGTTACTCCACAGTTCAAAACAAGTCACCGCTCGTCAACAGCGAATGCAGTTATTTTTAGACAAAGTAGACGAATTTCTCACGGCACACCAGACAATATCATACGGCACACTAGTGTGCCGCGGCACAGTGGTTGAAAAACACTGGCATAGATAATTAAACACACAGTACAAAAGTACATAATACATATTTTAAAGTTTGAAGGTTCAAGAGATTTGAGTCTTATTTTTTATATTAAGAGTTTCTGGTCTTAAAATGTCATCATTAGTAAGATAATAAGTAATCTTTATTTACATAGCGCATGTGGGAAAGCTCCAAAATTGTTTTGACTTTAGGGAGAAAAACAATCTCATTCGCATACCGATATCTATTGTTGTTTTTAAATTGGCCGTCTCAAGGATTGTTTTTCAGACTCTGCCACACTGTACGAGAGGTCACTGCTGGACACTGGACACCAAATCCCACCCAGCCACAGGTCACAGATCAAAGAGCAAAGGGCAACAATGCCACCTCTACGCCCCTCCCCCCACTACAGAAGTAAGTGGGAGTGAGACTGGGGCCATGAAAGTGGAGGTTTCTGGAGACGTGATGGGTGGAGCATCAGGGAGAGACCTAGAGGCAGTTGAAAGTGTGTCCACGTGGTTACATCACAACAGTGTGACCTTTGACACCTGCAGGTGGTTCGAGGAGTCTGGAGACACAACCCCAAAATTCACACCCTACATACACACACATACATACACACACTCACACATTCACATTTACATATAGATACATGAAAAAGCAGAACATGAGAAAAAAGCATTTTAAAAGTTTACTCCAATGTAAACACATATTTTTAATTGTCTATCACTTGAGTCTTTACTTGAATCAGTATTTTTGAGACCAGAAATGTTCATTTGAATTCTATATTGTCATGGACTTAATTGACGTCTGTCCTGACACTTTTTATTTGTTGATTTTGTACTGTGTGAAGTAATTACATTGATTAGGATTAGAATCAAAGTGACTTAACCATAGAGAGTAACTACTGCATTACAAGCTGTGTACAGGAACTGAGACACTGCACCATTGACCAGAAGTGCATCGCAAATGACCTGATGTGCGCTTCAAGTGAAAAGACTGTATCTGGAGATCCTGATGTGCATCTGGAGAGACCAAAACCATGGCTTGGGCCCTACTGATGTCCAAGATGACATCTCTCGAAATATGACCTGACCTGATGACGACTGAGACTCACCCTCAGAGGACCTGAGGACCCTGAAGACCCTGAGGACCCTGAGGACCTGAGGATCTGAGAGAGAAAAACTGGGGAGTGATGTTTATATTATTGAAATCATACATTGATGAGTGCTAAATGAGAGAGATACTCATGATTCTTTCTTTTGTTTTTGTTTGTCCCTAGCTTCTGGACATCTGATGATCTATTGGACACAGCCATTTGCAGAACAAGAACCAGCCAATGAAAAACGTCTATTGCTAATATACATGTTAAGTATTCAGACAACTTCAGTGTAGAAATAGAATTAGATAAATGCATCAACCATAGATGCTTTCAAAAATAGAGATTATTTCTAGCCAGTGCTAATATCAAATGGTAAAGGGACCATTTCACAAACATTTACTTCAGAAGTAGATAAAGTTAATTACAGTTTATGTACAGTTTAATTAGATACTTGCCAAATTCACTTGTGTTCAAACATCTGTGAATGTTGACAATACAAAAAGTCCATATGAGTGTAGCTTAGATTAATGCCTAGATCAATGAGATAGATTAGAACCAACAGAGATTCAAAAGCATTTAAAAACATTTTGATGCATTTGGGTGTAGCCCAAAAACAAAATAGTAGATATTTAGATATTGAGAAGTTTCCAGCACAAACACCATTGTGGAATAACTGACCCCAACCCCAAACCTGCTAAAATAGATTAGCTCTTGTAAGGATTATACCAATTTGATTAAAGATGTACATTCATCCCAAACTGATAATGAGAGTATAATACCACAGAAAGATGTATTAGATTAAAATTAGTTTAAGAATATGGCTCAATAGAAGCAAATATGCAAACATATTTGTAAATAGATTAGAATAGTTTTAAACTATAGTGAATCATGAAAGTAAAGTACACAGTCTAAGATTGAAAAGTGAAAACAATACAGTGAAGTGAAGTGTAAACAATCAGCATTAGAATAAAAGTATAGAGTAATAAAAGTGAAATTAGCTTCAAATTTGAGACTCAGCTCGTTTTTGTCTGTGTTTTGACTGAATCTGCTGAGTTCTTGTGTGTCCAATAGTGTTTGTTTGTTTTTATTTTTGATTTGTTTTTTGTTTGTTTATTTACTTTATTTTTGTTTGTTTGTTTTTTCCCAGGATAGAGGATAAAATCCACTGATATTGATTTGATGATTATGAGTAATGCATACATTTTCTTTGTTTTTAATAATTTTTTAAAGTTTTTTTTTTGATTTTTTTTTTTCTTTTTCCACTTTATTGATTGATCAAATTGAATGATCACATGTGATTATGTGATCAAAGGGGAGGGTGTTAGTATTAGATAGCAATATGGCCTACGTGCAGGACTGTACAAGGACTCTACAAGGACTCCATGTTATGACTATGATGTGACTGTCTCTTTGTGACACGTATGTCTTTCGATGTGTGACGTGACAATGACTATATAAACTGTGTACTGCCTTTATTCTGTCTGGGAGAAAGAAACAGAGTAAACCATTGGAACTTGAGAGAAACTTAAATAAACTTCCAGAGTTTGGCACACCACGATCCGTCTCTGTCTGCTTCATCCCTGACAGGCGCTAATACTAATTAAAATTCTACAAACATTACCATCACTATTGATGGTGCATGTGTTGAGATGATGAGGAGCGATTCTCAGGAAAATTGGTGAAATGGCCGAGGCTGGTTTAATGTTTGTGCGAGGTGTACATTTAACAATTTCCCTATCAGGGGTATTTACAGCAGGAGTAAAGCTATTTGTGCCTCCGGATTTATCTGTGTTTGGGCATGTGCCGTCGGGCTTGGGGTACGCCCATAGACCCTCACACTTGTTAGGGCTCGGGCCTGAATATGTGTAATCTAGATGAGACCAGGCGGGGAATAGAGAGAGACCAGAGGGAGACCAGAGAGAGACCAGAAGGGGACCAGAGAGAGACCAAAGAAAAAGAACGAGGAGAAAGAACCTTCGATCAGCTGATCTCGCCGCGCGTCATACAACATCCCGAGTTTGAACGGCCGTCCCAGCGCCGCCACCGTCAGCTGATCTGCAAGCATCTTCATGTCTGAAAACACAAATGGTGAAGCTGAAATTAAGATTTAAAGACCAGAGAGAGACCAGGAAGAAACCAGAGAGAGAGAATGGATCGAGAGACCAGAGAAAGAGAAGAGAGAAAGCCCAAGAAGACCAGAGAAGACCCAAAAAGAGAGAAACTAGAATGAAAGACCAGAGAGAGAAATTAGAGAGAGACTAGTGAGAGACCAGAGAGAGATTAGAGAGAGACCAGTGAAAGAGATTAGAGAGGGATTAGAGAGACACCAGAGAGAGATTAGAGAGACCAGAGAGAGACCAGAGAGAGATTAGAGAGAGACCAGTGAGAGAGATTAGAGAGAGATTAGAGAGAGACCAGAGAGAGATTAGAGAGAGACCAGTGAGAGAGATTAGAGAGAGATTAGAGAGAGACCAGAGAGAGATTAGAGAGAGACCAGTGAGATATATTGGTCAAAGGTGTATTTATGATACAATAGAGGCAGTAACATGTTTTCCTCTCTCTCTCAGGGGGAGTAGAGTTGCGACATATGAAACCTCATGAGTTACTGAGGAACATTTTACATCAACAGCAACAGAACGAGTTTGACTAAAAGTGAAAGTGTTAAACTTAAAGTGATAAAAGTTAAAGTGTTAAACTGTTCATAACAGCAGGAAATTAAACACAAAGAGCAAAGAGAGAACTCCTCACCTCTTCACCTCCTTCACCTGCGACGAAGAGAGTGAGGTATGAACCAGGAGGACCGCTGTGAGAAGGAGGCCCCGCCCACATGAGATAGCCCCGCCCACCGGAGATAGCCCCGCCCACAGGATGTTCAGCGTGGGGTGTTTTTCATGTTTTACTCATCATCGCTCAGAGATACCAGTGCCTCTCGAAAGAACGAACACACCTTGAACTTTTGAAATTTTGTTATTTTACAAAACATGAGGATTTTATTCTGAATGATTTACTGAAAGTAATGTAACGTAAGAGACAACAGTGAAGTGAAAGTATGATTATCATTTTAAAACTGGAAGAGTTTTCTTACAGTTTTAAAACAGTCTATATGACTGCTGAATGTTCACACCTGGCCCTAATGATTAAATATGGACCTGTGTGTAATCTACTGTCAGTATAAACCAGTGTGGGAGGGTCCTGGCTCCGAAAGATCCATGAGCACAGGTGCTTCACGCTGCAATACCACTCTAGGTCTGTACACGGAATAAGAATTACCCAATGCTTTTGTGTGGCGCCGTCTTTCCTATGGAGCTATTATTGTTTCAATAATATTTGTGCATGCTCTTCACCTTGTACACCCATGACTGTGTTGCTTCTTCTGACTCAAACTTGATCATTAAATATGCAACCTCCACTTGAACACGTCCCATGTGAACTGGTGTTCGACTTCAGTCGAGGTCACTCTCTCTCCCATTTACCTGTGGTCATTGTTGAGAAGTGTAAGTTTCTTGGTCTAACTTTGTCCAACGATTTGAGATGGGACAAAAAAACCAACCATACTGTTGAGAAAGCCCGCCAACGTCTATACTTTCTGCGGAAACTTAAAATTTACAAATAACTCCAAGATTTTGCTGAACTTCTATCGCTGCACTAGCCTGGTCGTACCACACCATTGTACAAATGACATTTCGTACTGTTGTGGAAATTCTGCACATACCGAGAGTAAAATAATGTAAACAACCCAGAGCTGTAATTCCAAACAAAGTGTGAGTTTATTCATTAGTAAATGTGCACAATTACAATGAATAACAGAACCGATACCAATACCACCGGGCAGCCGTTCGAAATCGACTGCCCCGATTGAGGAAATAACTGTACATTAAATAGACCAGAGTAAACAAACACATATCTACTCTAGATATTACATAAATGAAGTCAACATTGATATGTGTTGCTCAAGGCTTCTCTTTACGCGTCCCAACGCTGATACAACTCTGATATATGTAACAATCTGCTTTTGAACTGAACATATTGTTCTATGACCCAGGTCAAAGACATGATGCAGCACGTCTCCATCTATCACTGACCGCTGCCAACAGAGCATTATGGCCTGTATCTGAATCCAGAGTTGACTATTAGTTAATAACTTACACTCATAACTATTTGGTGTTAATTCAGATTGCTTTACTAAAATATTTCTATAACAATCCTATCTCTTGATAAATATAAAACCTTGGTTTATCTTAATCAACTTAAAATAATAATAGAAATCACAATGATTATGAATTAACACAAAATCTGAACATTTGAGCAAACACACACAATAGTTAACTAACTTTATTACAATATTAAAACCCACACTTATATACTTGCTTAGATGAATCCCCTGACTGGGTCACAGACGTCTGCCCAGGGGAGACGAGGCGTTACTGGACCCGATGGGTCATCAGCCGACCCTCACCTCTCCCAGAATCGACGCTGTGCCCGCACAGTAGACACTCCAGCAGTGCTGGGTGCACTCTCTCTCTCCCTGAGAGTAGAACCTGAGTATGTGGATTTAAAATAGACCTGGTCCAAAGATGGTTCCAAGTCCAAGCCAATCTATTGGGTCTAATGCTTTGTCATTAGATCTGATAACACTTAACCTTAAACATGGATGCCTCACACTTTTCTGACCTCCTGTGCTTTCCACATGGGGTCAGAGTGGGTGGAAGCATCAGAGTTAGTGCACTGATTATCAATGCTTGAAAACCCTAGCATGTATGTGTACCACAAACCAATGCTAAGTTGTGCTAATCCTGAAACGTACACAAAACAGTTTCAAAAGCCCGTTTTGACGCAATGCTGAGATAGCCTCTCTCAGTCCACCCCCATCCTCGGGGTGGGCGTCCCGGCCTCCAGGTCAGACCAGCCGATCGTCCCAGTCTCTGACTCCGCTGCGTGAAAAAGCGGGGAACAATGTACCTGACCCATGGCTCAGAGCTTCTATCTGTGTAACACCTGGTCAGAAGGCAGACCAAGTTTTGTCGTGGGGACCCTCGAGGTGGTCCCTTCCTTCAGCCGTTGGGGAGCAAGCCTTCCTGCTTCGGCTCCACTTCTGCGTTGGAAGTCGGGCACTGCCGCCCCCACTTCTTTGCTGCATCCTTGCGTTGGAGAAGGTCCTCAGACCCTTCTCGTTGGTCCCCTTTGGCTCTGGGCAGCTGGGGTCCACCTGCGGTGGGCTGGACCCATGATGGGGCGTCGACCCTCGCGGTGGGGTGCCCCCGGCACTTTTGGTTAGGGCTCCTCCTGGCATTCGCCGGACTCAGACCCCTCCTCTGGCTCGACCCCCGTGGCCAAGGCGTGATGGCGCTCCGTGTCTCCCTCTCGGAGATGTGATCCCTCCTCATGGAGGCCACGTGACCAACCTCATGGTTGGTCACGTTTCTGAAACAATGTTTTGGCAAAAGGGTTATTTGCCCCCCCCCTGCCTGTCCTCTGGGTCTGCGCTGCCAGGGCTTAGCCTCAGTCTATATAATAATAATAATAATGGTCTCCATATAACTTTACTCATGGGTTATCAGTTTGAGTTTTCAAAACACTCCTCTCTCCAGCCTTGGAGAGCAGATAAGTGCATTCTGCTGCTGTCTGCTCTCCTACATGTGCAGCCTCTCACATAAGTCAGGCCTCACTAACTAATTATTCTCTTATGGTAAAACAACAACCTATCCTAAAGATCAAATAAACTTAAGTGTTTTGATGATTGTGTATCAAGATGAAAACTCATGGAGACCTTTGTTTTTAAAAAAAAACCTAAATATTTAAATTGAAAAGGAGCTACGATCAACTTAGGGCCTGTCCTCTTATGGTGCAGTGCAGGTGTCCAAACACCAGGCCTGTGGGCCAATTGTGGTCCGCCAGACATTTTAGTGTCTTCTGAAATGATTCTCAATTATAATTAAGTATAAACTGGCAGTCTTAATTGCAAGGTTATTTTGAACCCCAAGGCATTATTCCTAATTTTTTAAAACAAACTCCCTCTGGAAAATTACCATATACCTTCTAATGTGTTGGAAAAATGTGTATCCACAAACTGGGAAGATTCAACACTTCATTACTTTCGGCCTTCGTGTTTGTTTTGTCTGTCAGACCTCTGCTCTTATCACCCTCAAGAGTCACAGCCTTACAGAGCTTTGACAAACTGCCTAATACTCAAAGCTATACTATACACTTGAATTTAAACAAAAAATATTAACAAGTTAAAGTTTAAAATAAATAAAACTATTAAAAACGTATCCAAACATATGGTAATTACTGCTTTATGTGAAACCCATATATGACCCACACAACACAATCCTCATTTATCGACCATGTCCCCCTTACTTTTACTGTAAACATGTGTCTGTAAATACATATATGTGTGTGCTGCTGTATGTGTATGTCAAATACACAAAATGAATGTAACGAGTGGTATGTGTTCATATGTTCTTTGGGTAGGAAACAGACTTATAATATACTTGGTTTTATTACGTGTACTGTAGTATCATCACAGTGTTAAAGACTTACCATTTCCATATTCTTGACCTAGAGAGTGTTCTAGATTTATTTACAGATGTGTAAATACAAGTATACATTTATTTACACTAGAGTACAAAATACTTTACCTTGTACCTTTACCGAGCCAAATTATTTTACATTCAAAAGTATAGAGTTGTGCTACACTTACTATTCACCTGTCTTGTGTTGTAATGCAACACTGAAATGTCCCCACTGTGGGACGTCTGAAAATCTCTTAATCTTATCATTACTGACTGTTGCTAAAATGAAAACTGACTAAAACAAGTGCAGTCTAAAGTCACACAATGCTGCATTTACAAAAATACAGGAAAAGAAAAAAATAACTGGGGTCCACCTTTGGCCTTCGTGCACCTATTGAAGGAAAAATATAAAAACCTTAGAATTACAAAAATATGCATTTGCCAAGTCTACCACTACAACAACAAAAATACTTGGCTTTAAACATTTTTGGAGTCCTCATGAGGAAAATAGATAAACGATTTGGACCTATTTTGCTCCTGGTTTATTTTGTTTATTGCAAAGATGGCTTTGTTTACGCCTCTGAAATGTACGATTACTCCAGCCTCTGCCAGAGTTATTTAACATGCCTCATTTTCAGAGCAGTCGCTCTGACGTCAGACACTGTCTCTCTGTGACGTAGAAGTCGAACTCTCCACGTCTCTATGTTTTGGCTGGAAATGTCTTTTCAGCTGTTTTATGCCAATCACACACTTTCACACTTCTGTTCCCAAAACTACAAGCCCCTCCCACTCTGCGGCTCTAGGCTCTAACAGAAACAATGTGTAATGTTGTGTGTGTGCTGTGGGTCATTATTGTCCTTATCTCTCTCATACCATTCTCTCTCTCTCAGACCAGTTACATTCACCCCAAACTCTGTTTTCTACATCACAATCGAGCAATGCATATTTCCAAAGTTATGAAAACCTCAGGTCGTCTGACTAAAACATTACATTTACTAAATTGATTGTGGGATTTGGTGACAATTTACATTCAAATACATTATAGACAGACAACTTCTGTCAGAGTACTATTATACTACAAGGGATTTTTACCATCTTATTTCTTATTTTTACACACAGACCACAGATTTAGTCTCGGCTGTGGAAAACAACTGGGCAATTTGAAAACACAGAAACTCTGTTTAACTCACAACCTTCAGATTATTCAGAACATTTCAATGGATTTATGGAAAATTCCTTTGTCATGTTTCGCCTCTAAAGAAAACAATGTGTCCTTCACCCATTCGGGGACGTTATGTAATAAATAAAGTCCTTAAT